GGACTGGACTCCCACTCAACACAATTGGAGGAGCAGTGGCTTGTCTCCGAGCTCATGCTATGTGTCCATGATCTTTTTCTCACTTTTCCCAGTGTTTTTTAGTGGTTCTTTGCCGATGCAGGAGGGTCTGTGGACAGTGATGATCTGGGATATTTAAGAACAGTTATGGACTTTGGTCATCCGCCCCTTGTGGACCAATGTCTCCTATGCGTTTGTTATTATATTGTTTCCTTCATTTGAACAGTTTGCTTCTCTAATCTGTGTTGGTGAATCAACAACTTTGTAAAGTCTTCAAAGATACTTACTGTTGTGATTTAGGGCTATACAAACTCTTTGAAGCACTCCATACCATTGCTGACTCCTTTTAAAAGCAACAATAAATCGTACTGTTTTTGCCGTCTGAAATAGAAACTGAAGCCTATTTTTGTCTGTAAAAGCGAAGAAAAGTCTCTATAGTGAACTAAGATTAAGAGATCCTTTATTCGTACCTGAGTGGGAAATGTCAGTGTTGCATCGCTGGTTACAAAACAGTAGGAATGAGGAGTGCAACACAACACAAGATGAGTAAATATTAAGCATAACAGAGTTCTATACTTTAAAAATAAAATTGAACATCTATCTTTAGCTTAGTAAACCTCAAAATATAAAAAGTATTCCAAAAATTAAGCATTTACGTTAAGAGAATAAACAGATATAACGTTCTCGCTGCTGCAGTGATGTCTCTGTCACTGACCATCAAAACCTCAGCTCTGCATAACAATGTACAAAGGAATTTAAAGGAGACCCAACTGAAAGAGAACCTGCACTTTACAGCGTTTAGCATAACTTCTCATTATAGGCTTCTGTAATTTCTGATGGGAAGAAATACAAGAAAACACAGCAAACAAAGATGGTTTGAGAAAGTCCACTCCCAGAGATTTCTGCAGCTTTGAAATGACCAAGGTCAGCGAGCCGCATAACTGCAGACACCGGCCAAGCCATCATCTAAATGTGAAGTTCAAACTTAAAGGGGACGTTACATGCTGAATGGACTGCACAGCTTTTCACCATGTGATGGTCTTCTGGTCGTTTTTAGAGTGATTTAAGCATCACATTTCTTTGTCTATTGTAAATGACTAAATTATCATTGAACCAAGCCTTATTCTTGGTTTCATTAATTCAATAAAAAAGGGTTAGGGTTTGATAATATCTATGTTTACTATGTGTAAAATTGTGTAATTATAGATTAGTTATGCATATTTACATTTTTTCAGAGCAGTGGTAAAATAGGTTCCCCTGCCCCCTCTGTCTAAACACTCCTTATCCAACTCATTACATTATATGGTATCCCCAGTTTTCTGGCACTGAAGCGTACTGTGACTTGTAGTGCATTAGGGTGGTCCTCTCCATTTACATTTTCTGGGCTGTCTTGCATTTTTGGGGCCATCCTTAGTTATATATCCGGGTCAAGGCCAGGACCAGCAGACAAGACACATGCACAGCCTAAAGCCTGGTTAAAGTGTGCCAGGGCCCGCTTCGCGATAGATCCAGGCTTTAGGTGCCATACTGAGCTGAGCTGTTAGCTACAGTAGCTAACAGCTCAGCTCAGCTCAGCAGAATGTAAACAGGAAAAGAAGTGGATCTCAACCAGGGCAACGAGGTAGTCGCTGGTGTTAGTATTAGCGCCACCAGCTGGACCGAGTGTTGTACTACAGCACAATTTCCCTGGCACGGTTCAGACAACACGTTCATGTGACCGCGGGGCCGTTTTCACACCCCTGTGCCGACAATCCGGTCCACTTGGCCTAGTTTGTTTGTAAAAACCTATGTGGCCGTGCCCTAAAAGACAATTTTTATCACAGAGCCCTCACACTCCTAAACTTTCACCCTGTTGAAGCATGTTAGATGCACTAATCTAATATAATGTAATTAAAGTGTATGCTAGCTATAGCAGCTTTGTGCAGTCTCTTACTGTATATACGCAATTCTCCTGTGTGAGATCAATAAAGAATATCTTATCTCATGTTCTTTATATGTATCTGTGTTGACATCTTTAGATTTCAACCTTTGCTTGGATTGAACCAAAGCTGGACTAAAGCTAAAGAAGGTTAAGTATTGTGGAGGGATGACTGTTTGTAATTAGTTATTCTAATGTATAACGTGTCATTGTAGCACTCCTTGGAAGCCTTGCTTGGGTAGTTATTCCCATTCACTTAACTCGGGGGAGACGGATAGAGGACGGGAAAAGGTCCGAGGGCCACAGTGAAACTTTGCCAAGGTCTGCGTTAGATACTGAACTGCATTTTGTTCCATTGTCCTGAACATTCTAAAGACAATAAAAATTGAATCTTATCTAATGTTGTGACAGCCAGGAAACCAGTATGTGCCAAATAACTTGTTACATGGGTTTAAATCTGTTGATTTGGTTGCAGCCATGTGGCCTTGTATGTAGACTATAGCTGTGTCTTTACGATGGACCACTAAATGCCTCACAAACTCCGGAGCTGGTGTTGGGAGCCAGTTTGAGCCCAGTATAAATAGCCGCAGTGAACACATGGAGTCCAAACAGCTCGCACATGCTCGGCTCCGTTGCTGTCAAATCAGCGCGCAGGCTTTTCAGGGAATGGATGTGAGTTTATTGTTACATCCGTGTCTTTTTCTAAGAAATGCAATAATGATTTGGACTGTAGAAAAACATTTCAGTATCAATATGCCCTGAAAGTATTTGTCCAATAAGTGATTAATATTAGCCTTTGAATCAACTTTTAAAGAAAGATCTATTCAATTTAATGTATTTTTGTAGAGCCCTAAATCACAGCAGTAGTTACTTCAGAGGACTACAAAACCGTTGGATTCGCCAACAGAGGTCAGAGAATCAATGAGTTCAACACAAGAAATGCAGTGATAACAAACGCATAGATCCATACGGGGCAGATGACCAATGTCCATAAATGTTGATAAATGTCCAGTGTTGAATGTCGAGTGTCCTGGATCATCACCACTGTCCTTCAGTCCTATAAGCTACTGCAGTTAAAATGTGTGTTCTTGATAAACAAAAATATCTACAGAGAATGAGAGGGAAACCTGAAGATGCTAACTTTGTGTTTCAAGTTTGTTAGCAATATGGGGGGATCTTTGAGGAAATTATATTTTATTTACTATGGATTGTATTTTCTTGTATTGAGTCCTTGGGCAAGACACGTAACCCCACTTTGCCTGAAGCTCCCGCTGAGAGATTAAGGCTGTGTTGTCTCAGGCAGCCTCCTGTGGACTCACCACCTGCAGGAGGATCAGTGAGGGGCTGGTGAACTGTGAATTGGGTGCAGCTCTGACTCGCACCCCCCTGACCCAGAAATAGATTAAGGGAAGGAGAGGAAGATGATAATGATGATGATGATGATATAACATGCCATTGTAGCACTCATGAAGTTGCAAACCTTTATTGGGTAGTGATTCTCATTCATTGAAATACAAAAGGTAAGAGGGCCACATGGAAACGTGAAGTGGGCTGTACGTGGGTCCCAGGACACACTTTGCTCGAGTCTGGGCAATAACCTACAGTGATTTCTGTTCAATTCAGTTCTTTTCCATTTATTTTTGTATCGCCCTAAATCACCACAGTGGTTATCTCGGAGGACTTTACAAAGTTGATTCTCCAACACAGATCAGAGAATCAAACAGTTCAAACACAAGAAATATTGAATGTGCTTTATCATCACTACTGTCCACAGACGCTTCTGCATCAGAACAACTCTAAATGTTATATGTGGTTATCACTAGTCGCATGTCAAACACATATTGATTTCTTGTACCAAATGTAATCTGTATCAAGATAAAGACAATCATTCAGACAATTCATTGCAGAATGTCCCCCCCAGTTGCAAAGAAAATGTAAGGACACAAATTTTCCCATTGAACACCAAAGTCTGTTTCTCCAGCTGTTGTGTTTGTGTTTTTAATTCTGCCCTTTTCTTTCCCAAACAGTAGTAAGTGCTCCCATCCCTCCCGCTGCTCCGTCTGAGTGGCCACCAGAATAGAAGCCAGGCTTGTGGTGATCCACAACATCCTGAGGCGGCTTCTCCACAACTGCAGCCAGGACGCTGCACCACAGATCCACACAGAGCGCAGTTCAAGAGGGGTCATATGGACACATGAATAAATAAAACAAGAATAATAATACAGCATTTGTTTTGTATAGTGCCTTTTTTTTCTACGCTCAAAGATGCCTCACGTGTCTTTTTTTTTTCACTTCATACATGATGGTGATAAACTTCTATTGTGGCCACAGCTGCCCTGAGGCACTCCAGTATGCCCCCCTGACCACCACTAACCATTCACACACACCAGACCTATTGTAATGTGGGTGAAGTGTCTTGCATAAGGACACAAGGACAGTATGACACTTTACAGCCGCCCCACTGTGGCAACTGTTGTCAGAGGTCTCCCATCACAGTATTAACCATGCCCTGCCCTGCACAGCTTCAGAGGTCTAATTGCATCCGGTTTTCACATGCAGGTACAGCCACATACACACCACACAGTGCAAAGTATTTCAGGGGAAAATTAGCACTAGGACTCCCAAGATTATGAAACTATTAGAACTCCCAGAGCAGTCATTTTGACGGTTCACATTCAAATTAAGTTTTTTTCTTTAGCACTTGTTAAAACTTGAGCCAAGTTGAGATTGCTCTGATCCAGTCTAGGACTAGTCTAGGGTCGATATCATTTCATAAACATAATGACAGAAATAAACTGCAATTGAAAACAGAAACAAATCACAGAGTTTTGAAGACCAAACACGTACATAAGCGGAGTAATTACACTTCTATAATGAAAAGCCGTCAAATTCACTGCTCTGGCAGTTCTAGTGTTAAATAATTCCGCATCGTGACCTGACACTGGCATCAGCACCGTCATTGTCATCATTATCATTGCCTTATTATCCAATCACCAACATCAACTTTACATGATGCCCACATGTAGAGACAGACCATGAAGCTATAGAGCAGGTATGTGTGTACCTTGTGCGGGGCCCGGAGCAGCCGGTGGACCCCAGAGATCTGGTTGATCAGTGGGATGTCCTCTCTGAAGGTGTACAGAGGAGGTCTGGTCGGCTCGGGGAAGTTGGTGCTATTGAATGGATCAGTATCATCCAAGAACTGGACCCTGCTCACAAAAGTCGCCATTCTGTTTCCACGCAGCGTCAGACCATCAGAAAGTCACTTCTTGTGTCTCCATAAGTCTCCTCGGCTGCAGAAGCGCACAGCGGGTGTCCTCACTCTCTCATGGCTCTAGCGCAGTGCACGATCCTGCAGATAGTCTCCAACAATGCGCCTGGTCCCGGGACAGAGCAGAAGCGAAGGCACCATATGTCTGTAGTCCTCCTCCTACAGTCTCTCAGGCGCACGCACGCACGCACACACGCACGCACGCAGGGTGCCGCAGCAGAGATCCTCCAAGGGCACAGCGGGCGGAGCGGATGGACCAGCGCAGCGGAGGGAGTGCTTCACTTGGCGCCTGTGCTCAGAGCTCAGAGCGGTGTGAGCGGCTCCAGACGGAGACCCAGGACCCAGACAGAGCTCAGGTTACAGGCGCACTGCCGCCCTCCTGCGGCCGTAGCGGGGGGTGCGCCCAGAGCTGCTGATGAGGACGTTTGAAGTACTCTGAAACGCCTAGAACTCCAAGAGCAGTCATTTTGACCGTCCCCATTAAAAACAATAGAATTTTGAAAAGAAAAAAAATCTAAATATTGTTAGTTTTACCTTTATTACACACTAAAACTGATCAATCTCAATTATCCATCCATCCATCCATTTTCTACCCTTTAATCCATTTCTGGGTCAGGGGGGTGGCAATCAGAGATGCCACCCAAATCTCATAGCACCAGCCCCTCACTGATCCTCTGCAGGTGGTGAGTCCACAGGAGCTGAGATCTTCCAGCGGGGGCTTTGGGCAAAGTAGGGTTAAGTGTCTTGCCCAAGGACACAACAACAGCAGTCATCAGTGGGAGTCGGTGGAGAAGGTGCAGAGGTGGGAATTGAACCCACGACCTTCTGGCCTTAAGGCCAATGCTCTACCAACTGAGCTACTGTCGCCCCAATCTCAATTAACCAACTTTTATTTGTAGAGCACTCATAAACCACATTACATTAAAACAAGAGAAGACACAGAAATCACTGTCTGGACCTGAGTATAGAACATATTTTGGACAGTCCACCTTTTTGGAGCCAGACAGCTGAAATCGGGGCAAAGTTGAAGGTTGGTTTTAACCCGGATTTGACCTTCTGACCTCGCCTCCAGCCTGCTTTGAATGTGTTGTGGTTCCTCTCTAAAACAGGGTCATATTTTACAGCAGCCTTTATGTTCAGTTTCAATTATCATAAATTGTCAATAACATTCTTCAACACATTTCCCTCATTTACCTGCTGATGTCTAAATATTGAATATGTCTAACACCACGATACATCAGTGCATCATCTTCAAGAATGTTGAGAGCACTGTTCATGCTCCCTGTTCACATTTATAGATGTCAAGTTAAAGTCAAAAATCCCAGTTAACTCCAAATATGAAATTTGTTCTTGTCCCGTCTATAAGGTTTCCACACACTTTCATAAAAATCCATGAGGTATAAAACCGAGTCATTGAAGTGGCATAGTAGTAATAGTAGCAAAGGCAATTGTTGGCAGTATAGACAGTAAATAACTATAGGCTGTCCTGCTTCTGTCAGTGTGCACCAGGGCAGATGAGGCTACTTCATGATGTGCAAAGTGAATTAATAGTTAATTGTGCGTTGTGATTCTGGACTGTTAAAAGAACTATAGAAATAAAATGTATTCAAGCTTTAGCAGTGTAGCTGTAGCAGAAGTGGACTTTTGCTCAGCCTAGTCACCAACACTAACCAAGTCACGTTTTACAAGTAATAAAACACGTTTTTTCTTGTGCTTTGACCCTTTCATAAAATCTCTCTTTTTGTTGGCTCAGCACAAGGGTCCAGACGCAGCCTTGAGCCCGTAACCCGCACCACTAAACATTGTCAATCTATTACAGACTCACTTAAAACTCAGGACCCTCTGGAGACAGGACCTTCACCGACCCAAACCATGAAGCTCCAGATCCCAAACCCTGGCCTGGACGACAGAATCTTATCCCACGAGGAGCTGGGGCGACTGGAGCACGAGGAGGCAGGCGACCGGCCCCAGTGGGACAACAAGGCCCAGTACATGCTGACCTGTGTGGGCTTCTGCGTGGGACTGGGCAACGTGTGGCGCTTCCCCTACCTCTGCCAGAGCCACGGAGGAGGTACGTCAGCTGTGGACTTTTTCTAAACACTGCAAAAACAGGGGAAAGACAAGTTATTCATTATCGTGTTTTGAGTGTATTCTGAGGGGCTTGAATGACAAGTCAAAGTTACTTCAATTCAAATACATTTTTTTTTGTATAAGCCTAAATCACAACAGCAGTCATCTCAACTTAGTGGATTGACAACTTTCAAAACCATTCCAATACAGGAAATGCAATAATAACAAAAACATAGGAGACATTGGACCATAGTGGGATGACCAATGCCCATTAATGTCCATAAATGTCCATAAATGTCCATAGATGTCCTTTAATGTCACGTTTATAATGTTCTATCTGCGTGGCATTTCTCAGATATCAAGTTTCATGTTCTGAGGCCCCTACTTTTAACGGAACAGAAGTGTCTATCATCTAAAGCCACAAACATGCTCTTGTAATATATATAGTGTATATATAAGCAGAGCATGCATATAGACACTTACTGTATAGACATAGGAATAGAAATAACTCAAATGGGAAGAATTTACAAGAGCCAAGAAAATTCCAAACTGAGGCATGAATTAAGTTGAACATGAAAACAGTTATCAATTATTTACGAATTGCCCAACATAAAAAAAGATTAATTGATTCAGAACAACTGTGAACCTGCAATAAATTATAGAATATTGTTTTATGGGTGCTTGCCACGCCATCTCTCAGCGAATATATATTTTTTATCAGTCTCTCTGTGGGTTTTTATATGATTAAATAAATAGGCGGCGAACATTTGAGAAAGTAACCTACCAATAAATACTTCGAACTTCACATACACTAACTGAATGTACAGTTTACAAGTTATACATTAACAAGACTCTTAATGATTTCCTTTTTCCAGAGAAGTTCTCAACATTAATATTGTGTGAAAAACAACACTGCTTTTAGATCTGATAAAACAATGGGGAGATTTGAGTTCCAATGCATTGTTCACACACAGTAGGAATAAAAATAATACATTTCTAACAGTGGAAAAAGTTACACATTTGGTTGATCTAAACACAATACCTAAAATGATCTTTGAGTTTAAATTTTAAAAGAAAAACATAAGATATGAATTGCTACTGTGATATCCCGTAAAGAATATCTAACACACACACAGGCTCAAGGTAATTAATAATGTTAGTAATAATAGTGATTTATTGTTATTAATTAGTATTTGTTCAGCACTTGCCTTGTGTATAAACTGTGCGATACAAATAAACCTGCCTTGCCTTATCCGCAGTGCTAAAACGCAGAAAAAGTGTTTTAAGTTTGATCACTGACCTTAGTCACATGTTATTATTGCATTACTTAGCTCAGCGTTAAAAGCTGTGAATGTCAAAAAAAAGTAACGACCCATTGTTGTGGAGACAGCGACTGAGGGGGCTCCCGGAAGGTTTTAGATCCCTTACTGAACTTTGTGAACAGCTGCCGTAGATACTTTTCAATATTTATTCTTTTACAAACATATACAAAATTAAATACGATGCAAAAAAAAAAAGCCATCAGCATTTAATATAGGTTATGTTCAGGTACAGCTGTATTAAAGGACTGACTTAACCCTTTCATGTGCACACCTTGAAGCACAAACAACACAATACATTATTTTTGAACTTTTTTATAGGCCTTTACCAAACAGATGAAATGCCGTTTTATGGTAAAAGTTCTAAAAACCTATAGTCAGATGCCCCAAAGTGGTATATTTCAGTTCCAAGCAAGCTTCAAGTAAATATAGTGACTCAAAAGGTGATCTACCAAATGGATGAGGAAACCATTAAAGGGATAAAAAAAAGCAGGTTTTGTGATTTTTGTTCATTTCAGGAGCCTTCATGATCCCCTTCCTGATCCTGCTGGTGCTGGAGGGAATCCCACTTCTGTATCTGGAGTTTGCGATTGGTCAGCGAATGAGAAAAGCTAGTGTGGGAATGTGGGCAGCTATAAATCCGTATCTAACCGGCATTGGTAAGTGGAACTTTGGATGGGAATATGGCACAAGTTCAGGGAAAACACACACGTTGCATAATGATAATTGCAGGTCTTGCTTCTATGGGCGTGTCGGTGACCATAAGCCTGTACTACAACACCATCATCGCTTGGATCATGTGGTATCTGTTCAATTCATTTCAACAAAACCTACCGTGGAGTCAGTGTCCGGTCAACGCAAACCTCACTGGTAAAAAAAATCACAATACTCACATTCTTATAATTGAGTAGACTTTAAGCACTTCTTTGCATCTTTTTGGGTGGATATTACAACTTTTATGTGGCCTTTTGGCTTGTTAATACTACAAAGCCATTAGGGTGCTCACAGTGTCATCCAGCCAACTTCAGCTCGACCGTAATATAGTCATGATGTTCTCAGAAAGCTCAGGGAATCTTTAGGGAATCTGTATGTATTTACTGACATTTGTTTTTGATTGTGTCACAACATTCCTTATGGTTCTGATGTGTCTGTGATGTGAATGTTTAAGCACAAAATATCATTTTAAAGCCCAGAACATCCTTAACACAGTCAAAAAACGCCCCAGGACAGGTTTGGTGAACAAACTAATGGCAAACTCTTTAACTCTTGCAAAAAAGTTTGCCATAGAGTTGCAACCTTTAGAAGAGAAGTTCAGGTGTTCTTAGTTGCAGTATAAATACCTGTAATATTACTGTAGTAATAAGTTAGCTGCAGTTTGAGGAGAGAAAACACTAAAGTAGTTTCCTTTACTATCAGTTCATATCGAGTATCAGCAGATATTGATGTAATATCAGTATCAGACTTGATACAGTCCAGACCTGTTGTCAAGGTGATAAAGGACCATTGTGGCTGGAAACAAGTCATTTGGTGTGTGCATCAATGACTGGCTGCTCGGAAGGGCCATTGGCACATATTTGTCGGTTTGATTGTGTCAGTTGTCACAGGGCAGCTGTGGCTACTGTCATAGTTTATCACCACAGTGCATGGAGTGAAAGAATAATGCCTTGTGAAGGGCCTTTGAGGGCATCCAAAAAAGCACTTTATAAAACTGATGCAATAGGATTTTTATTATTATCTGGAAACTGTTGAACTTACTGTATTAGAGAAGCTGTAAAACTGAAACCCAAAGACCAAACCCAAAACTTCATCAGATATTTTGGGTTTGGTTTTTTTATTCTCTGTCTTGACTATATTCAAGTTTCAAGATTCAAAAATGTAGTGGCCATTAACAGTAAAACCACATTGGAAAAACTGCAAGACGACCCCAGTGTGCACCAGACAGAAAAGATGGTACACACCAGAGTTCTTGCCGCTATATTCATACTTATTTTGAAAGTCATTGGAAGAACAAAGCGGTGATATGATTATCGGAGTGATCCCAAACAAGCAGAAATCTTTGCTGTTCCAGGCGCAGTGTCAGAGTGTGCGCGGAGCTCCTCTGTGGACTACTTCTGGTACAGACAGACTCTGAACATAACCCCAGACATCCAGGAGGACGGGGGGCTGCAGTGGGGGCTGCTGCTGTGCCACGTGTGTGCATGGGCCGTGCTCTATCTGTGCGTCATCCGAGGGATCGAGACCACGGGGAAGGTTCTGCCGATTCCAACAGTTATTGATTATGCAGAATGTTTTTCATTTGCTGTGTGCATTTTTGTCCTCAGGCTGTGTACGTGACTTCTACCCTTCCATATGTTGTACTGACCGTCTTTCTGATTCGAGGACTAACACTGAAAGGATCCCTGAATGGAATTTCCTTTCTCTTTACCCCTGAGGTAAACCTTGTACTAGTACCAGATTTATTAACCCTTGAAGAAAGCAATGTAGATATTTATTATTTATTTTCTAAGATGTGATTTTCTAATTACCCAACAAGTTTATTTTTATGCTTATTTGTTTGCTTGTTTCTTGAATCCCTAGTTTTTTTTAATCAGAGCCAAATGGTTGAAAGGCAGTTTAATGGTAACAGTGCCTAAAACCAAGTGATAGAGATGCCCTATTGAGGTACATTTTATTTCCAAGCTTCAAGTACATATATAGCGAGGAAGTAAGTAAGTAATATGTATTTATATAGCACATTTTTACAGACCATGGTCACCCAAAGCGCTTTAAAATGTTCAGTGTTCATGTATTGTTTCATTCTCTCCACACGCTGATGAAGCAAGACACCGAACACACTGGGGCATTAAAAGCTCCCGACCAACTCCATCCATTCACTCACTCATTGCAATCATACCTAATGTACAGGTTTTTAGTGGTAGGGGAAACCGTAGCACCCAGAGGGAACTTGCGCAGACACAGGGAGAACATGCAAACTCCACTCAGAAAGACCCTGTTCGGACTGGGATTCAAAACCAGGACCTTCTTGCTGAGAAGCGGGAGTGCTATCCATTCAGCCATTGTGTTACTCATAAAGTGATCCACTAAATGATTAAGGAAACCATCATGGGCTGGATGTTGTACAGTAGCTATGGGCAACTTCATTATTTGCCAATTACTGTATTTTTATGTCTGTCTATCTCGTCTCATGTCCTGTAGCTGTCAGAGCTGGCCAAACCCTCCACATGGCTCGATGCAGGGGCACAGGTTTTCTATTCCTTCTCGTTGGCGTTCGGAGGCCTCATCTCTTTCTCCAGCTACAACTCAGTGTTGTGAGTTTTAACGGAACACACTTTGGGATGAGATGGTATGAAATGACCATGGTAACAACTAATGTTTCATTCATTCATTCATTTCTATCATGCTTTAAGGTATATAGGAGGATTTTTTACTTCTGGGTGGATCATCAAGACTATAGGTACTCCCAATGGTCAATCATTCTGGTGATACGTGCTCGTCAAATAAGACCAGAGAGATTTGTTCAAAAAGTGGAGAGGGTTTTTTCCAAAACATTGTAAAAATCCTCCTATTTACCTTTAACAATACTTTCTTGCTCCACTGTATATCTGCATATAACAAATGACACTTCAGTGCTCTTCTATTTGAGCTGTAGGCCAGGTGCCAACTCTATGAAAAATAAGAATATTTTAAAGAAACGTTGAAAAAGTGTGTTTTCCCAGAACATCATATGATATCTTTCACATTCACAAACCTAACAGTGTTATTTCTACCGTTGAGCGAGTTCTACTTACTCATAGATCAAAATGCTTGAAAGTGGGCGTGGCTCAGATATTTTTCACAATAAAAGGCCTCTGCGGGATGTCCAAAGTTCGAAATACAGACACATTTCCCGTAGTGTTTCTGAGGAAGGATTGCTATTAGATATAATCAACGTAAAGACAGACGTGTTGTTGCTGTTCCAAATACTGTCTGTGCCTCGCGAACAGACGAACAGATGGAGCCGCATAAGCAGGTTAATCTGCCGCTGTCCACCGCAACATGTACAAAACCGCGTCCAAACACATGATCTATGTGTCTGTCTGCGCTCTTGAAATGTCAGTGAGGGACGAGGCACAGGGGGCAGATGATGTACCATTCTATTGTCAATGATATTGCTTTACAATGCACTGGATACATTCAAAGATGTAGCGATCTAGCCCACTCTACAAATACGCGGTTTTGAACGTGTTGCGGTGGACAGCGGCAGATTAACCTGCTGATGCAGCTCCAGATCCTCTTTCAGAGACGTCTCTGCTGCATTTCTCTTACATCGCGCTGCGGACATGTTTTAAACGCGTTGCTCCGTCACAGTTTATTGTCAAAGTTGTTCATTTGTGGGGAGTATAACCTGAACAACATTTCTAATGACTTAGTGAATGGCAACAGCGTCCCACAACACTGACCTGAGCAGCTGCAAGGTCTGCAAGTTAACCTGGAGCTGAGGTGGGACAGTGGTGTGTCCACTCACCAAAGGCACTCACAATAGCGATGTATAGACTCGGGGTCAGGTCCAGAGCAACGTTAGCATTAGGACATGTTAAATAAGCAGTAGGGCACACGGAGAGTGTCATGAAATCGCCACGAAAGCAGCGCATTTCAAAGATGTAGCGAGGTGAGCGTACGCAGACACGCAGGTGGATCTAGCCCACTTTACAAATACAACATGTGTTTCACCGTCTGCAGTCGTCTTTCAGTAACAACCTCTTGCTGCTGTCAGGTTTTACACACACGTTCGTCCTGTCACAGTTGCATGCTCATTATTAGTCACATTATTGCTCATTCATACAACCTGAACGTCATTTTCCTGGTTTGTGATAGCGATCACCTACAGCATTAATTCTACATGTAATTTGCTTTTCTAAATCAACATTTCTTATGACTGTAGTCTATGAGAACAGTGTGTGAGAGCAGGCGATGAGCATGTGTTTGTACATCGCTGTTGTGAGCATGTTTAGTGAATGAAAACACCACAGTCCCAACCCAGCTCCAGGTTAAACTGCGCACCTTGCAGCTACTCAGATCAGTGTAGTGGGAAACAGTTCGCGAGGCACAGACAGTATTTGGAACAGCAACAACACGTCTGACTTTACGTTGATTATATCTAATAGCAATCCTTCCTCAGAAACACTACGGGAAATGTGTCTGTATTTCGAACTTTGGACATCCCGCAGAGGCAGGGGACTTTTATTGTGAAAAATATCTGAGCCACGCCCACATTCAAGCATTTTGATCTATGAGTAAGTAGAACTCGCTCACCGGCCGACATCATGCATGTGTTTGGAGCATTGTCACCACTTGAGGAGAAAATTATTTAACGTAATGAGAAAGAAGATGTGGAACTTATATACAGGATTTATTGAGAATTTTGCTCTAAACTAAGACTCAAATCTGATTTTGACACTGACCATTGATACCAGAAAATATTTTCTAGCTACCCTCCATCACGGTGTTTAACTAAAGGTTCTTGGGAATGTTGTGTTGCATGGTAGATGTTAATTATGTGCTTCTCTTGAAGAGGAAATATGATGCTTTATCTTTGACAATAAGACTATTCTATTGAGATCACAAGGTACATGAGTCTGTTTACCTTGTTATTTCATGTTTTAGAATGTGAAATAAAAACTTATAGAAAGCAACTCGTAGAAGTTGTACGGTGAAACTAGTATCAAGGACAAACAATGCTATTGGCCTGCTCTATCCCTATGCTACCACCAGAAGGAGGTGCAGAATTGGATTATTTTTTCCAAATTTGAAACTTGTACACTGACATCATACTCTTACAGGTACATGTTATCACGGTACGCCTTCATACCAGTTATAAAGCCTTTCATAAAGACACAATTACTAGTTGACGTGTCCAATGTGTGGATTCATAATTCCCTTGTTCTTGTCAGTAATAACTGTGAGCAGGACGCAGTGGTCATCTCCATCATCAACGGCTTCACGTCTGTCTACGCCGCTACCGTCATTTACTCAATCATCGGGTTCAGAGCCACAAACAGATACGACCTCTGCTTAAGCGGGTAATTTGGACTCTCATCCAAATATGTGTCAGATCGTAGGGAGAAAGGGCCACAAGGCAAATCATGCAAATCCATTTTTTCCATGATTTTTATGTTTGTTTTCTTTATTATGACAACTTTGAGCAGCTTTTTTCAGCGTTGTGATTTCTGGTGACCTAATTTTCAAATGACCAGAAATCCTACAGTTGATACTCTTGTTCCCTCTTTTCCTATGGCCAGTCACAATTATTTTGTAACATGTGACATTGCAGTTTAAATGTCTGTGTGTACGTGTGTGTGTGTATGTGTGTATGTTTGTTTTAGGAATATTCTGGCTTTATTAAATGCATTTAATATTGCTGAGGGGGAAATCACCACCGGTAACTACACTGAGGTGCTTCAGTATCTCAACACTACTAATCCGGACACTATCCAAACCCTAGATCTGCAAAGCTGTGACCTGAAGACCTTTCTAAGTGAGGTATGTACTTCTGTCTTCAAGTCAAAATTCTTAATTTTGATATTTGTTCTCCTCGCACTTTGAGATCTCATTTAAATGTTAAGTGCATTATAAATAAAATGTATTATTAATTATTATTATTATTATTATTATTATCATACTTGCATTAGAATGTCCCTGATGTGTGAAAGGTTCATTTCTGAATGTGCAGAACTTGCCTCCATATGATACTTGCACCTTGCCCATAATGCTTTGCGCCTTAGGGGGTATTTCCCATGGAAGCAATTTCCTGATGAGAATGCTAAGGAAATCTACGGCGAGTTTGAAACCTCAAGGATCAATTGAATACGTTAAACCACCAGCCTCAGTGTCGTTGATGCACTAAAACAGTGGAAATGATTGTCATCTGATGGCCGCTCGAAGAACTACACACACCATTGTAACGCTGCATAAAGATATATGTTTACCTGATGGAAAAATCTGCTAGTTAAGGTTGTTTTAAGCTTTGATTGATTGCAGCCTACTCACCCAACAGACTTTTGGGACCCTAAGCAACATAGCTTCAGAGGCTGTTTCTGCTTCACTGCTACTTGTGTGAAACCATTGACTCTTTACATTGTCCAATATGGCACTCAGCTGTGATTAGATTCAGATTCAGATTCAGTTTATTTGCCATTTGCAGTAAAAAAACCACATTGGAATACATTAGCAAAAGTCTCCAGTGTGCACAGACAAATACAGACATAAAACAACATTAAAAGACAAAAATAAAACAAATAAAACAGTAAACAAATGTCACTGTGAAATCGATCGACTAAAACAGTTTAAAACAAGTGCAAATTATTAAAGTGCTCTGTTCACACTGATAACAGCTTGTGGATAAAAACTGTTAGCGTAACGAGATGTCCTGCATCTCAGAGAGCGATATCTTCTGCCAGAGGGAAGAAGCTGGAACATGGCTTTCCCAGTGTGGCCAGAAGAGTCATTGACAATCCTAAGAGCTTTGTTTAAAAGTCTGGATTTATAAAGAACCTCCAGAACAGGAAGCTCACAGCCCACGGTCCTCTTTGCAGAGCGGAGCACCTTGTTTAAAGCTCTCTTTTCTTTATCTGTGATGTTTCCAAACCACACAGACACAGAACTAACAAGTAAACTCTCAATGGTGCGGCGATAAAAGTTAAGCAGAATCTTAGAGTTAGTGGTAAATTCTCCAAGTTTATGCAGAAAGTAGAGACGCTGACGAGCTTTCTTAACGACTCGGTCAGTGTTTTTAACCCATTTCAGGTCATTAGACAGAGTTAAACCCAGAAACTTGCACTCCTCTACGATCTGCACCTGGGAGTTGTCGATTACGACAGGCAAATGAGAACTATTGCGACTGAAGTCGTAGACCAGTTCACATGTTTTCGATGCGTTCAACTGGAGGTTGTTAGTTTTACTCCACTGAACCACATTTTGGATCTCGGCTCTATAAGAGGATTCATCATTGTCACTGATGAGACCGATGATGGTGGTGTCATCAGCATATTTAATGATCAAGTTTGAGTCAGAGGAGGACACACAATCGTGAGTGTACAAAGTAAAAAGCAAAGGACTCAAAATACATCCCTGAGGAGAACCAGTGCTCACAGAAACAACATCAGAAAAACAGTCATTGATTTTCACTCTCTGAGATCTTTCAGTTAAAAAGCTAAAAATCAATTTACACATGGCAACACTTAAACCGAGAGACATGAGCTTTTCAATCAGTTTACCTGGGACAAGGCAGTTAAAAGCAGAGCTATAATCGATGAAAAGCATTCTCGCGACAGATTTACTATTATCCAAGTGACTGTAGACAGAGTTCAGAGCAAAGGAGATGGCATCCTCCACACTGTTCTGTCTGTAAGCAAACTGGAGCGGGTCAACGCTCACAGGGATCTGGCTCTTAATGAAGTCCAGCACAAGCCGCTCAAAAGTTTTCATAAGAACAGACGTGAGGGCCACGGGACGATAGTCATTCAGGCATGTCACAGGAGTTTTCTTAGGAACTGGAATGATGGTCGACTCTTTAAATCAGTTCGGCACAGTACAGTTCCTTAGCGACAGGTTACGGCAATTGCCAAATAAAAATACAAAAAAGTAAAGTGATAAATAGAAGGTGCAGATAACAAACCTTTGTTTGTTGTGTTTTTGCTTCTGTTGTTCTTTTTGTTTGTTTTTTTTACCTTCATATAACCTGGTTGGCTCCTCTCACCCAGAGCAAAATTCAAGATACATATCTTACAGACAAGTGTTTCACAAACACAGAGACTTTGGCATGAAGTCAAGAAAAGAGATTTAGTGCGACCAAAGGGGCCAGAATAAAGCCTAATTGACTTCAGAATCAGATTATAATCACGTGTTGGAAACGTACATTTGAAATGTTTTTCTCACACTTGCAGGGAGTTGAGGGCACAGGACTGGCCTTCATCGTGTTCACAGAAGCCATCACTAAGATGCCCATCTCCCCTCTCTGGTCTGTGCTATTCTTCATCATGCTCTTCTGCCTCGGACTCTCCTCCATGTTTGGAAACCTCGAGGGAGTCTTGGTGCCACTGCAAGATCTGAAGGTTTTCCCCAAGTCCTGGCCAAAAGAAGTTGTAACTGGTAACTATAGCAAAATACAAAAATAAAGAAAAATCAGTTCACCCAACTCCATCTACCATCATCTTCTGTTCACTTTCACCACCACAAAAACACATTTTTGCATATTTGACATTGTATGGACCAGAGGCACCTCAATTATGCACCTGAACTGGCCAAATCTCACCAATCAGATTTTTTATAATACAGTATATACTATATTATGTATTATTTTTACTTTGGTCTCAATCCTTTGGTCTTGCCATCAGGTGTGACTTGCCTGGTCTGCTGCTTGTTGGGCCTCATCTTCATCCAAGGCTCTGGGAACTACTGGCTGTCTCTGTTTGACACTTTCGGTGGGTCCATTCCACTGCTGGTGGTGGGCTTCAGCGAGATGTTTTCCATCGTGTACATATATGGCATCGACAGGTAAAACAAGCACACTTCTCCTCGTGACAATCACCTAAATGCAATGTGTCTCGTTCTTCTCTAGGTTCAACGACGATATTAAGTTCATGATCGGCCACAAACCAAACTTCTTCTGGCAAATATTGTGGAGATTCATCAGCCCTGTCATTATGTTCTTAATCCTGGTGTTTTACTTTGTCACTAAAGTTTCACAAAAGCTCTTTTATAAAACATGGGACCCTGAATCGGTAAGATTTTGCCTGCTTCCTCTGTATAGGTTGTGTTTATGTGCCAGAATTGTTTGAGTTGGAAGGCAGGCACCATTTTGGGCTGTAAACAAGTTACTTACAACTTATTAAATGTTAGTTTTAATCCAATCCAATCCACTTGATTTATATAGCACATTTAAACAACAATCACGTTTCCAAAGTGCTGCACAAACAAGTAAAAAACCCAATGTGTAACAAGTCTATGTACAGCACTTTGGTACGCCTAGGCTATTATTAATGTGCTCTACAAAGGAAGATTTCATTGATTGACAAACTTGCCATATTTTCATTTTGTCTGAAAGTCCTTTCTACTGGCCAGCATCATACACATGTTTTTTTAATATTGTCATCACTTCTAGACAGTTTTATGAAAAAATAAACAGTACATAGTTGATATGTATGTATAAGATAGATCCTAGCCTCGCTAACACCAAGCCTGGGAACTGTACATTCATATTCTTGTCGGAGAGTTCTGGGTTGTCATAGCCATTTATCGGGCTGAATATGTTGTATGCATCACATCGTATGAATTCTACTCAATAACGGGTGTCGAGCTAAATAAATTGGACGAGAAGCTAAAAAGACGAATGGTCTTTCCACAATGGAGCCAAACGATTACCGTTTGCGAAAGTGAGAGATGAGGGAGATATTTACTGCCATCATGAGGATCTGTAAACAATCCACAAGATTCTGTCTGACCAATAGTGTGTCATCGTCATCCCGCTGTCTCTCCCTTTTATGTGATTAGTCCGAGTTTCTAGGCTGTTGTGCAGTTCAAAATGATTTGCGTGCACAGAGCAGCATGAGGATTCCCAGGCAAGGTTGGCCCAGGGATTACAGAGAAATGAGATGAACTAAGACGAGAATCTAGCAAACTTACCGTGTTACCAGGATAGAATTATCAGCTGCCTTCCGTTACAATTTTAAACCGAATGATCGTTGTAATGTTGTGATATCACTTGAACACAACCTATTGGATCACATTGTTACGTTTGTATGTCACATAATATTCTGTTTGCCGACAGGACAAATTCCCAACACTGGTAGAAAAGACTTACCCCCCGTGGATCTACGTGATCATCTTCATTCTGGCGGGGGTCCCATGCCTCGCCATCCCTGTGGCTGCGGCGGTCAAATTCTGCAAGAGAAGGAAACAAGGAAAGTCATACCTTAACAGCTTTTCCTCAAACTCTACTGAAATCAAGAGCGCAGAAGTGAAAAAATAAACCCTTACATTTTTGTGAATATTTTTTAGTGCACTTACTCATGCAGTAAAAATAAGTTAATCATCCATAAAAAAAATCATATCTTGAACTCCCACCACCAGTTCCAGCACAAACAATAGACTGCTAGTTAACATCATGAATAGGAAAAAGAAAAAAATCTAAAATTTGTAACCCAGAAGTAAACCTCCTCAAAGCTTCTCATAAACAGTAGAATTGGCCTCCTAAAGGATGTCCTTGGGCATGATGGGACCAAACAGAACCCAAACAGACTTGTGTAGATGTGGAGCTCTTGATGCTTTGTTCTGGCCATTTTCTCTGTTCTGGTTCAGAGTGAAACCCTGAGTCTTTCCCGGTTGAAATTATGTTATTCATTGTAATTGGGTCTAAACAGAAAGAAAAGGCTTCAGCCCAAGGACTTTGTAAGAAACCTTGGTGTCTCCATAGAATTGTAGCTCAAACTCAAGCAACAATCATTACTAAATTTTTCATTTGTCACTTCAAATATCTCTGACATTTGTGGGTCCAAAGATGCAGAAACACGCTTTTGTCTCTATCTCAGGTCTTCTTCTTAAATCAATCCAAATCAAATGTTTTGACTTCTGTCGATGTTCTTTGTGTCGCTGTCCAGGAGCACAGGAGGATGCTAGACAATGTTTTTTGTAGTTGTAGTTATGTCTTTTATTTGGTGTATTTGTTCTGGAACTGTGTGTGCTGTTGATGAATGAATGAAGAAAAAAAATCTATATGCATGTTTTAAAGTGCTTTACAGTCTTTGCTTGTTTATAAGCCTCTGTCCTTGGATTTGAAAGCTGTACTGGTTTCAAAAATGTGATTACAAACAAACTATATATAGCGCATTTCACAGACCAAGGTCACTCAAGAAGTTTTAGGAGTACCAATATTTTCCATTTTCTCCTCGCACGATGATGATAGAAACAAGACGTAAGCCCTGACTATCACCACTCATTCTCTACATCCAGACCTACTGTGGAAAACATGCAAACTCCACGTCTTTGAATCGAAACCAAGAACTTCTTGCTGTGACACACAAGTGCTAACCAACGCACTCAAGGGCCGCCCTAAGAACCTACTTTTGTTTTTAAAGATAGAAAACTGCTGAGTATGATGTCATAGTGGTACAATGACATCATACTGTAACAGAACTGAGACAAGAGCTTTTAGACAGAGGGGATTTTTTCATGTTTGTGCCAGAAGTTCCTGATATCAATGTGAATGGATCTAAATATAACAAATCCGGGTCTGTGACGGATGAGGGGTTCTCGTTCTACAGCCTGAGTCCTGGATCTATAGCCCGTCCAAGCGTGGGAGCGGATCCCTCTCTCAATCTGGTTCTCCCCGAGGTTTCTCCCACTTTCCTATTGGACTTTTTGTTCCTTGCTGATGCAGGAGGGTCTGTTGGACACTTATCTGGGTCTAACTAAAGAACAGTGATGATGATCCAGGACACTCGACATTTATCAACATTTATGGACATTGGTCACCTGCTCCTTGCGTTTTCTATCATTGCATTTCTTGTGTTTGAACTGTTTGATAAGTTTTGTTAAGTCCTCCGAGAAAACTACTGTTTTCATTTAAGGCTATACAAGAATAAATTGAATTGAATTGAAGTTAAAGGTGAAAAAAAATGTGTCTTTTGCAGAATATGTCTCCTTGAATGTAGTGATGTTGGCCTGTGAGCTGGGCATTTTACACACACACACACACACACACACACACACACTGACCCCGGCATGAGGCGACAGTGCGGTCTCCCTGTCCACACACCGCTCATGTTGTGTGTGTGTATATTTTCAGTCATACCAGTTACTCACTTGTGCTTTTTGTGGCGTGAGGGAGCGCGGATATTGTCTCTCCGGGAACCACGTGCTTTTGGAATATGCTGGCTGCCTTTGTTTTCCCGCTGCTTGTTCTGCTTTTCTGGCATTTTCATACAATGGTCACCTCCACACTGTGATGTTATTAAGCCTTCAAGCTACTATTGCCTGAATTCCAGCCTTTAGGAAACAGCAACATCCCAAACTAGGATACATGGATACAACCAAGCAGATTGATTAAACATCAGCCAAACCGTAAGTCTTTATACTTGAATTTGAGACGTGACTGTAGATGTACAACTTGTGCTGCAGCAACGTTCCGTTCATAGACAAGAGATTTCAGACTCACCAAAAACAATAAACATGTAATGATTGGAGAAGTTTAGACAAAATGTTATTCATGATTATTTTGATAATCCATTACTTGACCAATTATTCTTTCAATGAGTTGTTTAGATCCGGAAACGCCAGGGGATATGAGATTTTTATTCATTTGATCAAAGCAAAGCTCAAGTGTTGCCCCTAGAGAATATTTTCATAGAGATGACTTGTTACACTTTGGGGGTTTTGATATAAAAAAAAACTTTGTAAACACATTTTAATTTCATTCTGCAGTCTATAGTCGTACAATCAAATTCTCAGCATGTTTGAGTCTATGTAAATTATTTTAAAAAGTCATTCAGTGCTAAATTAGTTGGCAATTATTTAAATAATCATTTAATAGCGACTAATCTTTTCTCATGTGCAGTCTTAGTTTGGTCTAACGTACAATTGTTGTATTATTTTTGTATTCCTATAGAAAGGAATGTCCCACCGAGCAGAGGAATTTCCCTATGAAGGGGCTGTGATGGAGTTAGAGTTGGAAAATGATAGATCAAAAAACAGAAGCAAAAAAGCCAGCAATATATCAGGTGAGGCTTCAATAAATACTGAACTTTAGGCCACAATGTGAATATTGGTTTGGATTTTTCTCCCCAAGGTTCAGCTCTTATTTACCTAAAAGGACCCAAGTTTCTCATCTATGTCAGTGGAGCTCTATCTATGTGGGTAAGGTTTCTCATATTCTTTAAAAACGCGGGAATGCTTTGGGTGGTCAGATTTCAAACACAGTGTTATGTTTCTGTGTCACTCAGGGCGACCGCATGTGGCACTTTGCGATCTCCGTGTTTTTGATCGAGTTGTACGGCAGAAACCTCCTCCTCACCGCAGTGTTTGGCCTGGTGCTGGCAGGGTCTGTGCTTCTGCTTGGGGCACTGATCGGAGACTGGGTGGACCGCAACCCCAGGAATAAAGGTTAGATTAAGATTAAGAGATTCTTTATTCATCCCACAGCGGGGAAATTTCAGTGTTGCATCACCAGTTACCGAATAGTAGGAATGAGGAGCACACAGCACAGGATAAATGACTCTAAACGAAAGAAAATAAGATCTATAACTATAGCATCAAAAAGAGACCAGTATAAAATATTTAGCTTTAGCAGAATTAAGAAGTAGGAATTAAGTGCAAAAACTCTGACTTTAGCACAATAAAGACGTATAAAATATCTAACTTTGGCATAATAAGAAGCAAGTATAAAGTACTTTATGTTCTAATAGTTGTATGTATAACGCTACATCTGTAGCTACATGTGTGCAGCGTGAGGGTATGTGGACACATGTAGTGCCATATTGCACATTCTGACTTTATTAAAGGTAACGTTATGAGTTCCATTAATGCTGTTTGGATTTCCATCTTTGAGCTGTTTTTCTGTCTTTCTCTTTTAGTTGCACATGCGTCACTCTTCATCCAGAACATCTCTGTGACCGTGTGTAGCATTGTCCTCATGTTGGTGTTCTCCTATAAGGCCTGGATAGAGCAGATCTGGGATGGATGGCTCACTGTGAGTAAACTCTTAACACAATGAACTAAAAACTGTTCTTCTGCTGTTGTGTGCGATGTTGTTGTTGCTGATGCCTCTGAGCTCGCGGCTGCTCTGTGCTGTCATAGTAACCTGTTGCATCACAAAACTTACACAAGGTGGTTTGTTACACGGTGGTGATCGTCCTGGCAGACGTGGCAAACCTTGCGAGCACCGCACTGACCATTGCCATTCAGAGGGACTGGATTGTTGTAATCACTGGGCACAACAGGGGTCACTTAGCTGGTGAGAGAGAGAAAAGTGTTGTTTGTCATTTAAAAAACACTGGATTCAAAGTCAGACTAACCTGGAGCATTAACTGTATGTTTACACAGGGATGAATGCCACCATGAGGAGGATCGATCAGGTGACCAACATTCTGGCCCCGCTGGCCGTGGGGCAGGTCATGACCCTGGCCTCTAATGTGGTGGGCTGTGGCTTCATCCTGGGCTGGAACCTGGTGTCTCTCATAGTAGAGTTCTTCTTTTTGTCGAGAGTGTATCGAATTGTGCCAGCACTGTCAGTCAAACCCCCGGCTGAGGAGGTGGATATGGTTTATCCACAGAGCAGAGAGAGGAGGGCTCCGAGAGGAGGCTCACCAGGCAAGTAAAGACAATCTTTATTCCAACATTATCTAACATATTAAAACATCTTTCTTTGAAACACCAGTGTTGCAGTTTTATGTTAAAGATGTTGACTTAAAGTATTGGTATGTGTTTGTTCTACTAGCCCTGGAGAATGGGACCCGACCTCCTCGTGTAACAGCAGATTCCTTTAACACTCTTGCCAAACATCGAGAGCTGTCTCTGGGTTTGCGCAGACTGCAGTGCCTCGTCAGCACCTGTAAGGACGGCTGGACGGCCTACTACCGCCAGCCGGTGTTTCTGGCCGGCATGGGCCTGGCCTTCCTCTACACCACAGTGTTGGGCTTCGACTGTATCACCACAGGATACGCCTACACTCAGGGCATCAGCGGCTCACTGCTCAGCATCCTGATGGGAGTGTCGGCCATCACCGGCCTCATGGGGACTGTGCTCTTCACCAGACTGAGGAAGTCCTTTGGCCTCATCAACACAGGCATCATCTCCAGCTGCCTTCACCTGGGCTGCCTGTTGCTCTGTGTCAGCTCTGTCTTTGCTCCGGGCAGCCCCATGGACACTAGTCTGCTGAGGCCTTTCACTGACTCTAACTCCTCTGAGCTGGGAGGAATGACGAGTCCAAAACACACGTATCCTCTGAGGGGCGGCGTGAACCAGCCACTGTTACCGGACCGCTCCTCCATCCACTGGACCAACAACACCGTGCTCTTTGACAATGTTCCCAATGACACAGAACCCGAGTCATACATCTCCATCACGCTGTTGTTTCTGGGAGTGATCACAGCTCGCATAGGTAAGTCCATCAGAGGATTGTAGAGAAATGTGAACGAAATTAAGTCAAAGTGTTTGTGTTTGGCTTCAGGCCTGTGGTCCTTCGACCTGACAGTGACCCAGCTGCTGCAGGAGAGCATCTCTGAGTCGGAGCGAGGGGTGGTCAATGGGGTCCAAAGCTCCATGAATTATTTGATGGACCTGCTTCACTTCATCATGGTCATCTCTGCTCCTCAGCCACAGCACTTTGGATATTTGGTCATCATCTCTGTATTATTCATTGCCACTGGACACATTATGTTCTTCATGTATGCTCACAAAACCAAGAGAAAAGGCAGTTTAGACACATAAGTCTTCCAGTGTTCACATGTGCACACATGTAGACAACACACAGGGCTATCTGCACTGACTACACTTGACACCTGTGGAATGAATGTCTGCCTCCAGTTGCTTCAGATTTCACTTGTGACATAGTCATTCATTTAAGCACATCTCAGCTAGTGTCTGTCCCAACTCAGCTGCATATAACTCAGGTAAAGAAGAGCTGGAGCCTCTCCCTCTGGGAAGTCCATGCTAAGGGGCACAAGAGGCCAGATAGGACAACCCTACAGAGGTAATAAGCATGGAGAAGAAACTCTCAGTTTTAACTAATGTTTTGTGAAGACCGCATAGTGTCACTGATCCGTCCACTTGGAAATACTCCAGGATCCTAAAGGAACATAAAGGGAACTTGACAATAGATTGTTGCATTCTTCAGCTCGTTTTAATGGACATGAGTGAAACTGTTCCCCTGGTTTGTTTCTCTGTGGATGAATCAAACATTTAGCTAAATGTCTTTATACAAAATATCACAGAGAGCCTAACCTACATTGTAGATACATTTCTTTCATTCACTTACAGAGTGCTAGTGGTTTTTGACAACTTTCCACCCAGTTGTATTTTTAGAGTTGACTCATGTATTGTATTGTATTGCTTTAATAGCAGTACCACTTTTTTCTGTACTTTTCTTGGGTTAAACAGCTTACCTCAACTGTGCTTCAGTGGAATGACAAGTGTCTTCCAGATTTTTAACACGATCTTGTTTATTTTGTACTTGAATGTCTGGTAAATAAAATGAAGCCTTCATTATCCCAGTTGTTATTGATTCGGTGAACATAAGGACTAAGCTATGATTAAGTAAATAACTAAATAAAGTTAATGTAATTAATAATGATGTCCAGTAGAGGTCAGTACTGCGCCAGAGCCAGAGCTTCAGCCCAACTTTACAGTCTAAGCCCAACGCATGGATGTATTATGTATGATGTTGTATTCTACATTATGTGCCCATGTAGCTGTTTGAGCTGCATAAATACCAGATGGAAAAAATACTCTCAACTGTGAGTAATTGTAACTGTGACAGTGGCTGAATATCACAATATCACAAAATAATTTCACAACTGGCCACTTTGACTAATAATATAATTGCAAAATGAGAAATCTACTTGTGGCCATGTTGTAATATGTATATCTGAATGTGGTGGTAAGAAGCATTTTTCAGCACTAATGATTTAGAATCTCATTATTATATGGATGTTCTAGTTTTCCGTAACAGTAAACAGTTTCATTGCTGCAGTATTTGTGCAGTATCCGTGTGAATCCCTCGACTCTTCCTCTCCACAGACACACACGTTGTGTCTCCTGACTTTATTCCAGGCATTTTTACTTTGCAATTCATTTAAAAAGTGGGTCAGTGAAAACAGTGTTAAAGCCTGCGCTTTTGCTCAGGGAGAAGAAAGGGTGTCATAATTATCTTTGCATTATTCATGATCTTTTACATCTTTTCCAACTAAATCTATTGACAAGAGACGATGAAACCTTCAGCATAATCTTATGAAATGTAGTGTAACATGTGTAAGAACAGTAGATGATAATAGTCTTGTTTCAGACTTAGAGATGCTGCTCATGGAGACACAGACTTCTGCTCTTACACTCTGCTGTATCAGCACTTTGTCTGTGCTTTGTGTCGGTTCAGTGACTCACTGGAAAACCATTCAGCAAAGGACACAACAAGCATTCTGCAGACCTCTGACCAGAGTACTACAGAGCTCCTTGTATGGGCCGCACTGCTTCAGAAGACACAACAACATTCTATGAATAAACATTACTATTGTTAAAAAGTGGAATGGTTTGGTTGAGTTGGTTTTTCCTTGATACAAGTGCAATCAGAAAGTATGTGGACCCTCTTCACCCCCTTTTATAGAGTGACATGTTAGCTTCCTTCCAATGTTGACTTGTTGACAGTTTCTTTTAGATTACTTGTAATCGTCTTGCAGCGATTACCGTCTTTTCTTTCCTGGATGCAGCAGTGTGACACACTCAGCAGCTTCTGGTTTCCTCCAAATGTGACGTTTAGCAAAGGATGTATACTGGTGCACTGTCATTTTAGTGTTTTATTTTTGAATAAAATGACACAGACTCCTAAATTATAAGGAAAAACATTATACATTTTGGAAACTGTAGAGAAAGTGAAGGAGGTGCTTGTATTGTATTTCCTCGAAGGTGTAACATGTGGTAATACTAGTAGTATTAAGTAGTAAAGTAGTTGCAGTATTAAGTAGTAAAGCATAGATAAGATGTCTTCTATCCTCTTAACACCCGTTTTTATGTTTTTAAATGTTCTGCTGGCAATAGCAGATGTATTTTTAACAACAAACCCCAAAAGCTGTGTATAAAAGCTTATTTTCATATCTACATTTATATACAAGTGTAAACTACATCAGACTTTGCATTCAAAAGATATAACACATAATGTGGGCACAAAAGAGATCAATTCCGAAATAGTTTTTTACCTTTGGGCTTGTGCTGTACAAATAAATCAGCTCTCCTCCCAGCTTGCAATACATCATTCTCTCTGGAACAGTCCAAAGGAAAATTATATCCACTTGTATTACCCAAAGTAAAATCCATTCTGCAGAAATAATCCAAAAATGTGCATTTATCTTTAGCGAAAAAAACGAAAAAAAAGAGCACAGATGTTGCTCTTTCACTTTTAACGGACTTTTAGGTTTGTTTTTCACCCAAACATCTGGTATCCACGTGTTCCTTAGCTCCTTATCTTTCATATGAGACGTCTCCCGAAAAGCTAGACCATTTTTTTGGGTCTGCAAGAGCTCCCGTGAGTACAGCTAGCGCTGCTGTTTGCGCATGGATTACTGATCTTTGTTGTTGTCCCTACTTGTCTGCATCTAGTTCCTGGATTTTTGATTGACATGTCCGTGTAGCCAATGAGGAAAGCTTTTGAACAAGGGGTGGGACAATGGTGTTGAATCTTATTTTGAGCTTGTAGAATTGTGCGTAATGTATGGAAGCCCGTTTCCGCCATGTAAAAAAAAAAAAGGCCTACAGAAAGTCAAAATTTTGACTTTAAAAGTCAAAATTTCGACTTTAAAAGTCGAAATTACGAGTTTTAAACTGCGCATGTGCAGTTGAAAACTCGTATGTGTTGTTGGCTGGAACGGTCTCTGGTCAACCCTGTTATAGATCCATGACCATGGGTCATCCTCTACCTGCAGATTATGTGAAGATTTTGCCTACAGACAGTGACCACATCCATTAAGTAGCAGCAATAATGTTGTGGTAGTAATCGCGTTAAAATGCAAACGGTCTCTCCGTTTATGATTAGAATCCGCTTCAGAAGCCTCTATTTAGTTTATCCTAAACGGACTGTGGAAGATTAATAATAAAACACATGTGGCTGTTCAAAGTCATTGAGCATCAACTGGTGACGTCTGGTCAGTATCATTGCGATCGATGGATGCACCAGAAATGCAGTGAATATTATTGTGACTGACAGAGAGACCGTTCGCGATTACTGGATAGTGAGGGAGGTCCGCAGACAGAGGCAGGAGAACCACAGACAGAGGCAGGAGAACCACAGACAGAGGCAGGAGAACCACAGACAGAGGCAGGTAAACCACAGACAGAGGCAGGAGAACCACAGACAGAGGCAGGAGAACCACAGTCACGGGCACTGACAATATTACCCTTTTGGAATTGCGATCAGTGCATTGTAGAGTATGTGACGTGTTTGCGTGCATGCGGGGGTGAGCTGATGGAGCGAGCGTGCTGGTAAAGTTGTTGGCGTATGAGCAAGAACACAGAGACATACAGGGAATAAGTACCTTGTTATATGTAAATTGAATTTAACATAAATAAATAAAAAGACAGCTCCTCCCTGCGTCCTACGACCGCGGTCTGGGGCTTAAACAGGAAAGTTTTACAGAATCAATCAAACAACATTATTTCTGGCTACTTCATGGATGCAGTGGTCACTGTAGGCAATATCTTCACATAACCTGCAGGTGAAGGACGTCCAGAGACCGTTCCAGACAACAACACATACGAGTTTTCAACTGCACATGCGCAGTTGAAAACTCGTAATTTTGACTTTTAAAGTCGAAATTTTGACTTTTAAAGTTGTAATTTTGACTTTTAAAGTCGAAATGTTGACTTTTAAAGTCGTAATTTTGATTTTTAAACTCAAAATTTTGACTTTCTGTATGCTTTTTTTTTTTTGGCGGAAACGGGCTTCCAACTTTGACATTTAAAAAAACCAAAACACATAGATTAGTAACTTATAAGTACCAATAATAAAAAATATTGTTTTTATAATGATTAAATGTCAGTAAAGATATTGTGCCAAATGTGCACTACTTGATGAAAAGGAGAAACTGCATAAAAACTATAAAACTTAGAAGTCTGAAACTATAGACAGTTATTGTCAACAACACAATGACCACAGGGTTTGAATATTTTGAACTTACAATGAAGTATGCCTTTTTTAGGGCCTTTAGAAATTGAAAATGTTAGGTGAGGCTAAAAAAATTGGGTTTTTTTCCCAAACTTCAAAGGATGCAGAGGGAAATAGGAATGACAGACATTATTTTAGTGTTTTTTTACATAAACTAGAAGGCTCTAGCTTTAAAATGATGCATCACACAAGCATGTGAGATGTAAGATGTGTTTTTAAATAAGCAAAGACATTTGGGTATGCCCAACTTTTGTGCACAAGCCAAAATGAGGTGGGTGTTAAGAGGATAAAGACAGCATCTTGTGGTCTGGTTGGTTTACGACAGTAAAGACTTGTTTTGGGACAAACAAAGAAGTACATCAATCCAGGCGCTAAATTGCCTGCAGAATAGCCTGTGCAATGTTCATGGTTGAGTTCGATAGGACTTGTGCATAATAAATCAGTTTGTGTCAATGATAAGGAGTCTAATCATCTAAGGCCTAGATGCACCAACCAGACGAGAGCCAACACCCGCTGTGTTGGACATTGTCGACCCAGCTCGGCTACAAACTCGTTGCTAGATTCTGCTCCAACATCAGCCAACTCTATGCCATGTGTGTCAGTTTACTCTTTTTATTTCACAGGCAACAAGCACAAGCTACAATTAGGGTTTACGTCAAGTGAGATCAAACTTTCAAGTGTACTTAATTTATACAAATGTAAAATAAATCGATAAGAGAGAACAAAAACAAGGTAAGATTATACTATTTATATTTTCCTATTATCCTATGTGTTAATTATCATGGTCCTTTCTCCTGCTTCTGATTGTGTATGAGACAATACTTGTGTATTTCACCCACTGCACGCCAAAGCACCACAGACCTGCACAGTCATGCAGCTTTCAGTCAAAACAGAAAATACTCTGGTCTTTGACTAGATCAGCCCCACATGCCAACAGGCCCAGCAGCAGCAGCTTCTCTTCCTCGCATCTTAGATCATGAGAATATTTTGTACACAGTGTAAGCCATAATCATCTAAACTGTAACAAACAAAGGCTTAGCATATGTCACTTTGAATGCATTGAGTCTATGAAATAAACTGGTTTCACATTAGTAAATTAAATTATAAACAAACTAATAACCAGAGTTTCACCTGTATTCCCAAAAAAGCACCCAGGCCTATGTACAGTATATACCTTTAAACTGAACTTACTATACTTATTAAACTTCAAATACATATCTGTATATTTGAATGTGGACTTCTTGGTAATACCCTGCCCAGTTGTCCAAGAATCAACACTTGTACCAAACTGCGGACCACCCATTGTACTGTGCCCTTTCTAACGTCCGCACAGGATCTGGGGGCTTCCTCTGTGGGACTGTCCTCCTCTCCAGATGTTTCCTGATCCCACCTCATTCACTCCCATCCTGGGGTTTAAGAACCAAGGCAAGAAGCAGGTCCCCACTGAAGCCACCACTGCATTGTACTTACAGGAGAGGACTGCAAACATTCACAGAGAAAATGGTGAGTGAAAAATATTCTGTCCAAAGGCTGATCTAAAGGACAAACACCACATGCATGTGGAAATGTGATGGAATCGAGCAGGTTTGAGAGCAACAAGTTTGATGGATTTTTCTTACATGTTTTGTTTTTGTTTTTTTGAGGGCTGATCATGAGGTTTTAGTTCAAAGAGTCTTACATTGAAATAAAAGCTGTAATAACAGATTTTCAACTCTCAAATAAAAGTGAAAATAGACTTGAGACATGAGAATTTAAAATATTTAATACTATTCCAAATATGTTTACAGGTTAATTATTTGAAGTGGAAGGTACTGGGGGGAAAGGAAGGACAATTGATATTTCATTGCATGTTTGTAGAATAAGCAACAGACTTAAGACTCATGTTTCAATAGACTTGAGACTCGGGTCCTGCCGGCATCTTTTGAAGGACTAACAGCATCCGCAGTCAAAGTAAAGCTGTTAAAGATAATAGAGATAAACTGTTTTTAGTTGATCAGTTAATAGAGCATTGGCCTTTGAGCCTGCAGGTTGTGGGTTCGAGCCCACCATGAGACTGACTCCCACTGATGACTGCTGTCGTTGTGTCCTTGGGCAATGCACTTAACCCCACTTTGCCTGAAGCCCCCGCTGAAAGATCAAGGCTCCTGTGGACTCACCACCTGCAGGAGGATCAGTGAGGGGCTGGTGCTATGTGTACTGGGTGGCATCTCTGACCACCCCCCCTGATCCAGAAATGAATTAAGGGGTAGAAAATGGATGGATGGATGTTTTTAGCTAATATGTTTATCAAAATCACCACAATGTGACAGAGAGTACAATCTTTCCCACCAAAATCTTGTCTTGGCTTCTTCTTGTCCAACCACCATTATATTGATGTATTCATTACACACATTTAACACAAATAAAACAATTTTTCTGACTATTTTTATTCAAAATTGTTCTTGGTTCAAATACATTTTTGGTGTGATGAATGTGTTTTATTGTTGCCTCCATTGCATTGAGTTAAACTATAATGACACAGCTAGATAATTGATCTGAGGTATTATAGAGGTTTTCCAGTTGTCTGCATACACCCACATTTGAGCTGATTTCTGGTGCATGATTTTCAGGACGAAAAGCGTGGAAAGGAGTCCGTGATGTGGGACTGTGGACTGCGGCAGGTGTTTGGTCCTCACCCTCCTCACGCCCCTCACCACAGCAGCAGGAGGTCCATCCTACAGGTCAGAGAGGAGCTGTCCCGGCTGGAGATGGTCCACAGACTGGCCAAGGATGGATGTCGCCTCTTACAGAACCACGGGAAGAGTCCAGAGAAAATGAAAGAGGTTAGTCACTTATAATACCACATATTGTCAAAGCTGCTGGGTTTGACTCCTGTTTGCATGTTCTCTCTGTGTCAGAGTTGCGTTCCTCCAGTTAAATGTGTTAAGGAAACGTAGGCATAGACCATACAGAAAGGAAGGGGGAGGGAGCTTGGGTCGTTTTTTTCAAATCCTGTACCTCTCTCTCTTTTTTCTGACAAACTCCAGACAATTACTTTATTTTGCCAGCACAGAATTTTGTTTTATGGTATGGTTCAATTCAATGTAATTCAATTCATTCTTGTATAGCCCTAAATCACAACAGTAGTTATCACGGAGGACTTTACACAACCACTGAATTTGCCAACACAGCTCAGAGAATCAAACAGTTCAAAGACAAGAAAGGCTGTGGTATCTCAGCTGAACTAAACTTGGTTGAAAAAAGGTCGCTAAAACAAAATAAATGTTCTTACCTTCCCCATATCTTCATACCTGATTTGTCATAATCTTAAATATGACTGAGAGCAGCACGGGGGTTACTGCCACCTGCTTATTCTTTTGTAGACTGTTCCTTATATAAGCCATCCATCCATCCATTTTCTTCCCCTTGATCCATTTCTGGGTCAGGGGTGGTAGTCAGAGCTGCATCCAGTACACACCAGCCCCTCACTGATCCTCCTGCAGGTGGTGAGTCCACAGAAGCCTTGATCTTCCAGCAGGGGCTTCAGGCAAAGTGGGGTTAAGTGTCTTGCCCAAGAACACAACGACAGCAGACATCAGTGGGAGTCGTGAAGTAGGTCTCGTGGTGGGCTTATATTGGCAGTTAAGGTAACTCCAGTGTGACCGGTGGTGATTGGACAGTCCAGTAGGGCCACCAGTGCAGGTCAACAGCTCCACTTACTGTATGTCAGTCAGGCTCAGGGCAGCTGTGGCTACTGTGATTTTTTGCAGTAGTAATTAACCATCATTGTGTGTGAATAATTAATATGCAAAAGCGACTTTGTGACTGTCTGTGAAAAGCACTTACGAATAAAACAACGTTACTAAAAATAACGTTTACATTACATTAGAGTTGCACAATTCTTCCAAAACAAAACATCAAATTGTGCTTGTTTTTTTATTTAAAAAGCATAAAATCAACTAAGAGAGTTAGAGGTTTGCACACGTCTCAGAAAACTGTTTGTAGATGTCTGATTTGTAATACAAGTGTAAATTTGCATGAATTCCCTGCAAAAACAACCCTTTATAAATTCAATGTATTTTTGTATAGTCCTAAATCACAACAGTAGTCGTCTCGGCGGACTTAACAAAGTTGTTGATTCGTCAGCAAACACACAGAAAATGCAATAATAACAAACAAAGAGCCATTGATCCATATAGGGGTGGATGACCAATGTCCATAAATGAAAATGATTAATAATAGTATACTACTGAGGTACAGTATGCGGCAGTAATCAGGGGTGGATGACGCAGATTCTGACTCCTTCAGTCTGCCCCAGGGCACCTGTGGCCTTAGTTTTCGCTGAAGTGTGCTATTTTACTCACACCCATTTCCTCTTGTGTTTGCTGTGGCAAGAGAAAAATTTTTTTCAAGGACAATTATGTCAAAAGTATATTAGGAGCAGTGCCAGAACAAACTGATCTCGTCCCTGACTTTCCGACGTTTTGAACCATCACAGCTGTCATTGTGCTCGCAAATCCTGGCCTCTGATTGGCCGACGCCTGGGCTGTTCCCTTCCTGCAGCTGCGTTCGTAAGCAGAGGGTCGACAAAGACAGGAAAAGGTGACGTCGCAGAGCCTCAGACCAGTGTTCCAGAGGACACAGGGCGGAGCTCCGACCTGCTCGCCACCTCTTTTGTTTGTCTCTTATAGCTCTGCAGAGAGGTGGGAAATACAGTATTCACTACACGCAAATCCCATAATGCCTTTGGGCTTGGGGGGTTCCTCCCATAGAAGCTGGATGCATCATCATCATTATTATTATTATTATTATTATTATTGCAAAAACACATCATCAGTAGGGTGAAACTAACCTGTCTCACGACGGTCTAAACCCAGCTCACGTTCCCTATTAGTGGGTGAACAATCCAACGCTTGGTGAATTCTGCTTCACAATGATAGGAAGAGCCGACATCAAAGGATCAAAAAGTGACGTCGCTATGAACGCTTGGCTGCCACAAGTAACTTTTCTGACACCTCCTGCTTAAAACCCAAGAGTCAGAAGGATCGTGGGGCCTGTATTCATACTGAAAATCAATTTTTGTACTATTTTTACCGATTTACCAAATCAAATTCCTAGTTTGTAACTTCCAGCTACTCACAATGACAATATAAAAGAATCTTGCATAAAGAAATAACAAACATGTTAGACATTATTAGTGTAATGTCTCATAGATGCGAATCGTCTCATTTCATTTTCAGTACAACATGGTTAATCCTAATGGCCTGATGTCCGGCCTTTTCTTTAATGCGTATCTAGAAATCAAGCTTATCTGAGATTATCCAAGAGCGTTTTGAGTTTATACTGTACATTGTGTTAATCTACAATATAATCCAGAATGAGAGCAGCACAATGCAAACTGTACATGACGTCCGCAGAGAGTTGTTCAGTAAAGAATCGAATGAATGCAAACGTGAGGGGGAGCGCATTGAGGCCACAGCAATTATGCAATAAAGTGAATATGAACCGTGGGACTTATAATAGCAACCGACGTGACAGGAGGAGGAGGAAGAGAATGAAAAAACGTCACAATATCAAGAGAATCATTTGTTTAGAAGAAAACTGATGTAACCCTTCAGATGTTTTTTTAGTATGTGACATTTACGCACAAGAAAACAAAGTATGAAAAAAGAAGGGAAACGTTTAGCAAAGTTGCTGTATAGAAAGTGTTCAGTTCAGTAGTGTGTCGCTATAACACATGGATGTCAAAGTAAAATACATCCGAGGGTCAGAAAACAAATTTGCTACAAGCCGAGGACCAGACTGGTTAAATGTTTATTAAAACATATTAAAATGATGCATAAAACCTATTGAACCAAGACCTAACACAGTGTACCGTATTTTATGGAATGATTAAATTAATACTCCAATATTTTTGTATTGCTCTGCCAGTAGTTTCCCAAAAAAAGTTAAAATAAAAATGTCAGCAGGCTCACAGACAAAAACAAACTTCCTTCAAAGAGAAAACACATCACACAACACGTCCCAAACATTAAGTTAGTAATCCAATATTTACTTATGGCTCTGTGTGGGCCGGTTTTAATACTAATCAAAAACTAATTAAAATCAAACATCATCCCGGGGCCAACATAGTTAATTTGCGGGCCGGAGTTCAGGAGGTTAGTTAGTGGGGTGAGGGGTTTTACATCCTTACAAACATATTTGTTGCCACTTTTGCATATTGAAGGTTGTTTTTAGAATGTATCTCCCGCCAAAGCGAGAGGCCATTTCAGTCGCTTTGTCGTTTTATTTGCTTTAAGTGAACGCCATTTTAAAATTTGTAACGAGGTGGACCCGCCCATATTGACTCCTACAGCTTCCTGATTGGACAAAGTGTATTCAAATCCTCCTTGGTCTAACTTTTCTCTTCCAGTTTATCTTCCTGGTGAATATTCCCTCTAATGAAATACAATCACAAACATCACCTTTAATAAACCCGGACTATGTATATTTTTCAATGCAATGCTTTCTTTGTCGATATCGCCTTTTTCACAGACTAAAGTCATACAAAGCGCTGTACAAAGTCTTTGGAGAACTGATAAACCTCTGAAACTAAGCAGGACAGGGCCTGGTTAGTACTGTGATGGGAGACCTCTGGGAACACCATGTGCCACAGTGGGGCGGAGGGTGCAGTAAAGTGCCAAACTGCTGTTGTGTCCTTAGGCAAAACACTTTTCCCACATTCCCTATAATGGGTCCGGTGTGTGCAAGAAAGATGGTGCGTATGGAGTAAATGAATAATCAAGTCATGTTTTTGTGTTAAAAAAAAAAAGCCAAATACAAAATCGTATCTTTTTTTTACCTTTTATACTTAGTGTAAGATGATATTTCACATTCTAAAACATGAATAGAGATATGAATAGTTATAATATCATGAGCAAAGACCAACAATACATCTCTATCAAAGAAACTAATGTGTTTCTTGCAACTAGTCAATAGCATCTCAATACATATCATAATTTTAACCTGATATTTCATTTTTGCTGTGTTTTCACGTTATAACAAATACGTATAACATTCAAGACTGGTCAACTTAGAACGTCTTGAAAGCCATGTGGTTTTGCTTTCTTGTCAGATCTAAGTCTATAGTTCCTCTCAGTAAATCTCCTGCTGCAGATATAAAGTAGGATTGATTTTACCATTACATTGTACAGGCAGAAAAACCCCATCAGGGAAAGGCCTGCTGCAAACATTTCCATTAACGGTGCCGTCTGGGTCCGATCCCCGCTGTTCAGAGACGGGGCTGTTCATCTGTGTAATGTTCATATTCTGACAGGCTTCACCCTCAAATGTACAGTGTTTTTTTATGTTGTTTGTCAGAGGAAACGTACATGAAGTGTGGTTAGAAATTTGTTTGTTCTGGAAAGGCAGGATGTGCACCGGTCAGTCAGTTCCTCATTAGGACTACTGTCTCTGCCAGATCCTCCTCTGTCAAAAACCCATGTCTTATAGTTGTAGACCTAATAATGTCTCTGTATGTTCAGGACTTGAGTCTAAAAGTACACTGCAAAAAGTGACCGAAAAAAAAGTTGAAATGGCTTGAAATAGACAAATTCTTTCTTAATTTGCCAATGGGAAAAGCATTTTATTCTTTGATTTGACTTAAGTGCAGTTACAAGCTATTAAGATTAAGATTAAGAGTTAAGCAAGACAGGGCCTGGTTAGTACTGTGATGGGAGACCACTGGGAACATCAGGTGCCACAGTGGGGCGGCTGTGGCTGTAAAGTACCAAACTGTTGTTGTGTCCTCCTTAGTCAAGACACTTCACCCACATTGCCTAGAATGAGTCTGGTGTGGGAGGAGCCAATGGTACATACTTGTTGCTTCAGTGTGCCCCAGGGCAGCTGTGGCTACAGTAGTAGTTTATCACCACTGTGTTTGGAGGGAATGAATAATGACATGTGAATTGCCTTAGAGCACAGGTGTCAAAGTCAAGGAATGAATTTTTCATGGCCCGTTGCCTGCCATTGACGTCAATTACGTCAATTGCGTTTTCCGCTATTTTCATGTTCCCAGATGTCTATTATATCTAATATGTATGGGGATAAGCTTGAGAGCTTATTGAATCGAGCCAGCAGGTGGCAGCAGCGCTCTCTGAATGGTTTGAAAACAGTTAGATGCACTTGTTGTGCCTCTTTTTCTCAGCTTTTTGGTGATTTCAGTAAAACTTCCCTTTACTCAACTGGGAATTACAAGCTAGAAACAAAATTATTTTTGCTGATGAAAGTAGACAGTCTATTCTTTCAGAATCTGGTTTTGGATTTCAGACAGTCATAGTACACAATATTCTGTGGGTCTTGAAAAATCTATAAAAATCATCAGAAACTGCTGGCAATATGGGAGTACCTGTTCTGAAATGGGCTGGCAGTCAATGAGTTAATAAACATTGAACCAGTCCGGCCCTCGGCTCGCAGCAAATTAGTTTTTTTGGCCCTCTGATGTATTTGACTTTGACATGCCTGCCTTAGAGTGTCCTGAAAAGCTCTGTATTTTCTTCTGTATTATATTCTTTATTCGTCCCACAGTGGGGAAATTTTAGTGTTGCATCACCAGTTACAGAACAGTAGGAATGAGGAAAATCTCAAACTCTAGCATAATGAAGAAGCAAGAATATGTCTCTTAAAACAAGTTACGTTGGCTTGAACCATTGCCAAATCTTGCACAGCACTGGAAAAAACTGGTCGAACGCTGAATCAAATCTTTGACCCACATCATATTTAACACATGTTGTATCTGTCATATCGAGTTCCATATCTTTGTACAATACTTCCGTCTCATTTACTTCCGTTCTTATCTGTTCATATCTCTGTCAAATGTAATTACTGGCCCTAATTGTAATTCATTCTGGAAGTCTGCAGCAAAAAACTCTAGCTCTGATTCACCACAACAGTCAAAATGTTCTCAAGTTAGGATACATGTATTTCTATTTCAAGCTTTTTAGTCACTTTTTGCAGTGTGTATATTAATAATAATGTCAGTCACCAATAGACAGGAGCGGTACAGTGGCTGAGTGGATAGCGCAAAGCAAGAAGGTCCCAGGTTTGAATCAGGGTCTTTTGGAGTGGAGTTCCCCCCCGTGTCTGTGTAGGTTTCCTCCGGGTGCTCCGGGTTCCCCTACCATTATAAACATGTACATTAGGTATGAATAATGAGAGTGGATAGTGTTGGTTGGGGACTTTTATGCGCCGGTGTGTTTGACGTCTTGCTTTTGTCATCACCGTGTGGAGAGGATGGAAAAAATATCTGAACTCTGTAAAGCGTTTTGAGTGACCTTAGTCTGTAAAAATGTGCTGAAAAATAAAGATTACTTGCATACTTAATGAGTTCTTACATAATCTCACATGAATAATTATAATTTATTCCTGGAGAGTTGAAGCAGATCAGAGGAAGTATTCCTAGTCACAATACTGTCATGGGATTATTATTAGTCTTCTAGCAGCTCTGATTGGAGCGTGCTGCTTCATGACCCACTCGCCACATAAGCTGTTTAATTAAAATATGCATTCACTATGCTAATCTGTGAATGGGACCAGCGATAAGCAGTGAATAAAGGCATAGTCCATTGAAGTCTGCTTTCATTTACAGTGGCAGCTTAAAAATAGCATTTTTTATGGAAATGAGGTTTGTGTGGGAGGGAATACTGGGGAATCTCCTCGGTGATAACAAACCTCCTCCTCTGTGTTTCAGCCGCGCAGTGACGAGGCAGGACGCGAGCTCCAGGCACTCCGAGCGTCTGTGAGAGGAGGGGCCCCAGAGGAGGCGAGGTAAGCCCCCTCCCTGTCTCCACTGTCGGCTGCGCTGCACACTTACATCACTACTCTACACATCACTGGTATTGGACACACAAGTGAGCAGCATGAGAGTGTGAGGAGCCTGCTGCTGCTGCTGCTGCTGCTGCTGCTGCTGCTGCTGCTGCTCCAGGAGCGCTGAGCCGTGAAGCCCATCCCCGTGCACTTGCAGACTGAGGCTGGACTCTTACAGCAGCTGATGGATGGACACACACAGGGAGGAGAGTGAGTCGAGGGACAGAGGCGTGTGAGGGCACTGAGGATGCAGCAGGACGAGGGCAGGCAGCTTCACGCCGCACTGGTGGAACAGGAGGAAGATGAGGATGAGGACGAAGGCTCTGAGCTGAGCTGCACCAGTGACAGTATCAGTCGTGTGGAGCCCCTCACCATGCCCACCTTTGACGTCCCGTACTTTCGCTACATAGATGATGAAGGGACCGAGGAGGAGGACTGGAGCAGCCGCTCACTCTCCTCTATTGAAGAGGACTCGTCCACTGACTCTGCTCTGTCCGACAGGTTCAGTGTGATGTCAGGGACCCCCGACAAGATCCTGGAGAATCTGCTCAATGATCTGAGAGTGGAGGACGAGCAGGGGAACACGCAGGGCGAAGGTCAGTCACTTAGCTCTTTACTCTTCTTTTGACACTTTAAAACTTAGACTTTGACAGCAAGTCAAAGGATGAGACTATGGAGGTTCCACTGTCACCCCCTCCCTGTGTTGTGATCGCTGGGACAGCTGAGCCGACACCCCTCCCCTCTTCACCGGGTTAATCATCCACAGCCAATTCCCAAATGATTTGAGCCAGGCCCTTTTCCAGGATTTGAGTTTATGGTTATTGGTGCAAATACTGTAGCTTTGAAACAAGTCCAGAATAAGAGAAAAAACAAATCAACGCATCCTGTCTTCCGAGCAGGTTTCTGAGAATGTGACACTGTTGCCAAGGAAAAAGGAGGCTGTTTGTGGCTCACAGTGGAGCTGTCGTTATGGGAAATGATGATTGAACAGGCTCCATGAGAATCAAGACAGAGAGGAATGAAAGAGCAGAAATGCAACAAAATCAGTGAGGGGAAGGAGGTGAGGCATGAGGCGCAGGTTTGAGAAGGAAAAGTAGAGGTGACAGCTGATCGTTCAGCAGGACAGAGCCAGACTACACATGATGGAAACACACATTGATCTAGAAGTGGAGAAGGAATTCTGCATTATTTCTACTCATATTGTATCTTGAAAATTAGGCCGATAATAGTGTCGATTGAAGTGCTTGATGATTGAATTGTTCAATTGCAAAAACAGATAAGTGACATTAGAAACATATGAGCTCACAATTTGCTCATCTATTAAAGTTCCATACAAATAAAGTTTACCCCCATCTTGATGGAATTCTTTTAAATGAGGGGTTACAATCAGAGCTGCACCCAGTACACAGAGCACCAGCCCCTCACTGATCCTCCTGCAGGAGCGTTGATCTTTCAGCGGGAGCTTCAGGCAAAGTGGGGTTAAGTGTCTGGCCCAAGGACACAACGACAGCAGTCATCAGTGGGAGTCGTGAAGTAGGTCTTGTGGTGGGCTCAAACCCACAACCTTCAGGCTTAAAGGCCAATACTCACCGACTGAGCCACTGTCGCCTCTTTCAAACAAAAGTAGGGAATCCATAGACTGTAAATATTAGTGGACGTAGTGACACCTATTTCCTTCGTTAAAATGTTTGTGTGACCAACATGGGCATTTTGAAAATGTTAGCCGGCACGAGCCCCATTCATTTAACGAGTGCCTTCAAAAGTCCACAGCGGCTAAACTAGACTGGTCCAAAAAAAATACCCCTCAGCATTGACACACATCTGTAATGTAGCATTGAGCCAAGAGCCGACTTTTGGACCATCCTGTAAAGTCGTTTTGAGAGGAAAAAAGCGCCATAAGAATGCACGAGATAAATCTGTTTCTGGGTACACCCCCACCCCATGTCAGCGCACATGCTCATGGACCTTTGAGCCGGGACCCGCCCCCATTGGTGGTGGCCCAGTGGCTGTATGACTCTCTAGGATCCTAGAGACCACTGTGATGGAGAGTAAAGGCACCATGCTGTCATGATAGTAAATATACAGTATTAGATTAAACTATAAAAACAATAATACTGTTAACTTTGTCATTTTATTTTATAGAATGTGAAATATCTTCAGTAGAAATCATATGGTGAAGCTAGTATGAAGCTTGTGAATAATGCTATCATTCTTATGTATTATTGTACTACCACTAGAGGGCGGTGTAGAATTTGTTTTAGTTTTTTCACAATTTGAAAATGAGCGGCTGCAAACATAACTCTGTGATTGCAAATAATATGTTTTTGCAAGATAAATGACCAAAACGAATTTAGGAGCATTAAAGGCAGAACAATGCTCTGAGCGTGATGTCATAGGGGTACAATGACATCATACTATAACAGGACTGAGACAGGAGCTTTTAGGGATGTTTGTGCCAGAGGTTCCTGATATTAGCCTGGATTGATCTAAAAACAACTCCACAGGTCTGTGTTTTATGAGGAAATATACATATAATGTGTCTCCTTTAATATTTCACGAGACACTAATACAGCAGACAGAGGCATGTTAAGTTCATCCGTGTCCGTTCACCACTAATTGCTTTGGCTTTGGAGGTACAGCTTGCTGATGGTTGTTCATTAGTCTGGCTCGCTGACTCCATTAACAGGAGGTCTCCGAAGAAGCAGCGTCTCAGGGTCAGAGTCCAGACCCAGACCAGACCACAGTCCAAGCCACCATCGATCTGAACTCAGCTTTTAGATTGTGAGTACTGGCTCCTCCACCGGCCCAGTGACCTCTGAGGCTGAACGGACGGTGATCATGACAGATTGTTGAATTCCCGATAGAAATTGTTGTTGTTTTGTTGGAAAAATTTAATTGGAAGTGTTAGTTTCTGTGTTTCAACTATGATTGATGTGTTTGTTTTGCATTTGAATCTACAATATTGTTTTCTTTTGGAGTTATTCTTGAGACATCAGTCATAAAGTCTATCTATCTATTTATTAGACCGGGAAATTGTACATTGTTCAGACCGGACATAGCTACTAGCTCATTGTTCAACCATAGTCCCTTCACAGAGGCAGAGTGACAGCAGGCCTAGAGTGCGCAAAGAATTCATAATCAGATGGTTCTACTTGGAAGGTCAAATCTATCTAAGATATGTTGGGACTGTGGGAACTAGGCAAGGACAAGATCAATATTGTTGAGCTCTGAGTTGAGAATACAGCTTGCAAACAAGGTTAGAACAACTTTCACTTAAAACACAGTAGTGCATTAAGTCTTTATCTTCACTTAAGCCTGTTGGAGTTTAGAGCTCTAGAAACATGCTCTCAATGCTGTCCTTGAATTAACGGTGTGTGTCCATTATCTGCCTTTACGCTGGTTGAATAATGATATAGAAGCAACTATATTTACCCTGTGCCTTCATAAAAAAACAAAAACAAATGAGGCAGTTTTGGAAAATGTTTAAGGAAAAAAAAGCTGTTACTGTACATGTTTTAAATATGACCTGTGGACATAATCGTAATATTACTGAAATCTGTAAAGACAGAAACGACAAAAGGATGCATCAGAAATGTTACTTTTTGGATATTGGCACTAACCTATTTGCTGCTGATACATGGACAAGTACACAAACCTTTGTCAACATTCCGTGCAGAAATAGCACATGACATATGCAAGAGATTATAAAAATGAATTTAGGAGGAGGGTTGCAGCACAAGCTCTCTTCAGTTGAATAGAAGCAAGGCCTGTTTAAGCTGAGGCCACTGTGTTGAATATATCAAAACTTCAGGGACTTTATACAAAGACAAAGTTATCAATCAATCACTCTTCATTTGTAGAGCGCCTTTCCTTCACAGGGAAACACAAACGCTTCACAGTCCACATCGCACAAGGCACAAATCATTACACCAAACTAAAACCAAAATCCCCATTAAAACACAATCAAAATCACACAGGTAATTAAAAACCATTAAAACATTAAAATCACACAAAGGATTAAAATAGTAAAAAGTGCAATATAGCATCTTCATATTGGACTCCTATTAGTGCAGAGAATATTAGCTTACAGGCAGCTGTTTCTTCAGAGTTTGAAGCATAGACACATAGTTAGAGGAAAACTGCATACAGAAGATGGATCTTGCGGACTTTGATCTACTCTATAATGCCTTATAAATAAACTAAACATTGGATTGTGCCATAAAGTACTGTGGTCTATCATTAACAGGCTGCGTTCGAAAAAGAAAAACTCGTCTGAAGTCACTCAAATACCCAGGTTAACGCAATTACCAAGCAACTATAAATGATCCATGCAAATTAGGTTTACTCCGCTTTACTGGGTAATCACAAGCCTTTAACCTTGCACACAAAAAAATGCTCATCTTTCATAATGACAAATGATTGGCGCTTATTTGAACAAGAGCAGATCAATTTTACAAGTGCTTATTGAAATGCAAAAGGAATTGGCAGGATGATGGATTTCACAGCCGATGGATTCGGCATCAATGAATCTATGATACACTTCCTCCCACTGCGAACGCTCACTTTGAGGTTACGTGAGCCAACAAAGACAGGATTCTTCTGCTTTGTTTCCGTCTTGTAACTAATAGTAAACTTTATGATGACTTTGATCATTTCGTCACGATATTTCCTTTGACTTTAGGGTTAGGGATATTTCATGCAAGAATGTGAAATAATGTATGTAGTAATAACTATGTGGTAATAACTGCATATTATTCATAAAGTGCTATAGGCGCTTCTCGTGGAATTATTAATGCACTGTCCAAAGTTGCCCTGAGGCAGACTGACAGAAATGGGGCAATCAGTATGTCCCATCAGGCTCGGGCCACCACTAATTATTTATACACACACACTACACACACGCACACATCCCACACACATGAGTTGAGATTTTCTTCATTTTATTTTTTTAACCAAGTCTCGTTGAAATAAATAACCTCTTTTTCAATGGAGTCCTAGACAAGAGGCAGCAAAAGTTACTTACAGTTAATAACATACAATTACAGATTATAAAAGCTCCAAATCTGGATTTAAAAGCATTCAATGAAATAAATTAATCCCAGAATGTTTGATTTGGTTCTGATCTAAGAGACACATTTTAACAGTTGTACCTGTGTTTTGCAGATGTGTGTAATAAGGGGTTAAACTGACTTTCCTGTATAAACAATGATCAGATTTACTGGAAGACTTACCGATTAAATATTTATAATGTTTTCAGCTGTAAAAATCTAGCCGCTGCCCGGGGAGCTGTACATGCACAGTGCTGCAAGAAGAGCTTAATATGTGTTATTTATAAATGTGTTTATGTGTGTACGTGTTTATGTGTGTACGTGTGTACGTGTGTATGTCTGTATGTGTGTATGTCTGTATGTGTGTATGTCTGTATGTGTGTATGTGTGTACGTGTTTATGTGTGTACGTGTGTATGTGTGTACGTATGTATGTGTGTACGTGTGTACATGTGTGTACATGTGTATGTGTGTGTACATGTGTATGTGTGTGTACATGTGTATGTGTGTATGTGTTTATGTGTGTATGTGTTTATGTGTGTACGTGTTTATGTGTGTATGTGTGTACGTGTGTACGTCTGTATGTGTATATGTGTGTACGTATGTACGTGTGTATATGTGTATGTCTGTATGTGTGTACGTGTGTATGTGTGTATGTATGCACGTGTGTATGTCTGTATGTGTGTACGTGTGTATGTCTGTATGTGTGTATGTGTGTATGTCTGTATGTGTGTACGTGTGTACGTGTGTATGTCTGTATGTGTGTACGTGAGTATGTCTGTATGTGTGTATGTGTGTACGTGTGTGTGTCTGTATGCGTGCATGTGAGTATATGTGTGTCTGTATGTATGTGTGCATGTGTGTATATGTGTGTATGTATGTGTGTACGTGTGTATGTGTGCATGTATGTATGTGTGTACGTGTGTATGTCTGTATGTGTGCATGTGTGTACGTGTGTATGTCCGTATTTGTACATGTGTGTATGTGTGTACGTGTGTATGTCTGTATGTGTACATGTGTGTAGGTGTGTACGTGTGTATGTCTGTATGTGTGCATGTGTGTATGTATGTGTTTATGTGTGTACGTGTGTATGTCTGTATGTGTGCATGTGTGTGTGCATGTCTGTATGTATGTGTATGTATGTGTGTATGTCTGTACGTGAGTATGTATGTGTGTATGTCTGTATGTGTGTATGTATGTGTTTGTGTGTATGTCTGTATGTGTATGTGTGTCTGTCTGTATGTATGTGTGTATGTTTGTATGTATGTGTGTATGTTTGTATGTATGTATGTCTTTGTGTGTCTATGTGTGTGTGTGTGAGTGGGTGTGTATGTCTGTATGTATGTGTGTATGTCTGTATGTGAGTATGTGTGTCTGTATGTGTGTATGTCTGTATGTGTGTATGTGTGAATGCATGTGTATGTGTGTATGTCTGTATGTATGTGTGTACGTATCTGTGTATGTCTGTATTCTTCATGTGTGTGTGTGTGTGTAATTGGCATAAGCAGTAAGCGATAACTTCACAGCTGCTTCTATTTGGATTAGCATAATTGTGACAGGGATTTCTGCGGACACGAAGGAGCCACACTGAAGCTTTCACAAGAGCTTTTCCTTAATAGGATTTGAGCGGCACTTTCTTCGAGTGCGGCGGTCTGTCTCGAGGTCCGTGCGCAAAAAAGCAATTTGTGTGTGATAAAGACTGACCACACTTTTAGTATCCGTAGAGATGTAAACGCTGTCAAAAGTTACACTCTTACAGCTTTGTGCGTCTAAAATGCACATAAATAATACTGACTTTTAAACCACAACTTTTGACCAACGAAATGAAATCCATCTCAATCCATAGTTCTAAGTTTGGTTCTATCTGTAGTTTGCAGATGCATGTTCGTTTTGGTCTCTGTCAAAACAGTGATAAAGAGTTAGTCCATACATGTAAAAGGGGGCAACAGGGGCTCGGTTAGTACCTTTGGACCTGATGGGTGTGGGTTCGATCCCCCCACGACTCATGTCACCTGCTCCTACTGATGTCTGCTGTCGTTGTGTCTCTGGGCAAGACACTTAACCCCACTATGCCTGAAGCCCCCGCCCTCTTTGATGAGGATCAGCAAGGGGCGGGTGCATCCGAAAATGCAATAATAAAGGGGATGAAAATGACATGTTCAAAGTACAGCCTGCGAAGAACTCCCAGAATTCTGTAACTCCTACAACTCTGCTCCCGTTCAAATTGATGGAATTGAGAAGAATTTGCCCAAAAAGTTAATTTGTTTACCTTCTGTTTCGATTTAATAATGTTTTAGTTTAATAACTTTTAATAAGGGCTAAAACTGGTTATTAAAAGTGAAAAAATAGTCTCTTTTGTGCAAGATATATCACAATGAATGTACATTTGATTACATACAATGAATTCAAGTTCTTACCATACCATTATTTTTAAGCTCAGAACTGCCACAATCCTTCATTTTACAATGCGGCCCCTCTTACATAAAAGTTTGGACACCCTGGCATTAGTCTGATGGTGAGATTAAAAAGCTGAGGCATTTACATTATTGGCTTATCTGCAGTGACACATGAGAAAATAATCAAATGGGATCAATGTCTTTTCTGCTGAGTCCAACATTCTCACGTCACATTCGTGCACTTACACATATCGCAGCTTCTGATGAGCTTTTTGTTTCTGCAGATACGCTTCTGGACGACTTCCTGCTCACCTACCCAGTGTTCATGACCACCAGCGACTTGTGCCAAGCTCTTCTGGGACAATATCCTTTCTGTGGTTTAGTAAAAAGTGGTAGTATGTTGCTGTATTCGTGATGCGTGTATGTTCTTTACGACGATGTTACATGAACTAAACAGAAAGACATGTAAAAGAATCAAACGATAGTAACATGAGGAGCCGTGGTCTAAAGATTCAATTTGTCAAGTCGTCATTACTCTACAATTGCGATTAAAAACTAGCAATACTTTCTTGAATCAAAATGGTTTTAGAATCAGAACTATTTTTATTGCCTCTGGAAGTAACAGGAAGTCACACACTAGGAATTTGCTGTGTGCTCCATTTGCCATAGAACACGTTATGAACAAGTTCCAAATAGATTAAGGCATTCATGATTGTAATTAACGCATAAAAACAAGGAAAATAGAGCACACCGTAGAACCACGACAACCGTCTGTGGCGCCATCTTGAGTTCTTGTTTCAAGTACACACAAAAAAATGTTTTCTTTAAAGTACATTTGAGAGATTTTTTTATCTGATAATTTTTCAGTTCAAAATTGTAAAAAGAATTGTAGAAATTGGTTGGTAGCAGCCCTGCAGGCCCAACATTTGGCATTTTTCCACAGAAATATTCATTATACCTGAGATTTGTTTGATATATTTGCTGTTAAATATTCAAACTAGTGTTGTGTTGTAAAATGATAAGGCTCAGAGCACATGGTCCTCCAAAACATTCGTCTCATTGGGAAAAAAAGTGGAATATCCTCCGATATTTTGACATATTATAGTGTGACGAGAGGCCAAACAGCTCTTTGTTTATTTTTGGATTTCAGTTTGTGTTTCATGCAGAATTTGTTTGTTTGTTTTCATATTCATAATAAAGAATATAGAGTTTTGAATTTCAAGTCAGCTTGTTAATTTTCACCTGACAAACTAGCCTCATACCAATGTCCATTGTATTTCTAATTAGGAATAACTCTTTAAACTTTAAACATAAATGGTTCATTAAAAAGTCAAACATGATATGTCTAAGGACACGCATAAAATATGTCAAAGAATTCAAAATAAAAATACTATGCTCCTTTTAATAATAAAACCTTTAATAAAAACAACTTATTCATAAGTTGGTCTGTAATGATTCTTACTGTTGGTCCAGTTTTGGTTCAGTCCAAGCTTGTTCTTTCAGAAATATTAAAACTCAATTTCAGATAAAAGCAATCATATGGTCAAAACACCTGCATAATGTAAAACTAACATATGCAAAAGATGAACTCAAAGCAAATTTTTCAAAAAGTGAATGACCTAAAAAGTGGTTGCCCCTGATCAGCATGAGGCCCCTGGAGTCTGTGAGATATGCTTCATCTGCGTTCCACATCTCAAGTTTTTATTGGAGTCTGAGTTGGTATCTTTGGCCCCTGCCTCTGCTCTTAGGGCAGACTTCACGCTGGGGCCGTCTGTCCACATGTGAACTCATTAGCGCCCCCTGCAGACTGCCAGATGACATCAAACATAACATCTAAATCCTTAACCACACATCACCTTCTGCTCCAAGAGGAGTCCGAGGAAAGAGGAGAGGACAGAAGTGCTGCGCAGGAAGCAGAAAGTCCTGCGTCTGGTTTTACAGTGGATGAATGTGTGCCGACGAGTTCTGAGGGAGGACCATCACGTCAAAGCATTTCTCAAGGTACAATATGTCACTCAATATGTATCAGTTATCGCTGTATCTGCAACTTCAATTCAATTCAAATCAATGTATTCTGGTATAGCCCTAAATCACAACTGTAGTTATCTCAGAGGACTTTTTAAAAACCGTTGAATTTGCCAACACAGATCAGAAAATAAAACAGTTCAAACACAAGAAATGCACTGATAACAAACACATAGAGCTATTGGTCCATAGAACAATTGTAAAGTGCTTTGAGTGACATTGGTCTGTAACAATGCGCTATATAAATAAACATTGCTTACTTACATTGAATGTTGAGTGTCCTGGATCATCACCACTGTTAATTTTATATCACATAAAAAATAAATTCTATTCTAGTAATCACAGATGGAAATTCCCCCCAAAATGACAGCTCTATTTGCCATTTTTCTACCAAAATAAGGTGAAATATTATTTCATCTGGGGACGCAGGCATAAATGTATATGGAATTCAAAATTGAGAATATTAAATACTGTCCCTTTAATAATAATAAAACTCGCCTCCTTACTGTTGAGCCACTCTTTTTGTTCAGACAAATTTAAAGCTCAAGTGAAACAAAGGCAATCATTATCCCACCAGATATGGAAGAAAGAAATGCAGGGGCTTTGCTTTCCTTCTTTTTTCACGTTTATCAAAACACAAACGATATTTTTGTTGCCCACCACTCTCACAAGCGAGTGGGACTCTTGGGCTCCATGATGAAACAATTATGTAAAAGACACAGTTACTATTGCAGGAAAGTGATGCATGAGGAAACTATACTGTACATATTATTTGGAAATATTCATATTCATAAATCAACATTTCTCACCAATAAACCCAATTTCAAAGTCTTATTAAAATAGAAATGAAACAGTACTTCACTCCAAAGCATTTCAAATAAGACATCTATAAAAACTAAACAAATAGCAGAGCTCTTCTGCCTCCAACAATACACACACACACACACACACACACACACACACACACACACACACACACACACACACACACTATTACTATACAATATTGTAAAAAACCTGCAAGCTTTTAAAACAAAAAGCGACAGTAGCTCAGTTGGTAGAGCATTGGCCTTTGAGCCTGGAGGTCGTGGGTTCAAGCCCAACATGGGACCTACTCCAACTGCTCCCACAAATGTCTATTGTCGTTGTGTCCTTGGGCAAGACACTTAACCCCACGTTGCCTGAAGCCCCCGCTGAAAGATTAAGGCTGTTTCACCGCTGACGGAGCAGCCGTCTTCTTGCAGGACTCACCTCCTGCAGAGGATCAGCGAGAGACCGATGAGCATTGGGTGCATCTCTCATTGTCACCCCCGACCCAGAAATGAACCAATAAAGGGGTTGAAAATGAATGAATGAATGAATAAAACCTGCAAGCCTCAAAATGGAAAATGTTTAAAGGATGAATTTTCCTTTTCTCATCTTTCTTTCTGTTTATCATACTGTTATGTTATATCTAATGTATGTACACTTCTTACTTAAATAAATAGAAAAAAAAACAAGTGATACATGTGAATAGGTTATTAACAATAAACACAGCTAACATGACCTCACATGTCGGGCGTTTATGCAACAATGTGCAATAATATCAGAAAGTGCAATATGGACCCACAAGTGTCCAACAGAAGTTTCATCACTGCAGCAAACTATGAACAAAAGCACAGTTTCCATGTGAGTGTGCGAGACTTACTCCTAGTAAACAGATGCAAACGCTGATTACTTTTACCATTTTCATTTTGGACTCTTCAAAACAGCATTTCAGATTTCATATTGTGGAAAGCCGACACACACACAATGGAAGCACTGTCAAACACAGACTGTGACGTTTTGCTGCTCTCTGTCGCAGACTCTGTACCGTTACGCACTTGGAGACTTGTACGAACACCCAGCTCTGGAGAAGGAGTTGAGGGAACTGCAGGAAATCTATCAAATGCATCGTCGAAAGTGAGTAGAACAACCACACAACGCTCCAGAAGAGGCTTAAGACTGAGTTTGGAAACAGAAGCAGCTGATGGCACAGACACAGGACTAGCCTTCTTCTTCTGTCGCCTTTATTTAGCTCCTCTGTCAATGATTCTGTTCTGAAAGATTCCTTTGTTCTGGGCCCGGCTGAATGGAAGCACCAAGGCACAATACAAGTCTGAAATGTCAAGAAAGTAATGAAAAACATCTTATGAAACTGAACTATTAAAGGGGACATTACATGAGGAGAATAGACCTCAGCTTTTGACTGCGATGTAGTTGTTTTTGAGCGATTTAAAGGTGGAACTAAGCGCATTCATCAATGGCTTTATCTAATTCAACTTAAAATGTTAAAAGTGACAGGCTTTTGTTAGTAATCATTTTGGTGATTATGGCCGTAAGCGTGAGCCATAACCACCAAGAGTATGAAATCTGGTTGCACTGTAATCTAGACTTATACTGTATGTAGACTGAGCAGATTGGATCACCAAAAATTAGGACACCAAGAATATGTGCAACCCACGCCTGCGTCTAACCTCTTTAAAACTAGAACTCCCAGAGCAGTCATTTTGACGGTTCCCATTCACAATAATTAGAAGTTTTAATATGTTTGGTAACACTGTTTGATTATGAAGTGTTTCTATATTATCTAATTTTCTGAGAGGTGTCCTATATATTATGTTTGTTTATCTCTTTGCTTTTGGGACCAAAGACAAAAATTTCAGTTTTGTCTGTGTTTAACTCGAGAAAGTCGTTATGCATCCATACCCTGATCTGTTGAGAGAGTCCTCTGGTCCATGTTCTCCTGCAGCAAACTCACTTTATTACAGATTTATTACAGAAGCAAATATTCTAATTGTCTGAGTTTCACCTCCTCCTACCTGAGGTGACGTTGCGAAAAATGTAAAAAATATGCATTAAAAAGCTGATTACAAACTGTGCAGACTTTAATGTGACCACAGCACATTTTTAAAGGGGCGGTGCTAAAAGGGATACGGCAAGACAGAAACCAGTGTGTGGACATGTTTCTTTGTCACAGATTCTCAGGTTGAAAGAGGCGGTAAAGTTGTTATAAGTGGAACAGAATCTTTCTCTAATCACCTAAAGAGAACGTGCGCCTGGGGAGTCATCAGCTCGCCCTAAATTAGCCTTGATTTGAAGTAAAGGAGGCTCCCCATGGGTTGTATTAGGGACTTTTGGATTTGCATTGTGTAAGTGTGTGTGTGTGTGTGTGTGTGTGTGTGTGTGTGTGTGTGTGGGTGTGTGAGGGGGGGTCTGTGAGTGTGCTCATGGGTGTGCTTGTGTGTGTACTTATTTGTGTTTGTGTGATGTAAAACTGATATTTTTCCGTGGAGAATGTTCTGGAACTGGGGTAAACTGGGATAGACACATTGCCTAGAATGAGTCTGGTGTGTGTGTGTGAACGTTTGGTGGCGGTCAGAGGGGCTGATGGCACATACTGGTTTCCTCACTTCTGTCAGTCTGCCCTAGGGCAGATTAGATCACCAAGAATTAGGAGACCAAGAATAGTACAACCCACGCCTGCGTCTAACTGCTTTAAAACTAGAACTCCCAGAGCAGTCATTTTGATGGTTCCCATTCACAATAATTACAATGTATGACAGTATTATCGGGCAGTTGTGACTACAGTAGTATAGTTTATCACCACCGTGTGTGGAGTGAATGAATAATTCCATGTGAAGCTTCTTTGAGTGTCCACAAAGCGCTTCATAAAACTGATGCATTTATTTATCTTTGAATCCTTGAGAGAGACTTTTACTCTATAATATTATGCAAAACAATGTGAATGTGTTGAAATGTTTCCGATTCCAGTTCTCTAATGGAACAATGCAACTCCATATGTTACAAATACATATCAAAGCTCAGCTCTGGCCTTAGACCGGGAGGTGGTGTTGTATAAATGCTTCTGAGGACAGATTGTCACAAAGCGTCTGCAGTGAAGTCCTCCTCTAAAGATAATGGGGAGAGCTCATAAATATTAGAGCCTGGCAGGTATCCACGCCCACAGAGCGGCGTCCTGGAGCCAGAGCGGGGTCCTCTCTGGTGGAGCCATGAATAAGGGATGCTTGTCTGCACATGGTGGTGATGAAGGGGGCAGGTTGTGGACTCCCCAGAGATGGAGCAGTGTTTGGGGCTGAGGTGGAGGCTGCAGAAGGGGTGGGGGCTCGGAGTGTGTCTGCTGTAGTGTCTGCTTTGATCAGGATCACAGAAATGAAGCCCAGGGGTATGTCATCATGTGTCACAGAGGTGCAGTGTCTGAAGCATGTTTTATCAACATGAGAGATACATAACAAAGCTGTGAGAGAACTGGTTAGGGCTAGGACTCCTGGAGCAGTCAATTTTACAGCTTTACGTCTTTGGTCTTCATAACTTTGTGATTTTTTCTATATGAAATTAACTCGATCCTTGCTTGGTACTAGACTGGTCCAGAGCATTCTCAGCTTGAAGTAAGTGCTAGTTACCATAGCAACACGCTGTTTACATGCAGCTGTTAGTATTTAGTTTTGCTGTTATTTTTTTTATATTCAACGTTATATTTCATTTATATTCAAGTTTTAGCATGTATTAAAGATAAACACTCCACGAATTACTTAGTTTTAAGAAAAATAGTGATGAACTAAAACTGTATTTTGGGTTTTTCTTTTTCTTAATGGAATTTTGAAAAAAGAGTAACCCAAAAAAACAGTTTTAGTTTATCACTACTATGACTGCTCTGGGAGTTCCATTCTGGTAATCTCAGGCTAACCCTCCAGACACAACAACAGTTGATGTTCCCAGAGGTCTCCCATCACAGCACTAACCAGTCCCTTTCCTGCTTAGTTTCAGAGTTTGACAGGATTTGGCTTTCATATGCAGCTGTAGCCTATTGTTATACATCTGCAGTGATCTACTCCCCAACCCCGCACAGATACACGGCTTGTTTTAGTTGGAGGTAATCTTGGGTCATCTGTTTTTCAACCAGCCCTCGTCCTCACTCGGTCGGATCGCCGTAGCGGTGGGAACAGATTGCCAAAAGATTACAGGGTTTTGCAAGATGAGTGCGAGTCTGGGTTTTCATCAGTCCAGCCTTCTGCTTCTGTGGACAGTGAGGAGTGGTCTCCCGGGGCCCAGTCTTTGTGCCGACATGTCTATTGTGGACGTAGCGCCAGCACAAGCTCAGGGACCATCTATCATGCTTCACGGGCCTAAGTGATGAGAATAGCCTGATTAAAGTAAGGGCCATACCGGACCGTTCAGCGTCTGCAAAGCACTCTAATCCTGGTGGGTGCTGCTCTGAATAACGGCGTGATTGGTGCAAAGAACAGCACGCATTTAATTTACTTTGATAATGAACTGATCAAATATTCTCTCTCTTCTTTCAGTGCCAGCGATGACTATTCTCCACACAGAAAGGTTGGTTCTTGTAGAAATTAAGATTAAGAGAGATCCTTTATTCGCCCCGCAGTGGGGAAATGTCAGTGTTGCATCACAAGTTACATAACGGTAGGAATGAGGAGCACACAGCAGAACATAAGAACAATAGCTATACTGTTTAAAATAAAACAAAATCTCCAACTCTAGCATCAAAGGACAAGTATGAAATCTCTAACTGTTATGGGTCGCTGTTTATACTGTGAAAAATAAGATACTTGGTACCTGCTGGACTATGAAGCGCACTGGTACATTTTGTCCACATACTGTATACACTGCAAAAAATAGAGAATAATTGTTTTAATGAAAGTGATTTTTAATCGTAAAATTTGCCAAATTTAATTACAAAATTACAAAATTACAAAGCTCTTTAGTCTTAGTTCAAGAACTGTTGCTTTATTTTCTCATTTCCAAGGAAGAGATTTTTTGTACCTTTTTTAAATGTGGTAATTTGCTAAAGTTTGCAAATTTTGATTTAAGGCAGTCAAAATGTGCTCAAATTAAGATTGTAGACCACGCTTAAATGTAATTCGCAGGTTTTCCCTTCACTAACAGCTGATAGAGCCAAACAAAGTAGATGCATGACTGTTTTAACTGGTTATAACATGGTTTAATGAGGAGGTGTTAAACAGCCAAACTATTCGTTTCCATGTTTGGGACTCATTCACAAATGTATATTTACAATAAATGTGTGTCCTGTGATAAAATAATAAGTCCATAAACATATATAACACACAACAGCTCTTCTTTACAGGCCGCAGGGTTCAAAGAAATCAAAAAACTTAGTGGTTTCATAGTCTGGCAATTACGGTTCAATTTTTTAAATTAGCCACATGTACTTCTGTTGGTCATGATGCGTTATGTAAAAAAGTATAGATTTTAAATGTGTAAGCTAACATACTACCTGCAGTTTAGCACATGGATTGATTCTATAATAACAACAAATTATTTATGAAGCAAAGCAAACTGTTTTTGAGCCAGGAATTAGTTAAATTAATGTCATTGCATTGTTACATTTTGGTCGGTTTCAAAGTTGGGTACCTCAGCTTTAATTGTAAACATAGGATCATGTAATTTCCCACTTCAACCACTAGATGGAGTTTTGGCACATTCCAGTCATCTCTTACTCCTTTGCTCATGTTTCTCCATGCCGTTTCTATGACGACTAAGATATTATTTCACAGTCTATCCAAAACATGATAAAGTAAAGACAAAAACATCTGTGACTTTATTGGGCAAACATAGATTTAAAAAAAAACATCACTTCAAGCTCTTATTTCCTTTCATTATTAGTACTCATCGCTCAACATAAATAATCTCTTTCAACTTTGTTTGGAAGTATTTCACCTTTTCTTCTCTTCCTCCCAGAGCAAAGCATTGTTCCACCAGCTGAGTTTCAAAGACAATGGATTCCAGCCCAGAGCCGCACACAGGGAAACCAAAGAGGGTGAGTAGTGATGCTATTCTCTGCTGCACACACGGACGTTGAACCGAAGACCTGACAATGGAGCAGTCTGGGGAAGCACACATTCCTCAGTGTGACGCCGACGCATTTGCCTTTTAAGGATGCATTTGTTGTTGAATACAGAAGGTTAAAGAGCAGGGGCGTCTCAACAGTATGGCTTTCAAATACCTAAATAAGTCAGACGTTTATTACCTTTTATACAATTATGAGACATTTTTTTGCCTACATTCTAAGCTTTATATTCTAAGCTAATGAGCAGAGACACTTGAGGTAAACTGCTTCTGGGGCAGATTAATAATACATCAGTTTATATACATGCTACATATTGCACTTTTCAGGACACATTCATCTCCACGTGTCATTATTCATTCTCTCCATAAATGGTGGTGATACATTACTACTGTAGCCACAGCTGCCCTGGGGCAGATTGACAGCAGCGAGGCAACCAGTATAGGCCATTGTTCCCTCCACCAACCATTCAAGCACACACCATTCTAGGCAATGTGGGTGAAGTGTTTTGCCTAAGGACACAATGACAGCTGTAGCCGCCGCACTGAGGCACCTGGTGTTCTCTGAGGTCTCCCATCACTCTACTAACCAGGCCCTGTCCTGCTTAGCTTCAAAGGTCTGATGGGATCTGGCTTTCGCATGCAGGTATGGTCAGGTATTGTCAGAAGAAAAGCTTCTATCGGACCATCTCCAAGCATTCTCAACGAGCCCTGGGTCTCCTCGATGTCTGTCCATAATCTACCCGCTGCTTCTTCACAGAAAGGAGGCAGTTGAGGTCGCTCGGGCATCTGTTTCTGATGCCTCCTGGATGCATTCCCAGTCAAAATGTGCTGAAAAAAAGATACATTTTGCCAAATTTGAGCAATTGTTTTTCTTTTTACAGTGTAGACATAAGTGACCAATCCAACCAAGTATAGGACATGTGTTGATGTAAAAGTAAATTTGTCAGTTGTTTTAACACTGATGTGTCGTTGCAGTGCTGTGCCACGTGTACATCTCTCTGGACTCATACCTGAGTGTGAGGGCCTCTGGGGACGTCGTGGCCCGAGAGCTGCTGCAGGCGGTGGCTGAGAGGATGGACGTTCCTGTGGGGGACCTGCTGCTGGTGGCCATCGCTTTCCCTGGAGGTGCAGACACACATTAGTGACCAGTGGCAGAATAATGCTGAGATACATCAGATTTAACCCTTTAATGCACGGGTGTCAAACTCTTTTTGATCGGGGCCGAATTTAAAAAACATAAGAGCTGGTTGTAAAAGGAATATTTATTTCTTTTACATATTTTTGTCTTTTGAGAAAATCACTGTATTTAACATGAGTTTGAATATTATTTTCTTGTATGTTTGGAAACTTTTACAAATATACTGTTACGATACTGTATTGTTTAGGTAGAGTGTGTGGCCTGTGTCCCTGAATGCCTCTCATTGTTATGCACATTCATTAGCAGAGCTCCTCACAGGACTGTAGCTCAAGGTCACACCTCACTTGCTTTTATTGCTTGCTTTTTCTATCAATAGGGCAAAGATAAAGGTTAAGACTAAATGCATTTTCTGGAAGACAAATCGAAAGTGCATTTTGCACTGATTTAAGCAGAATTATCAGTCATAAAAACGGTCCTACATTTGTCTGAGATTTCCATTTCAGACAAAACAATGTGATAAAAACATCTCACTACAGTTCCTCGCTCTCAAAACAGTTCTTGTTCGAGCACTAGTTTATTAAAGCTGCATGTATACTTTGGCCTTTTTTGTTCTAATGTTTTGCTTCGCTCAGTCCTGGTTTTTGACTGGTTGGTCGTCACTCAGTCCTACAAAAAATACTTAAATCACAACAACAACAAAACTTTAACAGCGGCTGAGGGCCAAGATTGTCCCTGAATAGTCTATAGAGCAGGACTTCAGCTTGGCCCTTGGCTGAAGTCCTGCTCTATGGACTCTTTCTTACAATTATTCTAAAGATATCATGTTTTCAATTAAGTTATGTAACGTTTAGAAGAGTCTTTCTGTTGAGACAAAAACAATGTCTTATGAAAGAAAACATTTTGGAACCTCGGCTCAAAGGCTTTTCTTGTGGTGGTTGTGGTGATGTATCTAACATGTCCTGGTCCCTGCTGCGGTTTAGAAGAGGCTCTTATTGATGTCACATGATCTGTGTGCAGGACGACTGCTGCTCCAGCCTCAGGACAAACTCTTCTCTGACACGCTACGACCAATAGGACGGCTGCATGTGTGCAGGAAGGACCTGGGAGAAGTGCTGGTATGAAATTTAATTCAACTCAATGTATTTTTGTAGACACTGCAAAAAGTGAGGAAAAATAAGTTTTAAAAAATTGCTCAAATTTGACAAAATGTATCTCCATTTGAGCACATTTTGACAGCTTTAAAACAAGATTTGCCAATGGGACAAAGCAAAATTATTTTGTTTTTTAAAGGTACAAGAAATGTCTCCCTTGGAATGAGAAAATAAAGCAACAGTTCTTGAAATAAGACTAAACGGCTTTGTTCCATTGTTTTAAGACAGACAGAATATACATGTACACAGATTAAGATTAAAACCACTTGATTCAAGCATTTATTACCTCATATTTTATCACTTTTTGCTGTGTAGCCCTGAATCACAACAGTATCTAGAAGGACTTTGCAAAGCTGTCGATTCACCAACACAGATCAGAGAATCAAACGGTTCAAACACAGGAAATGAAATGTAATGATATAATAAACACATAGCCATCGGTCCATAAAGTGCAGATGACCAATGTCCATCAGATCAGATTCTGAATGTTGAAAGATGATCATAAATGTCGTTGAATGTCAAATGTCTTGGATCATCACCATCTGATATGACCATGAATGTAGTATTTGTGCATATTCTGTTTTTACCCTCATTCTTTTCTTCAGAACCCCTTCACGGACAACTCCGAGCTGCAGCAGAGGACCACGCACATGCTCAGTCTGAACGCATGGGACGTGGCGGTGGCCCTCACCAACTTAGACTGGGCCCTTTTCAACTCTGTCCACGAGGTTCGACTGCAGAGGAAACACATCTGCTTTCTTACTTTTCACTTTTTATAAGGATTGGAATAAGATAAGATGGACTTTATTGATCTTACGATGGAGAAGTTCACACTATAGTTTTGAAATGTGCTCTTTACTCAAGTGATTTTGTGGAAAGTCGGACCTATGTTAATGGTTTAAAAACCCTTTATGATAAGATTCTTTCAAATTTACTGCCAACAACAAACCAAACCAAACAGTTAAGATTGTGCCAAGAGAAAAGCACATTTTTGACACATTTTCCAAGGCTTTGGCAAATTAATTAGTAATGGCAAGAAGATGAATGTGTCTAACAAGTTGTGTCTACAAGTGGGATGAAGAAGTATAAAAACAAAATCCATCCAACAAATAACTACATCCATCCATTGTCTACCGCTTTATCCGTTGCCGAGTTGCGGTGGTTGCAGTCCGAGCAGAGACCAGCTGGAGGACCAGGACATTTCTGGTTTAGCTCAGAGACATAAGGCTGCATCCCATATTTCTCTCTTCTTCACAGTTTCACAGTCCATCCTGCACATATGTGATTATAATTGGGGAGATACACCATACAACACAAAAAACTTGTGAAATTATAGCCATTTCTTGCATTGCAATATTGTCACATATTTTACACCAAAAACACATTTTCTCCAAGTTGACAAGATACTAACGCGAAAAAGCAGAGTCTATGGACGGCCAAACTACTATTTACAATCTGGAACATACGCTGGACTCGGAGAGAGGCTGCACGCACTGATCAGAGACTGCGCTAATTCTCTGGTTCAGTTTCTCCCGCCTGTCAATCACCTCCAGGAAGCGGGTCACAATTTGGTTTGCGTTTGAATGAATGAAAGAGAAAGATTGCTCTCTGACTAAAGCTTGATGGGATTAATGAAACTAGTTTTATCAGTAGTTTTACCCTACTGTCGCAATAGTAATCCTTGGGCATGTGTATAAAGGCCAATAGCACTGTAATGATGTTTAAACCAGAGAAAAGTCAAAATGCGTCAAATGGAACCTTTAAAATTGACCTTTTGTTTAAATAATTTGTTTTATTATTATTTTAAAATGGACCTTTTATCTATGATATGCATCTATATGTATTTGAATGGTTCTTTTGACCTTCAGCAACAGTTGGTGTACTTCAGCCTGAGTCGGCGGTCGAGCGGCGCGCCCACCGTGGCGTTGGAGCTGCTGCTGAGCCGCAGTAACGAGGTGCAGCTGTGGGTGATGACGGAGGTGCTGCTGTGTCCCGCTCTCTGCAAACGGGTGCAGCTCATCAAGAAGTTCATCAAGATCGCCGCTCAGTAAGTGACACGTTTTACCAAAGATTTTATTATAAATCTGTCTGTTACAGCGACAGCTCCCGACGTCAGGACACGTCAGGACACACCATCAGCTCGCCACGCCACGCCACAATCATCTCCGCTGTATTTATATAGCATTAAAAAAGTTTCCAAAGACAAAAGAGACAAAAGTAACAATTTCAAACATACTCGTCTGCCAGTTTTATGCATACATATAAAAATAGAATTAAGATAAAGAAAAACAAAACAATATATATATATATATATATATGACTATAAATATCAATTATAGAAACATAAATAAAATTATATATAAAATAAACAAAACAGAGGACCACGCAACTCAAGCGGTGTTAAAAGTGAGAAACAAACCAAATTATATCTGCTTTTAGTTTAAATATACTGCAGATTTTTTGCCAATTAATGTGAATTATTGAATACGGCTGCAAAGCTAAAATTATGAAAAGATATGTCTAACAATAAAATATGGTGAAAGTTTTACATTTTATTCTTTAGAATTCTGTAGAATGTTATAATTATTCAGATTTGCACTTTTGAGGGTGTTTTTCTCCCGTTTCATTATAGTGTGTGAATGACCATGGTACCAATTGTAACATGTTCCAAAGCTGTGAAAATCCCATTATTCAAGATAGCATGACATGTCTCCTTTAACCATGAAAGCTGTATGCAAACATACCTTCTGGTGTGGCGCCCTCTGGTGGCCTCTCTGTGAACGGCACGCTCTGTTTTTCAGCTGTAAAGCACAGAAAAACCTCAACTGTTTCTTTGCCATCATCATGGGCCTGAACTCTGCAGCCGTGAGCCGCCTCACGCAAACATGGGAGGTAATGAAATCCGTGTGTACTTTTATCAAAATATTAATGTTTGTAGACGATTTATTTTGTTTTCTCATTTTAGAAAATACCAGGGAAATTTAAAAAGCTGTTTTCGGAGCTGGAGACGACAACAGTAAGTGGAAAATAAAATATACACACCAAGAAAACAATAGCGCACAAAACAAAAGATACTTATTTGGAGGTTGTTATAAAAAATATTGTTCTCACTTTTTGCTACACTGCAAAAACATAAAGGTACTGCTTTGACCCATGAAAGGTTTACTTTCATGGGTCAAAAGTTAGGAACTGTGAAAAATGTGGGTAAAAAGTAGTTATGATATGGTATGTAAACTTATGACTTTAAGATGGACCTAGTTTAATATTTTAATATTAAAACTCGTAATTACATAAATACAACTTTTAAACTCAAATTTGTTAAGTTTTAATCTCAAAATGATGACTTTATTAAACTAGTGGAATATTAAGAGTTTCTGACTGTCTTTAAATAAGATTTTCCAATGGAACAAACCAAATTATCTTTTTAAAGATGGACAGAAAAGTCTCCCATGGAATGAGAAAATAAAGTAACAGTTAGAAATAAGATTACATTGTCCCATAGGTAGAGTAAATCTTGTTTTAAGATTTCATGTCCCGTGAGTCCTAAAAGTCGCGTATCACATCTTCTCTCTCGTACCGTTCTGCTCCGTCCAGAGAGAGTTGTGTGTCTGTCAGATTGTGATTGGACAGTGGTCATCCAGACACTTCATGGATCTCTCTGATGTCTGGTTTCTGTCCTGACAGGATCCATCGCTGAACCACAAAGTCTACAGAGAGGCCTTCAGGAAGATGAAGTCCCCAAAGATCCCCTTTCTCCCGCTGCTTCTCAAAGGTATCACTGTGACACGTGTACCACGTTCTTTTCACAATCTTTATTAGATTTATAAGATTAAGATGAAGATTCTTTATTCGTCTCACAGCGGGGAAATGTCAGTGTTGCATCACAAGTTACAGAACAGGAATGAGGAGCACACAGCACAAGAGAATATTAAGGCAGGGCGGCACAGCAAGAAGGTCATGGGTTTAATTCCACCTCAGAGCCTTTTCTGTATGGAGGTTTCCTCTGGGTGCTCCAGTTTCCCCTACCACTAAAAACATGTATGGCGACCCCGCTCCCATCTCTGTGTGAAGCGAGAGAACAACTGCACACGATAATTGTAAAGAGCTTTGTGACTCTGGTCTGTGAAAGTCACTATATAAATAAAGATTACTTATTTGCTTAAGTACCATACATTCTGGACAATAAGCTGCAGGTTTTTCCTCTATTTTGAAGACTGCGGTTTATTGTAAGGTTGCTTCTTAATATTTTTTCTTCTATGGAGCCAGATTTTGCCAAGTAACAGTAGACCAACAGAATTGATGAGTTGTTCAGAGGTCCAAATAAATGTAAGATTTATCAATCATGCAGATTAAATAAAGTTTAAAAGTCCTCACTTATAAGCCTTTTGTGTAAATATTTTTTATAATAAATAGGTTTTGGTTTCTTTTTTAAAGACGTCAAAGTGAAAGAGACCAGTAGATGTTGCTCCTTATCTTTCTGCTCCACACTGGAAGATTAAGAACAGTCGGTGACTCAATATTTACGATGATGAATGTTTTTGAGCTACATTTTTCAATATTGCATTGTGCGGCTTGTACAAGCATAAAATTCAATTTCTTTCTAATAATTAGAGCCGGATACTTATCAGGTGCGGCTGATAGTCCGGAAAATACTGTAAAAATACTGTAAACTTGATTGCAAAACATAAACTTACATGTGTCTGTGGATAAATCAGTCATACACCAGAAAGCAGCATGAGGCTCAAAGTGACAGTGACACATGTGGTCCTGTATTGCACAGAATTGCACAGATGCTTGACATGTGAGGTCAGGTCCGCAGTGTTCATTGAATTCTTGTCTGTTTGCAGATATCACGTTTATTCATGAAGGCAACAAGACGTTTCATGATAATCTGGTGAATTTTGAAAAGTTGGTGAGTTTCATAAAACTGGACAACATGTGAGTGAAGCGGCAAAAGTCAAAGCAACTCTCTTTTTGCAGCACATGATCGCAGAGGCCGCGCGAGTCATCCGACAGTGTCAGAACGACGCCATGGGTAGGTTTTCTAATCTTCAGTTTGTGATCGAACATATGTACCGCTGGGTTTGAAATGTCAGTGATGTGGTCATTTGGGAGATTACAACACGTTTTATCACCCAACATTAGCGGATGTCGAACCTAGATATTGTCCTGTTTTCTATTTTCAAATGATAACATTATTGGGCTGATTTGGGGAGATTTCAAAGTGCAGTTTCAGGCAGGGCAGCCCAGGAATTTATAGGAACTGGTTATTTTTTGTCAAGACGAATGGGCAGCTTTATTATCAGAGGAGAAGCAACTACCAAAAAATCTAAAAGGGAAAAACACATTAGTAAGAACTGGGGGATGGAGATTTCAGATCCGTTTACAAAAGAGCAGTCATCATTTGAAAACAGAAAGTATTCCACAATAAACGGCTTTATGTCACAGTTCTTATTCTTTATATATAATAATGATAACCATAACATGCAACATACATTTTTACTTACTGCGCTTTAGGACTAGTAAAATAAACAAAAATAAAAAACCTAGAAATAAAATTATAGGTGGGTTTTTGATGAGGCCAAAAACACCAAATGACCGCCTGGGTGAGTAAACTTTCAAGCGTAAATGTACACAGAGTCCTGTTTGATTATCGTACAATTCTAGGAACCGGCATCACGCAGAAGAGCAGCCCAGAAGTCCGAGCGTACGTGGATTTCCTTCACATCATCGACAATCAACAGACTCTTTTTGAGCTCTCAGTGAAGCTGGAGCCACGGGCCTGAAGGCAAATGCAACTGTTCTACTCTCCAAGGATTATAACGGCTGTAATGTCTGTAGGGTACATGATATTCAGCATTTACATTGTCTGTAAAAGGACAGTGTTACTCAGGAGGACGTGCACTCCCCTCTCTGGCCACAAGAGGGAGCCACATGAACAAGGAATGCGCTAGTCTGCGATGGAGACCTGAGATTTACATGTATTTAATGATAATGATAATAATAATGATTGTAATAGTAGTAATAATAATGTTTGGTTTCTGCAGGGAACGGACTGATATGATCTTGAGGAAGTTTAGTGAAATTAAAGCTGGAGCACCCAACTTTCAAATCACAAATATAGAAGTGTGTCCTACAATCCTTTGCTCTGAAAACTGTTTGCTTCAGTTGCTAGTTTTCAAATGCATGTATTTTTGTGGCTTTTTCAGACTTAACTTAAAAAAGAAAGGACCACAATCCCACAGCCAATCTTCTTTCGGCCCAAAGCATCAAATAGTGACTCACAAGGATGCAAAAAATAATGTGTTAAGAAATGTGATGCGTTTTAAAACAAGAACGTACACAATTCATTCCAAAATGTTGAATGGGGTCTTCTTGCCATCGCTTCCTCTTTCTACACATTTTATCTTGATCCGTCCATGCTGCAGACAAACACACGTACAGAGGCGATCACATTACCCCTTGGATGCGTAATAAGACCAAGATAGGATGTTGTTTTTTACACATTTTACTTTTACAAGACTCATTCTGTTGGGACAAACACCACACGTTATTTATGAACATAAAGTTAGGTACCCCAGCTTTTGCACATAGAGAGATCAGTCCAGTTTGATCTTTTATAGTTTACTTTAAAATTTGATTCCATTTATTTTTGCACTGCCCAAAGTGATTTAGTGTTGTCATTTCTGCAACAACAGATCAGAGAATCAAATAGTTGAACAGAGGAAATTCATGGGCTATAGATTCAGGACTGAGGCTGTAGAACCAGGACTTGAAAATGGGTTCTGAACTAGACCTGTCACAATAATTACTTCATAGACTACCACTCTTTGATAACTGATGGGTACAACAATATATTTGGGGGGTTATTTTTTTTTTAACATTTGGTTTTCTTTCCAAAAGTGGACTGATTTTGGCCCTAAAAACACAAACAATATTATCACCAATAACAATAATTTTATGAAGCAGTATATCGTCTATCAAAATGAGTCATGGTGACAGGCCTAAGGTGAGCCTCCGAGCCAACCCTGCAGCCAGTGGCTCTAACACTTCCAGAATTCTAAAATTACTAGAACTCCCAAAGCAGTCATTTTGATGGCTCCATTTTCCACTAGTTTTTTAAAAGTAAGTAATGTATACGGTACTCACTTTTAGTGCTAAAACTGATTCATATAACTTTAATTCAGCAAAAACGGCTTGTGGAAAGGCTAAATGCTCAGTGCCAGTAAACAGCCTGTTGCTATAGTAACTGCGAGACAAAATTACTGCTTTGGGAGGTTGAGGTAGAAAAATAAACGTTAATTTCATAAAAGTATTTACATCGAAACAAACATACAGAAAAGATCTAAAACTTAGGAAGACACAACAAAAATCGTCAATTTGACTGCTGTGGGAGTTCTAGTGTTAAAAAATGTTGTCTACAAAATTCCAAAAACAACCTTAAAAATGTTGATGTCACGTTGGAGTTAGTGGTTTCAACTTCTTTTGTCCCTCGACATAAATGACCATTCTCGCTCTCACTTCATCTTGTTTATCACTAACAAACATTTTCAGGCTCAACCTTTAAACAAACGAGCGCAGAAACTGTTGAACACAAGCTGTAGACATTCTGATAATCCTCATAAGGATTTCCTCAAAAGTGGAGCAGACGAGACGCAGCATTTATTTTTCAGGTAATAGTTTTATAGTTTGCGAGTAAATGAGTAAATGACCGCCAACAAACACACTCTGGTCTCTGGTTTGAAAGTGTGGCTTGGTTTTGCTGCAGGACATAGTGTTGTGCTGTTCTGTGACCTACAAACTTGTACTTTTGGTGGTGAAATAGAAGCTCAACTTGTGACTGATCTTGTGGACAATCAGTGAAACAAATCTGCGTTTTCATATTTCTGACAGACGTAAAGTGTAGCTGCCGTCTGTGTTTTAGTCGATGGATCAAAGACATTCAAAAGCGTCTGCAGTCGTAGCGCTGTTGTGAAACTGTGGACTTTTGTATCACTGTTTTAGGACTGAATGTACTACTCTACTGCTTCAGAGTTTTGAGGTATATATATACGGTGTACTTTTCATTTGTAAATATATTCAATAAGTCTGGATTGTAATTATTTATTTTCTTCCATAAACCAATATCGATCCTACTGAATGTAACTATGTGCTCAGTGCATGAGGAAGCGAAACATGCACTGTCCTTACTTTGAGTCCAGTGTGGATGAAATAAACTCTTGATTTTGTTTTGCACAGATTTGTTACTGAATGTAGTACACACACACACACACACACACACACACACACACACACACACACACACACACACACACACACACACACACACACACACACACACACACACACACACACACACACACACACACACACACACACACACACACACACACACACACACACACACACACACACACACACACACACACACACACACACACACACACACAAATTGTATATTATATTAAGTTGCAGAATACTGAATATCTGCAGTACAATGTAACTACTACATTAACACTGTGATATATTTTTAAATTTGGATCCACATTTAGCATGGGTTAAAGGGAGAAATACAGATTCTCCAGGAGATACATGCTTAATACAGTCTTCTTACTGTTTGTAGCATGAGTATCTATAGGAAGTATGTAACTTCGGGATGTATAATATCAATCAATCTTTATTTGTATGGCACATTTCAGACCCAGGGCAACGCAAAGCACTTCAGTTACACATCAGGGCACATTCACTCCGGGTCCAATGGAAGGAGACTCTGGTGCACTTTGTAAAAATGTACGGGAATAAACCAAACTCTGTCCGAGTATGATCATCATTGGGAGAAATTCCAAAGAAAACTTAATATGTTACTTTTTAGCGCAACTAATGTTTTCACGCTGTATATTTTACCATTATTTAACCAGGTTAAAGCTTTTCCAAGAGTGATCTAGCAAAATACAATTTAATCACACAAAAATGTAATCGAGAAAAACAATAAAGTAAAGTCCAGTGTGGCAGCATAAATATGTTGCTCATACATTTGCTTGGGTTCCCACTGTTTAGGACAAAAATATTATAATTAAGGCAGTTGCAAATGTCAGATGAAAATGCAGCTTACAACTTGTTTCTAAACTTATGTAGAGCTCTATGAAAAAATAAAACATTTTCCAATCCAAAAGAGTAAGATGAAAGACGACATAAAACTCCCTGAATAACAAAAGGTCTTTCGAATAGACTATTTTATGCAGAGAACTTTAGAGACTGACCCATGGTATATAAAAGACAAAACAAATCAAACAGCATGTTGTGAGCTAAAGTAGAAACTCATTTTACACCAGTTTATTAATTGAATAGAAATATTATGTAATAGGATAAGAGAAAACAACGATTGCAGATGGATTTCATAATTTAATAATCTAATAATTAATATTGTCTGAATTGTCTCAAAAAATCCCAACTAACAATGAACCATTGGAAGGATTCAATATTCCTTGAGTCTTGAACGTAATCAGAAAGTGCATGAACAAAACATCACCGGTTATAAACGAGAACTGCACTGAAGGTTACAGCAGAGATTATTAAACCATTCACTGCAATTCATCTTTTCAACTCAGCGACTCTTCCGAATCCTTCCCAAATGAGCCAAACACTTTCAAAAACTATCAACGTCTCCCTTCAGCCAGTTTCCCAAAAGTTTGATACCATTGGTCGTCATATTTTGATAACCAAAATATATAAAAAATATGTGTTAAGGGGATTAGCATTGTGGACCAACACAATAATAAAAACATAACTTGTGGAGTACCTCAAGGGTCGATATTGGGACCCACAATATTCATAATGTACATCAACAAAATATGCCAATTATCTAAACAATAGTAATTCATACTTAATTCCTTTTAAACTCTTTACAGATGACGCTAATATGTTTTGACGATGACTTGGAGACCTCAGGCCACCATCATTGGGGAAACAAACTTCCTTGAGCAAAGTTCCAATGTTGAACCCTGTGTGACCCGCTTGTTCTCAGCCACAGCCAGATGTCCCGCGTGGCCTTTACCCTGACTGTCAGTGGCACGACCCCTGCTGCTCTCTGCCTTGCACCCTGCCATTTCCTCCCAAACACCAGCCCCACCGTATCATTTCCCTGTCACCAAATTAGTGGCTAGCTGCGGTGGCGCTCTAATGAGAGGAAGAAAGAGGGCAGAGTACAGGAAGGCTGCGTCTTCATCGTCCCCATGCAATACAATACAGCCAATCAATCCACTGTCCTCCGCGCGTCGGCCGGGCAAAATCAACAATAGCACAGCGGTTATTAGAGAAGAGAAAATGGTGTTTGGTAAAGATAACACCTCTGATTTTCAGCAAAGAAAATAATGTGTGTGTAATTTGTCTCTGTCGCGGTTTGGAGAGAAAATGGTCTCGTGTATTCCTGGTTTAATGTCTCTTATCGAACGCGTGTTGTGGTTTTGATCTCTCGGAACAGCGAAGGCCTTGACTTTACAGTGACCTGGAGGAGAGCAATCATTGAAATGTACGAATGCATAATGTGACGGGGGAAGGTGCGTTCACAACTGAAGCGGACTCTAATGCACTTTAAAAAAATATATAATAATAAATAAAACCTTGCTTGAATTGGGCAAAATTGATGTTTTTAGTTTATAATTATCTAAAAAAAATCACTATAAGAGAACCCAATGGAACGGGAAAATACGTGTCTTGTTTTGACAGAGATGCAAATTCTCACTTTCATAGAATAAATATGCTACTGCTGTTAAAATAACACTTAATAACACCTAATAACTACCTGTCCTATTTGCAAATCGTATTTTTAGAAGTCAAGATATTCTAATAATCTTAAACCACTGTATTCAGGACTTTAATCGCTTTTTCCCCCCCTTTTTCAAACCCCAAATAACTATACAATAAATACATGTAGTTCCTCACACTCAAACAGGTTGGTTCTATCACTAGTTTTAGCATTTATCCTCCACATCTTGAGGATATCTTTTGAGACAAAGAAGTGAAAAAGAGACAACCACTTCATTTCACAACATTTTACTTTTAAAACTTTCTCTATTGGAACAAACCAAACGTATTCATTATGAAAAAGTTAAACAACCCATCTTTAAGGAGAAGATCAAAAATAGATTTGAGCTTGTCCCACTGGCAAATCTTTTTATCAAGGGAGTCCAAATTTACTCAATGACAAGATTCGGGCATTTATCAAAGCTGGAGTCCCTACATTACAAAACACAAACAATTAAACTAAGTGAAATCCATCAAACTTGGACCGGGTTCTTAAACACTTTTGTTTTTAGTAAGTAAAGTTATTTCTATAGCCCGTGGGTTGAGCTGAGTGAGAGGACCGCCCTCACTCAGCTCTCAACCCAAAGCATCATAGTCTGTTATTCATGAAAAAGATCAAATGTTTATCTTAGCTAAGACAAGTGTGCTGCCATTATTTTGGGTGGCACAATGGCTGATTGGATGACACTCTCTCTTCTCAGCAAGAAGGTCCTGGGTTTGAATCCTGATCGGAATGGGGCCTTTCTGTGAGGAGTTTGCATGTTCTCCCTGTGTCTGCGTAGGTTTCCTTCCACTAAAAGCATGTACTGTACTTAGGTCTGGCATGTGACAAATTCCCACAACAATTGTGACTCTGGTCTGTGAAAGGCGCTAAAAAGATTTCTTACTTTTTGACTTGAAATAATGGCGTTACCTCATCTGTAGTCTTGCCTTTTTGAGTTCTCCTTCATGTCCCACTTGTTGGCCTGCCATACACTGCAAAAAAATATAAGATATGAGGTAATAATTGCTTGAATGGAGTAATCTTAATTTGAGCACAATCTGAATGTCTTAAAAGATTTGACAATGGGACAGAGCCATTTAGGCTTATTTCAAGAACCGTTGCTTTATTTTCTCATTCCAGGGGAGACATTTCTTATATTTTTAAAACGAGATCTTTTTCCTATCGGCAAAGAGTTTTAAGGCAGTCAAAATGTGCTCAGATTAAGATACATTTGGCCAAAGTTGAGTATCTTTTGACTTATTCTTCATCACTTTTTGCAGTGTATGTGATTGACCTGTGTATTTATAGCCTGTGCTTTTCCTCACTTGTTGTCTTTCCTCGTTTGTTTTTAGCACAAAATTTTTGTGTTTAATCTTTACCCTTGACTTGGTTTCATTTAATTAAATTACACATTATCTTGGGTTCCTTTTTTCACTTCACCTCATGACATGTACTCCTCCATTCAAATGTGGCAGTAGTATTTGAACCACGATAACAGAACAGTCTTGGGAGAGTATACGAGCATGGGTGATCTGCCGTGTTTCTCATAGAAGGCCATCAGTGCCTTTGAATAGGTCTCTTCATCAGGCCTGGATGAATGAATTACACTAGTCTGTTAGTATTCCGGGTCTGGCGTAGAAAAGGTCAATGTCAAACGCACCTCATTTAAAAGTCAATAGCCACCGTGCACATCATCTCCTGGGAATTCTGTCCGCGGGCGCTCCAGACAGCATTGTGTATCATTCAGTTAGGAGAGGGCAGCCGGAGTGCTTTTTTAATCTTGACCTTCTCATAAAATATGCTCCCAATCCAGAATTACATGCTCTAAACTGGAGACATAAGCTTCCGACAAATCAGAGCCAGACTCGGGGCATCTCCGGGGAGCAGTTAAGCGGTGACACGCACGGACAACAGGTTTGGCACTGGTTAAACGTTGCTTTATTAACGCAATCTCTGCATCTGCAACAACGCATGCATTTAGCATTAGGAGCACAGCGCATTTAGATTTCACATGGTTTTGATCACATATACACAAATATTTTCTATCGACATATCTTCTGATTTTGGCAAGAAAATTAAAATACTGAATGTAAAAAATACTGAAAAGTATGCATTATTGTTGGCCAATAAAAGTGGAAATGAGAGGATTTACTTGGTCATTTCATGGTTTTGGAATGTAAAATCAGATCTTAAGTAGGATACTGTATATATAGAGATGAGTATGAAGGGTAAAAGAATCTACTATATTTTTGCATGTTACCACCAAATCGAAAATTACAGGCTGCAAACAGAGACATGTGTTTGAAAGAACACAACTTCACCTGGGAAATAGCCAAAACTATTTCATGGGCAACAATTTTGTTTTAAAAAAGGTAGAAAATTGAGAAGGTCTGAGCGTGATGTCATAGTGGTACAATGACATCATACTATTGCAGGACAGAGACAGGAGCGTTTAGGCAGAAGGGGCGGAGTTACCCGTTTGTGCCAGAAGCTCCTGATATTAGCATGGATGGATCTAAAAACAACTCCAGGTCTGTTTTTGATGAGGAACAATGTTGCAGAATGGTTAAACGCTTAAATGGTTCTCCTTCATATAGTTTTTTGTGTTCATAAACATGATCTTAAGAAATATTTGTTCATCCGAAAACATGAAAAGAAACTATTCTCAAGTATAAAATACACAGATAGACATAAAACATAGAATAACAGATGACCAGAATGACTAAAACACTAATGTATAGACCAATTATTCTATTCTGCTTGAATATACAGTGCATCCGGAAAGTATTCACAGCGCTTCACTTTTTCCACATTTTGTTACATGTAGGTGTATAGTTGAAGGGGCAGTTGTAGGAGACTAAGACTTGTAAAACTTGAGAAATCCTAAGACAAAAAAAGGCAATACTTTTGTTTTTCAACATCAGAAAGAGGCTCTGTCCATGTTGCCATAGTAACAAGTATAAATGTTTGAACACAGAACATTTAACGCAAGGTTACCTAACTTTTAAACCACAAATATCTATGTTATAAAATCTAAGTTTGTTGCTCTAAAACAGTTTGAATCCATTGCTAGTTTTCACGTGTATGTATTTTTGGCCGCTGTCACAAATCGAGATCAGCTTTTTCAGACAAAAAAGTGAAAAATAAAGGACCACCCTGAGAGTTTAAGGTGGTCAGGATCTCTCTTTTTGTACAAACAACATGGATTATTTATGAAAGAAAAAGGTCCAGTGCCCATCTTTAAACAAAAGGTGCATGACAACTCTACTATCAGTGCATAAGGCCATGCTTGTACCTGATTTGCGGCAGAAGTTCCCAAAATTACTGTGGATAGTGTTTATAAGGGGAACAAAGCAACAAGCTCCACTAAAACTATAGACACTAACTTGTGTCTGTTAAACACTGGCTCAGAGCGACAGGAGAAGGGCCACTCCTGCTATGATCCACTTGGCTGCAGGCTGCTTGGTCTTCAGGTGCAGGGAGCAGACGTAGGTGCTTCCTCTCTGTTTGGTCCGGTACAGAGGACATTCATAAGTGTTCTTCAGCTCCTGCTCCTCCGACAGCACGGCTCTCACGTACACCACCGGCATGGCGGGGGTCAGCTCCCGCAGAACCGCCTCAGAAACCACTCCTGCCTGACTGTCCCAGCGCGCGCCTGCAACACAACACACACGGCTGTAGGGAACTGACACAGAGGAGATTGCAAAGAAGACTAAAATCCATCCATCCCTTTTCATCCGCTTTATCTGTTGCAGCGTTGCCTGGGAAACAGTCTAAGCAGAGAGGCCCAGACTTCCCTATCCACACACAGTTCCTCCAGATCATCCGGGGCAATCCAGAGGTGTTTCCAGGCCAGCTGAGAGACATAGTCCCTTCAACATGCCGTGGGTCTTCCCAAGAGCCTCCTCCCCAGAGAGGCGTCCAGGAGTCAGAGCCTCCTCAACTGGCTGCTCTACTCCGAGCTCCTCCCGTGTGACTGAGCTCCTCACCCTATCTCTAAGGGAGAATTTTGGTCATTACCCAAAGCTCATCTCCATAGGTGAGGGAGGGAACGAAGATTGAAATCAAGAAATCAAGGCTGTATGTTTCCTGTATGTGTTCACATAACAGTTCTTGTGTAGAACATAAGAATGTAGACTGCAGTACGGCAGGTGGCCTTTGAGCACGTACTAGAGAGAGACTGGAGAGCTACACCCTATTCAGATATTATGCAGTAAATATAATAGATGCATGAGTAAAATACACATTAATTTGACCCACAGGATCTGAATACAACAGCCTTGACACGTTCTGTACCTTCCATAAAAAGCCCGTGGATGTAGGCTCCCTCGCGAGGCGGGTGTCCAAAGTCCTCTTTAGTTTTCTTTGTGACGTCGATGGTCAGACTCATCCGGTCCAGAGGCCACTCGTTCTTTCGGGCAATGCTCTGAAGCACAGCTGCAGAAGGAATCTTATGTAAATACTGTTAATAATCAAGGCAAGTGTAGCACAGTTCATACACAAGGCAAATCCATGTGCTTTCAAAACAAGAAAAGAAACATTAAAAGCACACAAGGCATTAAAATAATAAATAATCATATTACATTAAAAGGGTGAAGAGGAAATCCTTGCACAGCTGAATAGAACAGTTTTTAACCTGGATTTGAAGAAGCCTTTCTTAAATTTTTCGGGCAGACTGTTCCAAATTTCAACAGCATAATTCTGGAACAGTGCCTTGTCCTGACTCTGGACACCAGCAGAAGACCTGTCCCTGTGCTCCTCAGAGTCTGAGTTGGTTTATAGTTGGCACTTTATACAGACATTTAACAAATGGTTGAGATGCAGTTTGTTTGATGGTAAAAGTGTCTAAAACCAAACGAGATGCCCCAAAGAGGTATATTTCAGTCATAGGGTAGATATGGCGACTCAGAGGGTGATCTACCAAATGGTTGAGGAAACCATTCAAGGGTTAAAGTCTATTCTCTGAGCCACAGGAGGTCAGTGCAGAGACCTGAGAACAGGACTAATGTGTAATCATGTATACATTATGGTCTTCCAGTTAGAGCTGTGTTGTGTGCTGTACAAGTCAGTCTAAATTATTCCATGATAGATATCCACAATTACGTTTTGTCAAAGAATCACAGAAGAATCATATCTCAGTATATTCATGATTCTGAATGCACTAACGTTTACAGTGGCAGTGTTCACCTGTGAGGAAGGACTGAGGGTTGAAGAGCCCTGAGAGCCAGACGACTGCAGGAAGAACAAAGTCCTGTGTCCAGCTGTCCAGCTCTTGACAACTCAACAACACATCATTAAACCTGCAAAAGTGTAGAGATAGAACAACTCAATGTAATGACAAAACATTATGAGTTACAAATATATACATTTACAGTAACTAATACATATAATAAAGCATATACCAATACAACATACATAAACTAATATAATAATATTAAGTTATTTATTTGAATTAGGGGAGTGGATTACAGCAATTTTAGTGATGCATATTCTGTATCACTAAAATAGTAATGCAGAATACTGCATAACAGACAATTACCTTTGCTTAATCAAGTAACATAGTATCTGTAAACTGCATGTTTATGATATATTTTAGGACAATGATTAGTACTGATAATTATAATAAATCATTAGTTCACAGAGAAAATTCCAAAGCAATTTCAAAGCTGTGTGACACAAAATAATAAAATTCTGTGCACTTGATGTTCAACAGTTTCACATAGTTTTAAATTGTATAAAATTGAAATGATTACAATTTTGTTGCAACCCTAGGTCTGACGCAATCCATTTTTTTTACATTTATAAACATTGATACTCCCGCTCCTTATGTTAATTATTATTGCATTTTCTGAGATCAAATTGTTTGATTCTCTGAATTGTTTTTGGTGAATCGTGATTTAAGGCTATACAGAAATAAATTGAATTGAACTGAAGTCTTTTTTTAGTGTAAGACATAATATGCTTGCATGATTTTTCATGCAGTGAAATTGTGCTCAAACAAAGTGTGCAATGTGCGTTCACATAAATTAGGTTTTCTACATTATAATAAATATTTCCTGCAATAAAACCAGGAAGAAGTGTGGCTGACGACACAGTGAAAAGTAAAAGTTACCAGTGAGCCAGGGTCTTGGTGGAGGGATAGGACAGTCTGGCCCAGGAGAGAGGGACCACATCACTGGACAGAGCAGCCTGCAGCGTCTCCATGGCAGCCGAGATCGTCAACTCCCCCTTTGGAAACACCAGGAACAATCATAAACCATAAAATATGAAGAAATATTATGCATTAGCTTTGGCCATTAAAAATAATAATGGTACTTTTGAATAACATTCTCTGTTTTGGAATGTGAAATAACATCTTCAGTAGAAAATATTTGGTGACACAAGCACCAAGCGTTGCATTCTGCCTGTAACTCCTTGAGGGATTGGGAACCACCAGAGGGATATGTTGAATTTATTTTATTTGTTTTGAAAATTTGTAAAGTACCGACTGAAAACACAGACATGCGATTACAAAGGACATAATTTTACCTGAGAAGTTACCAAAACTAATTTATGAGGAATATAATCATATTATATAATATTTTTGTTATTTTGTTAATGACATCACACTAGCTTTTAGACAGAAGGGGCGGAGTTACATGCTTGTACCAGAAGTTCCGCATAATATCGTGGATGGCTCTTCAAAAAAACTCAATTTTTGATGAGATGCAATGTTGCAACAAAGATAAAAGCTTAAAACAATGCACAATTTGTCTCCGTACCTTGAGGCCCAGCTCCAGCTCAGTCAGGGACCTACGGACTTCTGCGATGAGGCGGTTCATGAGTTCACATTCCTGAAGACAGACCAACGTGTACGGAGTCCTGTCCGCAGCTTTAGACATGAGCTCGGTCATGTGGTACTCCTCTGGGAGGCGATCTAGTATGTCTTCAATCACACACTTCACCTGTCAAACAACTTTGAATTAGGCTGGTTCTCAATACACGACCGATCTAAAATATGGATTATCACACAAAGAGCACCAGTGGGGGCTCCGTCATAGACTGTTCTGCTCCCTCTCCCAATGCTAGCGAGAGGAACGCGTCTGCGCGCGCAATTTACAGCGCGGCTCTTCATCACTACAGACTCTTCCCCGTGGCATTCAGAGATGCCACCAAAATCACAGAGCACCAGCCCTTCACTGATCATCCTGCAGGGGGTGAGTCCACAGGAGGATGGCTGCTCTCTCGGTGAAAGCATAGCCTTGATTTTTCAGCGGGGGCTCAGGCAAAGTGGGGTTAAGTGTCTTGCCCAAAGACACAACAACAGCAGACGTCAGTGGGAGTCGGTGGAGAAGGTCTCGTGGTGGGCTCGAATCCATGACCTCTACCAACTGAAAGCACATGTTCATGTGCTTTCCTATGTACCAGTCAATTAGTAACGATTTAGCCCAGGGGTGGGGCTAAAGGTTTATAAGGACACTCCTGAGGGGGTTGAGAGAGTGAGTTGGAGTTTTGGAGAGAGAGCTGGAGTATCAAACTGTTGTACTTTTGAGTTGGCTGTTTTTGTTTGTCTGTTTTTTCCTGCACTGTACATATTTTACACTGTTCACTGTTTTAGATCCTGTGTGTATTATGGCTCATCTTTGACTGAGCCATAATTTTTTTCACAACATTTTAAACAAACCATTCACATTTACAGTTGTCCAGAAGTTTGTTATGACTCAAGCTCAGGCTTATCACATTTGTATTGTTTCTTGACAATGTTTACTGCTAATTTAACTCATTGCCTGCCAGCCTATTTCAGAACAGGTACTCCCATATTGCCAGCTGTTTCTGATGATTTTTATAGATTTTTCAAGACCCACAGAATATTGTGTACTATGACTATCTGAAATCCGAGATTCTGAGAGAATGGACTGTCTATTTTCATCAGCAAAAATAATTTTGTTTCTAGCTTGTTTCGTTCCTCTGTTATCCCCAGTCGAGTAGAGGGAAGTTTTACTGAAATCACCAAAACGATGAGAAAAAAGAGGCACAACAAGTTCATCTAGAAAATAGCGGAAAAAGTCATTGACACATTAATATGTCACACAACGAGTTAATGAATCGAACAAATTGGTCCGAGTGACCCCAAACTTCTGACTAATTTATTGACTCTTATTTAACCAGAATAGTCCCGTTGCGATTTCAGAATCTCTCTTTCAGGGGAGTTCTACCCTGACATGAGTCTAATATACATGTTTAAGTGATGGGGAAAACTTGAGCATCCTGAGGAAACCTATGCAAACATGGGGAGAACATGCAAACTACAATCAGAGAATCCTTGTGTCGTCTAGAACTCAAACCCAGGACTTTCTGTTCAGTAAGAGCACTCAGCCACATGTCATCCAGATAGAAGGACCCTCTTCTGACATACTTCAAAATAATCCTTGTTAAATGGTGCGGTTCTGACTAGTTAGCCAGAACATGAATTATAAACATACAACAATGAATTTCATTGTTGATACAACAATGTATGTTTGTAATTCACTGTAAGACATTGTTTGGAAATGTCCATCCATCATGACACGAGCATGTGTCATCAGATTTCCCAAACCCTTTCCATTGTGTTACGACAATGTAAGTCTTCACTACAGCCCACTGGTCTGGAAAACACAAGTTACAGTATATTGCATGTTTGACCCTAACTCACCCAATGCAGCACCTGTAGATATACTTTCTGTCTCTACTTGTGAAGCCTATTATCTACATGTCTTGGTTAAGGGTTAGGGTTAGGCCACATGTGACGTGCGTTTGCCAGAGGTGGCCCTACTTCAGTACCTTGTCCTCGGAGCTGGGCTGGACCTCTCCTCCACTGGCCTCATGAGGCTGCAGCTCATACAGAGTCCGGAGGAGGCGGTCAGAGGTGACGGTCAGACACTCCAGCTCAGCGTTGGGATGCAGCCCGTACAGAGAGGGGTTTTCACAGGGAAGATGCTGGTCGATATAACTATGGTAACCACTGTAGTCCGTGACCGGAGGAGACGAGAAGCCCGGGCAGAGGAACAGCTCACCTTCAAACTGTGGGCAAAGGACATTAGAATGTTATTAAATTATCATTTTAGTAAATCATATGCGGCTAAATTATATACTGTACGTTAAAATTCACTTTGGCGCCAGGAAGTCTGGGGGAGCCTGAGCAGGCTTTAAGGATGCTTATGGAGAAGGCCTTGCCACATTGTCCTTTTGTCGTCTATTGGTTTCTCTTCCTGTGGAATGTGTGTCTTATCTCCTAGACTGCCTTGCAGCCTGACTAAGGTGAGACATGTTTCTGGACACGAGACTGAACTGAGCTGTGCTCTGTTTCTCTACAGACTTGTCTCCTTGGAATCCGACCAAAAATAAAAATGCAGAAACGATGCCTTTTGTGTTTGTGACTTTGTCAGAATTGACTGTAAATTAAATTAAATTAACAGAAAAATGTTTTAGACTGGTCCAAAAGACAGAAAATCATTTTAGAAGTCTTACTTTCAAGTATAAAAATTAGGAAAAATCAGACAATACGATGTTCCATCAACAGTGCCAAAATTGCAACATTTTCAGTCCATTTTCAAATGCTGAATCAACCCAACTGCTGTTGCATAGTGTTTAAGTGTATCTCATTTTGAAAGCATTCATATGGGCTACTTATTCCTAAGCGTAATTAAAATGATAGTTTTATACTTCAGCTAAGATTTTTTAAGCACAGACATTTTACTTTTTTCTCTAAATTATCTTATTTTTGTTTTATCATCTTGTTTGACTGCTCCTTTTACTGGTCTTTAACACTAACCTATAATCTACATGTCTTGGTTGAGGTTAAAAAGTTGCAGTCAAACGAAAACAAAGAAAATCAATATTTTGAAAAGGACCAGTGTGTGTGTTATTTTAGAATACATATTTTTTTCATGCATTTAAGTTTGACCATAACAGGTCCAAGCATTATATATGTATATCCTCTTAACACCCGCCTCATTTTGGCTTGTGCACAAAAGTTGGGCATTCCCAAATGTCTTTGCTTATTTACACACATCTTACATCTCACATGCTTGTGTGATGCATCATTTTAAAGCTAGAGCCTTCTAGTTTATGTAAAAAAACACTAAAATAATGTCTGTCATTCCTATTTCCCTTAGCATCCTTTGAAGTTTGGGAAAAAAAAACAATTTTTTTTAGCCTCGCCTAACATTTTCAATTTCTAAAGGCCCTAAAAAAGGCATACTTCATTGTAAGTTCAAAATATTCAAACCCTGTGGTCATTGTGTTGTTGACAACTGTCTAAAGTTTCAGACTTCTAAGTTTTATAGTTTTTATGCAGTTTCTCCTTTTCATCAAGTAGTGCACATTTGGCACAAAATATCTTTACTGCCATTTAATTATCATAAAAACAATATTTTTTATTATTGGTACTTATAAGTTACTAATCTATGTGTTTTTTTTATCTTTTTAAATGTCAAAGTTATTTTTTTATGAGTGTAAATTCATTGCAGCCTCGAGAGCGTCTTTTGGCTGCCATTACGCACAATTCAGCAGGCACAACATAAGACAGGACACCATTGTCCCACCCCTTGCTCGAAAGCTCTCCTCATTGGCTACACGGACATGTCAATCAAAAATCCCGGAAATAGAAGCAAACAAGAAGGGACAACAACAAAGATCAGTGATCCATGCGCAAACAGCAGCGCTAGCTGTACTCACGGGAGCTCTTGCAGACCCAAAAATTGGTCTAGCTTTTCGGGAGTAGTCTCATATGAAAGATAAGGAGCTAAGGAACACGTGGATACCAGATGTTCGGGTGAAAAACAAAGCTAAAAGTCCGTTAAAAGTGAAAGAGCAACATCTGTGCTCTTTTTTTTCGTTTTTTTCGCTAAAGATAAATGCACATTTTTGGATTATTTCTGCAGAATAGATTTTACTTTGGGTAATACAAGTGGATATAATTTTCCTTTGGACTGTTCCAGAGAGAATGATGTATTGCAAGCTGGGAGGAGAGCTGATTTATTTGTACAGCACAAGCCCAAAGGTAAAAAACTATTTCGGAATTGATTTATTTTGTGCCCACATTATGTGTTATATCTTTTGAATGCAAAGTCTGATGTAGTTTACATGTATGTCTTGTATATAAATGTAGATAAGAAAATAAGCTTTAAAATGACATACAGCTTTTGGGGTTTGGTGTTCAAAATACATCTGATATTGCCAGCAGAACATTTAAAAACATAAAAACGGCACGCCGGCACGCCGGTGGGTGTTAAAACTTTTGCATTTACAATTTGTCAATAGATCCCACTTTTTATGCTTCTGATTAGTTTGACTTGACTTTGCTCCACAACTTAAACTCTGAATGTAAGTTATTGAAAGTGCACATGGCAAAACACATAATTACATATAAGAGTTTGCTAACAAAGTTCAACATTTTTAATATATGTTTTTAAGTTCATAATTCTTCATCCTGATTGTGCACTAGGAATCTCTAACTGTGACCTGAAATAAACTGGGCAAATCCCTGGGCATTTTACACCATTGGACTACAGTTGGAAACTAGCTGTTTACAGGGATCTTCCTATTAATTTTATTCGGCCCCTGACCAAAATGAGTTTGACATTCCTGCTGTAATGCATACTTACGTCTCCAGAAGGCAGTGTTCACCATGACGACGTCCAGCCAAGAGCAGCACAGTACAGTAACACACAGCTCTCCATGCTGTGTTTTCACCACTTACACCGTTTCTAATATGTTTCAAAGTTGTGTTTTAAAGCAGAGACCGAGACTGACCATGCTGACGTTCATGAGTTGTTGCAGATAAGTGCGGCACAGTCTCCGGTCCCAGTCGTCTGTGATGTGGCCTCCGTACATGATCTCTCCAAACAGATAGCACAGGTCCTCCCACGGCACCTGCATGGACTACAATTATATCAAACATTCAAATAAAAAGATAACAACAAAAGAATGAATCCATGTTGCAAAAAACTCCTTTAACTTTTCAATATTGTATAGTCATATAGTATATTTTTTTCCAATGGACAAAAAAGACAAAAATGATAACCCAGATGCAAAAACATTACAGAAATAAGAACTATGTGAAAAGGTGGTCTGTAAGATGTGGCCTTCACAGACTGTTACTTTTATAGGACTCTTTCTGTTGGAAATGTGGAATTTAGGAACAAAAACAAGTGAAGTACCTCACCTTTAAATCAACAAAACTCACCACTGTTCAAAAGTGCATTGAGGGTCTCTCCTGTTCGCTTGTTCCAAATGTACCTCAGTCAAATGACAACTTGTGTCATTGTGTCGGCTCGCCTCTCCGCACATATGACAAGTACATGAGGAAAGCTAGCCCCTCTTTTAGTTCAAATGGATATAAGTTTTATGCTAAAATGTGGATTATCCAAAGCAAAACTAAATGATAAGAAATGAATATTTTTGATAATCGATTGGTAAAACACAGGTCAGAATATGTGGGTACTTTTAAAACTTTTTAACTTAAGTTGTAAAAACTTTTATTGAAGGGCAGAATGGCACAGTGGTTAGAGCTTTTACGAGCCATACACTTTATTGATGTTTTATGTCATTTTATCTGTGCATTACTCTTTGTTTGCTTTAGTTATTATTGAGTCAAACTTATCATGATATATTATATAGACTAATTGCATGCAAAGTGACATAGGCAAGATGTATCTTAATCTTAAGAATGCTGTAATGTTGACATTAAGGCTTACAGGTCATTTTCAAAATGTACTTTCAGCCAATTATCTACATTATAACAAGTAAAGCCTTATTCTGATTATGGGAATTCAACTTGACATTACTAAAACATATAATTTTATTTAAGAATGTTCCAAATGTATTTGAATTTATATATTCTTGAAGTATATAACTTTTTCTCCTGAAATTACAATAGACCAGGAATCTCCAACTGTGACCTCACAACCATGGAATAAACTAGAAAAAAAATCACATCGCTAGGGTTAGGCTTTAACACCAATCAAAACTAGCTGTATTTCTAATTCTGGCACAGTTACAGTAATGTTGATTAATATGCTCTGCTCTGTCTTATTAAAATAAACCTGTTATTCAGATGGGAAAACGACTCAAAACTTTGAAAACTCGATCCAGATGCCTCCACTTTGAAACCTGCTCTGTGCTGGAATGAGGAATCACACCGCTTTGTCAGTGCGCTTTGAGAAAAAGCCCCTCTGCTTTCTTCGCTCGGAGACTGTGATCCGTGAGGGTGAAGGAGAATGAAAGAAAGCTGTGATTCATAACAAATGACAAAAGCTGCAGGTTCACAATCATCTGTACCTGTATTGTTTTGCAAATTGCTTCCTTCATCAGCTCTAATTGCAGTGATCACTTATGTAGCGTTGTGAACTGTCACATCGGCCGCATGTAATTACATTTAGGAGAACGCTTCATTGCCCCACTAATGAAGCCTCTGTATACGCACATACGGGTTACTGTTTGGTTAACATAATGAAGGACATTCGTTTTTTTGGAGGGCGCGTCACCTGAGAGAGATAATTGGTAGTGACCTGAGTAATAGGAGTTCTAAAGAGAAATCGTTACAAGTTCTGAGAATAGATGTTTTTTTGTCTCGTTGAAATAAAGCCAAATTATGGGTTTGTTTGAACGGCAGCAGGAAACATGTGAAGGCTGTGTGTTAAAATAAGGACTATGTCTTTATCACAATAAACATAGTGAAAAGCAGTGAAGCAATGTTTATTTACAGATATAAAATACATTTAGAGTTATCACAGATGATGAAGGGATAAAGGTAGTTACCGGTAGCGACACCAGCTTTTCACAACTTTTGCTAATGTTAATGTATTTGTATGCAAACAAGCTGCAAACAAGGCATGTGCACTTGTATATATTAGTAATTTAAATCAATGTTATGGAGCTTCTTTATGCATGCCTTATATCTATTTTTACTTTAATAACTTATTTGCATCATGAGCCAAAGCATCTTCCTAGTTTGTGACTTCCTGTTACTTACAATAGCAGTCAGAGCTGCACCCAGTACACATAGCACCAGCCCCTCACTGATCCTCCTGCAGGTGGTAAGTCCACAGGAGGATGGCTGCTCTATGGCACAGCCTTGATATTTCAGTGGGGGGCTTCAAGCAAAGTGGGGTTAAGTGTCTTGCCCAAAGGACACGTCCACAGCAATCATCAGTGGAAGTCAGTGGAGAAGGTCTCGTGGTGGGCTCGAACCCACGACCTTCAGGCTCAAAGGCCAATTCTCTACCAACTAGAACACTAGTTTTCACATGCATGTATTTTTAGCCTTGTTCACATCTTTAGATCAAAATATTTCAGACGTGCACTTGGCTGGTGCTAAGTGTACTGGGTGCAGCTCTGACTGCCACCCCCCTGACCCAGAATGGATGGAAGATTATCATAAAGATACAAAGTGCTTTCTAAGTTAAAACTCAATAGAAATAGAGTCTTACTTTTGTATTGGCCTCCAGGTAGTTGTACAGAATGCTGCTGGAGATGGTGAGGTCTCCGGTGCTGAAGGGATACTTGTGATTCCAGCCTTGTGGGCCAAATTTACAGCGTTCGATTAAACTGGCGTGGAAGAAGCAGAGGGAGAAGAGCATCAGGTTGAACTCCTGTTCCCGCGAGCACATGTCCAACGTTTCCTAAAACACAAGAGTAATAACATTAAGACAAACAAGAGTAAAATCAAACAAACTGCCCTTAATGCTCAAAATATGTGAAACATCAATCTACATTAGTCGAACTTATAAACATTAAAAAAAAATCAAGACACCTCCTATCAAAATTGAGAGGAACAGACTTGTACATAAAGCGAAAATGTAATAAAATTATGTTTATCTGTGCGGTTGGTCTCTGGAATGGATGCATGCATTGCATGAATCGTATCCAATCTTCAAATTCTGTATCAAATTGTATTGAATTGAAAAAGCCCTGTATCTTGAGACGTATCGTATCGGCAGCCCTCATAAAGCGCTTAACAGACTCACAAATATTTACACTGTTTTGGGTTGAACTTACTTGACTGAAGTTGTTGAGAGCTGCGTGCAAACTTGCGTTCATTCCCGTCGGCGGCTCGTTAGTGATTTTGATGGAGTTTTCAAGTATTCCTCTGGGGAAGACATGATGCTCCGGACTCTGGGCTGGTTCTCCCGTCATAAACACTCTGAAGTCTGGGTGACTGCTTTTGCCACTGGTCTCCAGAAGAGCCTCCAGAGATGGAAGCCAACTCGCAACCAGATGGACATTCTGGGAAAAACAAGCAAATGATGATGAAATACATGTGGTTAACAAGTGGTAAACAAAACTTTTATAACATCAAGTACCACATAAAATGTCGTGCTCTCCAAGCACCAATAGATCCAAGTCCAATAGTTCCCCAGTTCTAAAGGATGACTATACTGGGTCAATGAAAATAAATTATGGCAGTTCTTAAAAAGTAATTTTGTGTGAATCTCTTCTTTGCTTTAGTTTCTCCCAGAGGTTTCTCATTTTCCCATTGGGGTTTACTCGTATGCTACTTTGCCCAGAGGCTTTAAGGACTGTCTTTAATATACATCCTTACTGCTTTAATAAACTAATTACAATTAAAATCTAACGGTTGCTGTCAGAATTGTCCTGCCAGTGCCACAGGAGCTCCTAAGCATGAGTACTGATAAAAACCACCTGCTGGGTTTTTTTTTTTTACAAACAAACTGATTTTGTATCTGCTTTCATTGTCTCTGTTAGTTTGTGAATGTTGTGAAAATAATGCTAAATTTCCCCAAAACCAACTGTCAACCAAAATGATGCCCTCATTCTGCTCTCTGATTGGATAATCTGCGTGAAAATCATAAGAATACATATTGTGGATATCATGTCTATATGTTCTATTTTTAATTGAGAATGACTCCACTTTAAATTTTCAACAGCAAAGCTCAAATGTGATTGTCACATGTTGACCCATTATCTTGGGACGTAAAAAAATGACGAACTGTCCTTTTAATTCCTGTGTATATCTCAAAATATATTCGTCATTGTTGTTGACTGTTTTGTTCGATTTGTTTTAATACTGATATTAAATCAACAATTTGTTCTCAAAGGTACACTGTGTAATTTCTAGTGCCTCTGGCGTTGAGATCTTATATTGCAGTTTCATATGACATGAGTATGGGTGCCTGTAGAGTTGAGCACTGTTGCCTAATGCCTATACTGTTTGACAGTTCTCCTCAACTCTCCGTCATTCACCAGACTGCCAAGGAAAGAATACTTTAGTTTGATAAATGACCGGATCTCTCCAAATGTCTCAGGCACTTGACACAATCGCTTGGAGGCGACATGTAAACAAGACCACGTTCAGACAGCAGCACCCTACACAGAGGCTCTACTGAGTTTTACCATGGATCTATTATAATATATAGTTTTACAAACACGGTGTGAAGAGAAAAGTACCTGGGTGTTCACATTAACAATAAACTGGACTGGTCCCATAATACAAACGCCCTGCACAAGAAGGGCCAAAGTCGCCTCTTTCTTCTGAGGAGGCTGAGGTCCTTCGGAGTGAGCAGGCCTCTGCTCAGGACTTTTTATGACTCTGTGGTAGCATCTGCCATTTACTACGCTGCCGTGTGCTGGGCCCCGGGCAGCACAGAGCGGGACAGAAACAGACTGAACAAGCTGGTCAGGAGGGCCAGCTCCACTCTGGGCTGCTCCCTGGACTCTGTGGAGGAGGTGAGGGACAGGAGGGAGCTAGCCAAAGCCACCTCCATCATGAACAATACCTCCCACCCACTGCACAGGACTGTAGAGGAGCTGAGGAGCTCCTTCAGTGGAAGACTGAGGCACCCTCAGTGTAGGAAGGAGCGCTACCGCAGGGCCTTTTGTCCCCACCGCTGTCAGACTGTACAATGAGTCACTTTAAAGGATCACTGTGTGAAAACCTGCACTACTATTGACACTGTTTCCAATTGACACTTGTCACTTTTGTTGTACATAATTATTGTCACTTTTATTGTACATATATATCCTGCATGTAACATGTTTGCACATTTCCTCCTTTTGCACAATCTGAGTGTCTCTATCCATGCCAATTGTGACATGTAAATTTCTCCTATGTGAGATAAATAAAGCACATCTTATCTTATCTTATCTTAAAGACACATGGAGGAATAACGTCTGTGTGAGGTTAAAACAACGGTGATCAAAGTAGCAAGAGATATACACCGCCGCGGCAGGACATGGCAAAGCTCATGTTAGCACTAGCGTTAGCCAAAGTGCTACTTGTGACATAGTAGTTTGGGCTGCGCTCGGATCGGGTCAGAACATCCTGAGACTGTGTTGTAGATTCTGCCTCGTTCTCATTATTGTCAGTGTGAAAAAGTTACGTATTGTTTACGTGTGAGTCTGTTGTGTACAAACTACACAATGTGCTCCTGTTGTGTTAATGCTGTCTTTTGGTGTGTGTGGTTTGCGATGTTGACAGTTTGCTGCTATGACGCTGGACTTCCGCTCAATTATTTTTCTAAAAGATTGTTGTTCGGATCGTTCTTTTATATAACTGTGGTCCTCCATGGTTCCAACTTGTTTTGGGGACGTTGGTGAAAGCAACGATATCAGTAGCTCATGTGAAACGAAACGCGATTCTCGCATCCTTTTAGTCCTTGTCCACCACCGGTTTTCAAGATGGCGCATTTACACGGATAGTCCTCCTCTCTCATGGACACTTATAAGTTAAATTCTAAGCCTATGAATACCATTGAAAAAACATGGTGGAGGTAAATATTCTTAAAAAGGTCACATTTGTTATTAGTTTTCATGTTTTTTCATATGGAGCAGCTGTAAATATTACACAGGGTGGCTTCAAAGGAAGATGTATTTGTAATTTTGGTTTGTACCAAAACAAATTGATATGATTTGAAAACACCAGATTCATAGCTGAATAAAAGTAAAAAGTATTTTCCAAAAAAACTGATCAAATGTAATTTGGCTCCATTTTTGTTGAACACTTCCACACTACTTTTTTTAAATGTTTGATTATATTCCTTCATTTCTGCAGACATTCTGACTTTGACTACACAGAGAACACACTCTTGAGACCCCAGCAGGATGATTGTCTATTAGATAAAATGATTATAGAGTTAGTTCAGCCAATTATGACTTTATTGAACCAAATTGACTTCACTTCCCCGGCTCCAAATGTGAGACAGTCCCATTAGCGGAGCTGGCAGAGAGCGGCCTGATCTTTGACTAAAGCAAACTCATCCGTACCTGCAAAATGACCCAATGTCCAGATTGAGAAGCACATTTCACCGCCCTCTCTGCCACCTCCTCCTGCCCCTGCCCCAGAGACACGTTGTGCAGTGTGCCTTGATCAATGGAAAAGCCCAATTTCAATCCTGAAAAATAACATACAAATAAAAATAACTTCCATAACACCATATTTATAAATACATTAGTTTTGGTGGCTGCAAAATGGCTGTGCTTTCAGCTGGTAATTTTTGAATTTGTTTTTGAAAAATTTCCTGTTGAAATTGTGTGATAATCCAGGACACTCAACGTCCAACAACATTTATGGACATTTATCAATAATAATAATAATAATAATAATAATAATGCATCGATTTTATATAGCGCTTTTTTGGACACTCCAAGACGCTTTAAATGTCATTATTCTTTCACTCCATACACGGTGGTGATAAACAACTACTCTAGCCACAGTAGCCCAGGGGCACACTGACAGAAGCGAGGCAACCAGTATGTGCCATCGGCCCCTCCGACCACCACCAACCATTCACACACACACCAGACTCATTCTGGGTAATGGGGGTAAAGTGTCTTGCCTAAGGACACAACAGCAGTTTGGCACTTTACAGCCGCAGCCGCCCCACTGTGGCTGGTGTTCCCAGAGGTTAAGTGTCTTGCCAAGGACACAACGACAGTAGTCAGTGGGAGCCCCTCAACACTTATAGACGTTGGTCATCTGCCCTTTATGGACCAATAACAATGTGTTTTCTATTTAATTTCTTGTGTTAACTTTGAACTGTTAGCTTCATTGATCGGTGTTGACGAATTCAACGGTTATGTAAAGTTCTCAGAGATAATTACTGTTGTGATTTAGGGCTGTATAAGAATGAATTGAATTGAATTGAGTTGAAAGCAGATAGAGAGTTACATGCGGCTATTCTTTTTACTCTTCATACTTGTTTCACCATAGATTTTCAACTGGAGAAAAAATATATATAAATAAAAACTGACAACTTTCTGAGCTCTTATTCTTATCATTTCTTACAGCGTAATGCATTACAAATACCTTGTTTTTCCAAGTCTTTGAGTGGATCCACTCCAGGAGAAAGAATGAAAAACACTGGGTCAGAAGGGCTGCTGTCTTCGTACAGTCTTTCAAATTCTATTCTTGTTTGCTGCACATATTTTGGACCCAAGATCTCTTCAACAAAGTTTCTGTAAAGACAAAAATGTCACGTTTAATTTGACGAATATTGAAGCAGATTCCTGTACTTTCATCATGACATCATACAAGTTTCTAGTTGTTTAATGCCTGACAGTTCCTATTTAGCAACCAAGAAAATATTATTTGATATTTAAAACATGAAAACAAATAAATTTGAATTCAATGTATCATGAGAATGAGGTCATTATTGAACCACCTGGAACGAGTTTTCTCTTATTTTTTAATTGCTGCCTCGTCAATGCAGAACTGAAATGTAGTTTTGAGTGTTTGATTCTCTGATCTGTGTTGATGAATTAACAACTTTGTAATGTCCTCCTGCTGCTGTCATTTAGGGCTTCACGGAAATAAATTAAATTCAAAATTTAATTGAGAATGGAATTGAATTGAACAATTATATTTGCAGCAGTTATCCCACCAAATTAAGTCAAGATTTGAAAATTGACCAAACTTACGATACAATGAATAAGTACAAACATGAACTCTTTCTGAAGTAAATTGAACCTCACTTCCATCTCTGCGTGGAGTCAAGAGACAAATGACCAACAATTGTATAGCGCTTTGTGACTCATGGTCTGTGAAAGGCGCTATATAAATAAAAATTACTGATTGACTTACCGGTACTTGACTTCTGAAGGAATTTGTACTTTAATTTCAGTAACAAATGTCTTCCCTTTGTACATTTCTTCAGTCCATTTCCCAGTGCCTCACCTGAGAGCGTAGGTGATTCTGTCGGGACGTAGCGCCCGGAGGATGATCAGTTTCTGAAGAGAACTTTTGTTTTTCCAGTCGTGAGGAAGTCGCTCTTTCTCCGGACAACACGACTCCACCACTTTTCTCCAGTGTTTTGGGGACGTCTCAAAGTCTCTGTCCAATCCACTCAAATGATCCAGGGAAGACACGGCCTGCAAAAAATATGAAAGCAAGCACTGCATAAAACCCACTAAAAAAGCACGTGTCATCTGGCTTTAATATTTGTGTTCAGTATGGCCCTCACCGTGATCTTGAGAATTATTACCCTGACATTTCATGTTTTAAAAAATATATGAATAAACAATGATATCTATGATGATCGATTGGAGATATTGTATCGTGCTCTTTAGTCTGTCGGTGCACACAGAGTACCTTTTTTGCAAATGTATTCCAATGTAGTTTTTATACTGCACATGGCTAATAAAATGAATCTGAATCGGAGAGACCTTTTGAGAATACATTCTGCTTAGACATGGTGGACAGTTGCAACAAAAGAGATTTTACTGGTACTTATGTTTGAAAAAAAAACATCATTGGTGTGGGTCTGCTAGTTGGCATGAAATAAAAAAACTTGTGTGTGTGTTTTTGATGAAGTTATAATGTTGCATCATGTTTTACCTTTATGCATCCCCACATGTGAGGTGTGAGGAATGACACAGGGCAAACTTTGCTGGGCTCCACAGGGAATCGCAGGAGGAAGTCCAGCTCTTGGATATTGAGTTTGTCCTGCTTGAGGAGAATCTGGAGATCACAACAAGAAAGAAAGTAAGAAATTAATCATTCTTTATTTAGATAGCACATTTCACAGACAGAGGTCACACAAAGCGCTTTACAATTTTGTGTCAGTTCCATTTACTCCACACTTGGTGATGATGACAGCTGAGACCTATTGTACATGTTTTTAGTGGTAGGGCAAAGCACCCAGAGGAACCCTACACAACAAGCATTCTGTATGTGAGAAAGATGGGATTTTGTGAATAATTCCCAAGTAAATAGTCAGCTGTTTGATTTTGGGTTAGGAGAGGGACAATAATATGTACATCTTGAGGCCGCAATAATAAAAAAGCCACAATACTAAAGCAATGAGGATGGACTTTCTGATGCTAATAACAGAGATTTGGTCATAATACTGATCAATCACACCACAAATAATGTCAATAACCAGGATGGATTAGTCTGAGGCCTTTCAATCAATCTGTTCTTATTTTATTATATCAGTCCAAAGCAAACCCAAAGAAGCCATAAGAAGAAGTAAAAATGAGGATGTTCAAACATGATTTAATACAAACACAATTTAAAAAAAAGCAAACCCTGAAGAAGTACGAGGAGAAGAGAGAGAGAAGGGTAGGGTCAGAGAGTGTTTGGCGCTAGTGTCTTGTTCTCATGTGTATGTGTGTGCGCGTGTGTGTTGTGCTGAATGAATGAGAGGTGCTAGAGACAAATAAGTCTGCTTTGACCTTTTAAACCACGCATTTCTGTTTTTTTATGTGTATTAAATAAAGTAGTGTGATTGATTGATTGAGATGATCCAGCCAACTTCAGCTCCACCCATTTAGACATGCTGTACCTCGTTGTAAAGCTCAGAGGCTCTTCAAACCAGTTGTTGAATTTTTACTATACTATACGTCAGAAAAAGCCTGAATCTAGTCAAAAAAGTGGCCCATCTTACTAAAAGGTTTGAATATCCCTATAATAATGGTATTCTCAATTGCTTTCCCAAACATTTCTTCAAATCTAGAGTCAAGGAGCAGAACTTTGGAGCAATACAATTCAATAGATTCACAATTATCATACAGTCCAAGAGAAATCCTACTTTTCCCATCCCTATTCTCAACCCAAGTGCAAAAACTTTCAAACAAAATTTCTCCAACAAGTCTCTTTTCCCTAAGGCATGCTCTCAATGACATCCATCAGAGGCAGTTAATTCCAAGGCAATGTCCAAAGACAGAATATTGCATTGACCCATCAGCACCAGCCCCCCTGTCAGAACCCACTGTCTGAAGCGCCGCCGTGACGTGCCGTGTGAGAGAAAATCAATGGCGGCTCATGCTCATTCTGATTGTCGTTAATTGATGTTAATACAGGGAAGAAAAGTGCAGTGATGGATGAGGATGACAGAGGGCCACACCTTTGAGGAGGCCCCCGACCGCCTCACCTGGAAAGTAATGTGTGATGAGAAGGTGAGCTTGTCTCTCTCGAATAGGCCCTGGCTGGTGTACAGGAATACAGAGTAGGTGATGGCTTCTGCAAGCTTGTGCACCCGGATCCGCACGTCCTTGTCCCACTCCGCACACTCCATGGCTTTGTTGAACGCTGGGTTAAAAGTCTGTAAAAGAAACGGAAGGTTGGCTATGAAGAAATCACTTGAATCTACTGAGCAAAATGAATATGTCTAAAACGGTTTGTTTCAATGTGGCTCAACCCTAAAGGAGAATAAGACACAATTTTACAAGCTTTCGTGATCTTGTTAAGGCAAGATTATTGGAATGGCAGCAAAATAAAAGATTAAGTAATCAAAATATTCAAAACCAGTATTCAGAGTACATGTATTCTGTGTAATTTGAGGCAATATATATGTAAAACACATATGGTAGATAATACATAAATACTTCAGGTCTCCAACAATGCATTTGGGGACACAGATGGGAAATGTTTTTTTTACAAAATCTGTAAAAAAGGCTGTATGCGTGTATGAGCTAAACATGTTACCTTGAGGGCAAACTGGTACATGGGGTTAATCTGGCTGAGGTCGTTGATGATGAAGAACAGCAGCGCCGCTCTCTCGGCTGCAGGGCGGTAGAGCTCTCGGGCCTCGTTGATCTTTGTCTCGTTCTCCCTGGCCTCCACCACCTGTGTGTTCCAATCGCACAAAATGAGCTCTTAGGCGCCCAGCCGTGCCCCCAAACCGCTTTCAGAACAAACTACATCACAAGTATAATTGCTTGAGCTTTGCAACGCCTCCTTTTAATATAAGGCTTTTATATGAACAGAACTAAAAGCCCCACAGCGTTTAGTTAGCTCACCTTATGCTGAATGAGGGCCGCTGTGGTCTTGGTGTTTTCAAGTTGCTCAACCAGAGAAATATCACCCAGAAAATTGCCCTTGGCCGCAGACAGGCGAGTCAACAGGTCGTCTTCCAGCCTCTTGAGCTCAATTTTGAAGTGATTTTGTTGGATTGTTAGCTCCAACTATAGTAATAGCCACAGAGCAATTTAAAACAGTTACCTTGCCGTTTTCAATTGTCCAAAATAGACTCCATCAAACTGTTACCTTTAGTGTTTCAAGCTCAGGTCTTTCCCGTGACACGACCTGGCCGAGAAGCTGCTCCTCCAGCCCCACAGGGGTCACTGTGAAGTTTATGAGTGCAGCCTGCGCCTGCAGCTCCGGGGGGAAATGGGGGTTGGACAGTTTAGTGTGCATGATGAGCCGGAAGCCACTGTTGTACTCACATTCTTTCCCCCCAATTTGAATGTACCTGGAACAAAAGGTTTTCAACAAAGTAAGTGATAATAATTACTGCATCGGCTTATTGTACTATTGCTGGAAGGAACTGGTAAGTCCTCCATATCAGTCTAACATACGTACTCAATCATTGTTTAACTGCATACATGAATCAGGGCTCCATCACAACATTTGCCTCAATTGGGCCCAACATGATTAAACACTGCTGCAAACACCAGCAAGCTGCTTACTTCAGAGGTCTGACAACATCATTGCTTCTATTAAAAGTTTAAAAGGACCAAATGTAATATTGTGGTCTAATGTCATGTATGTGTACGTGTTTACATATCATGTCGAATGGAGCTGTTGAACTGTGCAAACAAATTTCGGACCCTTGTGTCTGACAATAAAGTATCTAGTCTTGTATCTATCTAGTTCATTAAGTGAAGTTATCCTAGATTGTCGCCGTAGGGGGTGCATTCCTTGGGGTGCATGGACCCTGTGTATTATGTAAACAACTTTAAACAAATTGTGTGTTACCATTTTTGTTTGTTTGTGAATTAACCCAAACATTGTATGAACGTTGAATGTTAGAAATAACTATTTTTTTGTTCAGGACACCAAATATCATTTGCGCATGTAGTATAAAATGAAAGTATTACAAAGGGTCCCTTTAATTATTACATTAATAAATGTAGCCTTGTTACAGCTACTGTAATTGTTTAGTCATTCTATTATTGCAGCAGCAGCCAATATTTATCGGTTCTTGCAAAACCAGCACAAAACAAACTCTGTGTATTTTCATTTTCCTCTAATTACCCCCCGGGATGTCACCGGCAAATACCCCAATTTCACTACTCAACTCTACATCTTCACAAGCCAGAATTAATGTACTATTGATAGAACCATTACTCCACCAAATTTAAGTCCCCGCTGATGGATTGGCTTGTAGTCTTCAGTCAACGATGAAAGGAATAATTGGTATTCATTAGATCGCACTCTACAACATTCCAATTATTAATGAACTTCAGTTGTGGAAGCTCCCCAGATCCATCATGGCCGCCGCTGCACATTTTATTAATCATTGACAGAAACAAGTGTGCGGGTCATCTGCAGGGGATAAACTTATAATCAAATTTACCGAGATGAATAGTTGCGTCTGCATGGACAGGACTTTGCGTATAGATCGCAGCGAGACAGATTTTTCAAAAGGACATTATCAATATGTGGCCATTTCAATTTCCCACGAATATGAGCTACTTGCGGCGTCTGTAGATTAATATTTCCCAGTGAAGACATATAGCCCGATAAGTGATCCGTTATTTTGTTTCCGGGAAGATGATTGCAGTCAAGTATGTATATATGAAAAAAGATGAAATCACGGAATATGTCGCGTAGCATGCCAATTTTTTTATACATAACCATGAGTGGTGGGTTTACACAGAGGACCAGGTTCTCAATATGCATCGCAGCTAAACAATATGAACACACAAATATACATCTATCACCCATGTTCGGGGGACAATCAATACTCTGCCCTTGGGGATTCAGAGCATGTGCTGCCAATTCATTTATAATCTAAAGCGTGGGCCATAAGAATGCGTTCAGTCTTGTCTTAGTGGCATTTTCGACTTCACTGAGATATAACTATCTGCAGGATCTTATTCTATTGTCTCAAAACACTGGGACTGGCGCAGTTGCAGCCCGAGGGTTTTGTGTATCGATGACTGGGATTCAACAAGAGGAAATTGGGTAGTTATTGGAAATGTTTTGTGTGGGTGATTCCAAAAATAAAGTGTATCGTATAATAGGGCTGAGTATATTCAATTCAATTTATTTTTGTATAGCCCTAAACAAGAGCCATTGGTACATGAGGGGCAGATGAACAATGTCTATAAATGTTGATGAAGTCCATAAATGATGTTAAATGTCGAGTCCTGAATCACGACTGTCCATGGTCTGTCCTGCATCATTAACAGCCTGTTGATACAAACATATCTCGATACAGAACCTTAAATTGTATACGGTAATTTTCCTAAGCGATATGATACGCGCTTTTTTGCCCCACCACATATTAATAAAAACACAACATTGCATTTAGATTTAATTTATTGAGGACTAATTGTTATTTAAATCAGACTATAAAAAAATGTCATTTTGGTAATCTATTTTGTCATCTCTTTTGGTCATGATTTATTTTTATTTTTTTATTTTTATTTGTATATTGTCTAATCAATGCATAGTTTTGAGCTCTGCAAAGTAGGGAACAGACAGAATTATGTGAAATGATAAAAAAATTATTAAAGATGGCCACATGGTCTCATAGTCAAAATATGCATTCCTTTAAAAAGTGAAATTGAAGTGGCAGACATCCCCTTTAATGCTCACTGTTTGGTACCAACCTTCCTTTTTTGATAGTATTTTTCCCCAGCAGCGGCTCCAGGACCGGGTCGAGCTTTTCTGTGATGTTTTCAATCAAAAGAGTTTCCCCACAGGCAAGAGCCTTTTCAATAACTGTCAGATACCTTTAAAAAAAAGAGAAAAAAACGGATACTGATTTGATGATGTTTCTAACAGATAAACATGATAAGCAGTCACTATAACTTATTTTTATGCGACTATACTACGATGTATTTCTTTGGCTATGTTTTCCATTCTCTATCACTACTGCAACTATTACAACTGGGACGGTTTTTTTGTTTGTTTTTTTAAGCTGCTGCACTGGTCAATACAATATTTCCCAATATACACAAAAAATGTAAAATTATGCATTTATTTTCTTGGATTTAATATAAAAAAATACTTTGCATTCACAATAATAAACAGTGACTTATCAGCACAGATTAATATTGTTCATTCCTATTTCCTCTTTTCTATTAACATCATTTGAATCTCGTATATGTGTATATGCATGAAATAATGTATTGCAATAAGCCATACATCACAAACAAAAATGAGAAGTGTGAATATATATCCGAGGCCATCTCACCCTCTCTGTCCCATTTGCACCACAGTCAGCTCTGAGCCAAGCCAGTTTTGGATCCACTTAATGGCCTGCTGCTGAGGGTCAATGACAAGTGGCCAGCGCTCACTGGTGGTCAGGATGGCAGCGTTTTCGATGGACATCCGATCGTTTGGCAGGCTGTGGTTATGCCAAGCAGCCACAGTGGCATCATCTGTAAGCATGAGGACCGGGTCCAGGCCGTCTGTCAGGGGTATGGAGACCTGGAACAGAGAGCAGCACTAATGTCACACTGATGGGGAGAGGGAAAGGATGGTTATGAGGGAATTCACAACTCGCACGGCAGACATTTGTTGAAACAGCTTTGAGCATGGTATACTTTATAGTGGCTGGTCATGTGAAGTTTTCAGTTTGACATTTTTTAATTTTTAACCATGTTACCAAAATTGTTCCTGATCAAAAACAGACCTGTTGTCTTGAGATCTGACTTTCCATTCGTAAAAATGGAATGAACAATTCTCAACTCAGAATTTCACCTCAGAAACTCGGACTGGGTCAATGAGAGGGGATGTGTTTTGTATGACACTGGTGGTTTTACTTTGCAAAACATGCAAGCCAAAAGATCAATTTAAAATAATCATTAGTATATTTATGGATTAAAAGTTTTGCAATATTGTATATACAGTACATTTAAATCACGTTATATCAAAAGGAACACAGTTTTTCCCTGTATTTCGGTTGGAAGAGGAGGCATTCTCTAATCATAATCGTACATCTAATATGGCACAAAGTTATATATAACAATTTGACTGGACCAATTAAAGTCAGAGGGGCCAAGGAGATGTGTTTGTAAAAGATTGATGCTACAAACAACTCCAGGTCTGCATGTTTTTGATCTCTGAACATTGTTAAGAATGTCCAGTTTGTCCCGTTTTATTTGTTTTTCACATCTCTGATAAAAGGAAAAAAACCTTTATGATTAATCCATGTATGTATCTAAAATGAACCTTTTTAGACTGAAGGAATGGGATCCAGCTGTTGTTGAGAAGCTCAGTGCGATATTGCAGAGGGAAGTATCCCATGTAAGCCACAAATGCTGTGGTGATTAGCACGTCCCCACACAGAGTCAGCTGCTGCTTCTTGTACACCACCAGAGCACGGGACCAGCGCTCTCTCTCCGACTGAGGAAAAGAATCGAGCACAAACCGTAACAAATCCATGACGACAAAACAGATCTTTGAATCCTCCTTTTGGTTTAGTAAATAATACAGTTTGTCTTGTAATAGTAAAATTCGGCCGTCTTTATCTTTATTATCCAAGAAAACATGTTATCATTTGCAAACCTGTAAGTAACAGTCCTGGTTGAGCAAGATTGGTAATCTCTTTTACTTTTGTAGGACTGTAATGAATGGTTATTTTGATAATTGATTAGTAGGCTGATTGTTATTTTGATGAATCAATTAGTTGTTTAGATCCCCAGGGCTCACTGATTATGGGATTTTTTTATTCATTTAACCAAAAATGCTCTTGGAGAACCTCTTCAAAGAGATAACTTGATACACATTTAGTTTTTCAATTAAAATACATTTAAATTTCATTCTCCTCTCCTTGTAGAATAATCTGAGTCATACATTCTCTTCTCAGCTTGTCCAAGTCTATGGAAAATCTACAATCAATTACTAAATTAGTTGACGATTAGATCAACTAACTTGACTTTTGTGTTTGAAATAGCTGTACCAAAGCTGTGCCATAAAATGCATGCATGTGAAAACTAGTAATAGAACTAAACTCTTAAGAGAGGGAGGAACTAGTTGTATTCTATTATAGTAAATGTTTTTGTGGTTTGAAAATCAGATATCCCAGCTTTAAACAAATGCTGCACAAGATGATAAAATAACAACACATTTCCTTTACAATAACTTTGGGAGTTTGCCTGCTCTTACTTAGCATCAATTTTCCATCTATTTAAGCCTTCAATACTACGACTGTGACGGCCCCACTGCGATAAATCATGCGTGGCATTTTCTTACAAGGGGTTGTGGATCTAGAATATGTCACATCATAAATTCCCAGACAGTTAAAAATCACTATAATTTTAGCCTAATGTATTATGGATTGCTTGTAATATCACTCAGTCTGGGGTTAGACGTTGTTAATTTCCAACAGCTGTTCGGGCTTAGAGGTAAGTTAATGATTAAATATAGACGGTCTGATTTATTAGTCTCAACACTATTACTTCCAGGTCAATGCCATAAAGACAAAACATTTATCTTGATATGCTTAAAAGCCACGCTGTTCCATGCTAACCACATTTGTTCTCAAGAATAAGAAAGTCGAACTTATGAAATGGCCTCTGAAATGACCATCGTTTATTCTATATTAGTATCCGTAAAGATAATAAATAGATCAGGGGGTATGAGAATTTAAAAAAACAACACATGTTTAAGTGGAAAATATGGTTCGGCCTGTAATATGCTGGTGAAACTAAACTAGGAAAACATACTCCATTTATTATTAGATGAGATAGATCAAGCCTTTATATAGTAGATATCTGATATAAAAAATACTTTGAAAATGAACTGCAAGCCACAATCAAATGTATTGAATTTAGCATGTTATGAGCATATTTTGGTTTCATATTTTAATTTTAAATACAGAAATAAATTCTCTACCCATAGGCAGGTACAGGACATACATTTTTCCCGCTCCACTATTACTGCTACTGCTGCTGCTGCTCTGTTCCTCGATCTGAGAGCAGATGGGCTCTTATTGTTTATTTTAAACTAATGTGTTGAGCATTTTAGTGGGTGATAGAAACACACTGGCACAAGTCAGGTCACTCTCACCTCTAACCCTTTGACCAGGCGGTTGGCCAGGTGAATGGTCTGGTTGGTGCGCGATACCTCTTCTTGACAGCTCAGTTTCTCAGCTGTTGCTTTTTTGAACTGTTTTGTAAGGTTCTGAAGAGTTGAATCAAGATCCTACAAAATCAAAAACATAGACACAATAAAAAAAAACTATTTACTGAATTGGCCGAATAAAATAGTTACCATTAACTTCTTCTGAACAGCCATCAACTTGGATGTCGCCATTTCCAATTCCATGTTCGCGTGTGCCAGTGCTTCTCGTTTTGGAATAACTTCACAGTAAATCTGCAATCACAATAATGATTGTTAATCAAGCTGAAATATAATGTTTACTAGTAAACATGAAATAATTTGCAGCCAAACCTCATAATATCGAACAATGTTAATAATCCAGGCGCAGAGTCCAGCTGCAGCTGTGGACTTGGTCCGAACCAGATCCGGGTGGAAGCCAGGCTTTCTTAAATAGTCCTGCTTCACCACACTCAAGCAGGTGTCTGGAATGTTCTCCTTGTTGTACGACGTCAAGGCTTGGAGAAAATCATCAACCTAAAAATACAGACAAATAGTATTACACAGACACAAGATTGGAGGACCTGTATGAGCTTCAGAGTTTGGCTTTGTCCCATTGGCAAATCAGACAATTAAGGAGTATTATTGCAATTTTTGTCTCATTAAAAGAAACTTCTAGCGTTTATTAGCTTGTTTGATGAGTACATCACCTGAGAGCTTTAATTTCTCAATGTATTCTGCTGTAATGTGCACAACAATGACACTGAATTTTCCCCACTGAGGGACGAATAAAGGATCTTATCTCACCCTATAAGATAAGATAAGATACCATGAATGGTACAGCCCCTGTCTATCTTCAAGACATGTTGGTATCATAACAACCAAACCAAGCAGTGCGCTCGCAAAATGCCAAAAGTGTCAAAAGGCGGAGCTGGAGGCAGAGCTGGAGGCAGAGCCAGAGTCAGAGCATTAAGCTGCCAAGCTCCTATGGAATCAGCTCCCCTTCCACGTCCAGAAAGCAGACAGACTCTATACATTCAAGGCCAGGCTTAAAATTCAGCATAGGGTATGGAGATAAGAAATAGTCGTTAATTTTGCATTTCCAGAGTTTGAACGGTTTAATTCTCTGATCTGAGATGGCGAATCGACAACTTTTTAAAGTAAAGAGATGACTTTTTGATCGGTGAACTACCTTGACAAAACAGAAATGGCAGAGAGATACTCTCTTCAATTGTTGTATTAAAAATGTAGTTATGCAATAACTAAGGCAAACTAAATAATGCAGTTGTTTTCAAAACCTACCATTATAATATACGTGCGACGTTTGAAATTTTAGAATAGTGTTTAAAACAAACAATGTGGAACTAATATGACAGTCATTACCAGTGTAATGAAAAAGTAATTAGTTATAGTTACTAGTTACTTCTCCCAAAAAGTAACTGAGTTACTCCACTATAAAAGTAACTAGTTACCAGTAAACGTAACTATTGCATTACTTTTTCGGATCCTTTGTCAACACTAGCCCCCGTACTACCTGTGTATTCTTGGGCCACTAATTTGGTTGAAGCGTGAGTTGTCGACAGGTGCTTCATTAAGTCGGAGTTGCTAACACAAGACATGGACAAAGGTTTAGTTCTGGAACATAATGTACACTCAACGTGCACATTTTCTCCTTTAACCTCAGTGAGTTTGAAATCTGGAAAAGGCTGTTTTGCTGCTGGAGTCCTCCTCACTCTCCATCTCTCTCTGTGTGCCAAAAGCACTAGACAACCGCCACTGTGAATGCAGAAATGCCCACTTACCCAATTTCTCTTATTGGCTGAAGACGTAATCTTACTAAACATCAGCCAATAATTTCTGAGAGGTTATCTCATCCTCCCTTCTCTCATGACAACACGTGCATGAGTCATATCATGAAGTTTAAAAAAAAGTTAATTGTGCGCCTTGAGTAACGTACAGTAACGGAGTGTCAGCAATGAAAACAGCGTTACAGTGACAGTCAAAGTAATCAGTTAGATTACTCATTACTGAAAAAAGTCCCATCACTGGTCATTACACGCAAAGTGAGAAATATAAAGGCTTTATTCACAGCTTTTAAAAAGCCCAATTTAAACATTACACAAAAAAATGAACTTTTGATCAAATTTCTAAAGTTAATTTCATTTCAAAGTTCATTTCATTTTTTCTGAATTTCAGCTGTATATCCCTGCAATAGCACACGAGGAAAACATTTATAGTGAAAACTCAATATGGAATTATTCAAAAATCAGTGTTAAATCCCTAAATCTTTTGGGAAGCTATATGGAAGAGGTTGGCGAGATACTGGAGACATTCAATATTGTGTGTGGTTGTTTTTTCGATTTGGTAGAACATACTTTCATTGATTCGAAAGCTGCTTGTTTAATGATTGTGTTAAAACATTCTAATCTTTCTCTGTGGAGGAACGGCAGGCTTCTTTTAGTGCAAGCATATTCACAGACACATTCGGAGCCCCTACAGAGTGGAGGTCAAGGTCTGTCTAAATGGGATTGGCATTACTCAAGATGATGTGTGACAGCCTAACCTTGCCCATGAAGGCCCGCGCAGCCTTCCAGCTCCGGTCCTTTGGCACCCGGCCCCGTGGAGCCAGCAGCACCATCACAGCTGCAGCTACGTTAATCACTGCTGCAGGAGGGTTTGGGAAGGCTTTCATCTCAGTCAAATTCACCTAAAAACACAGACATCCATCAAGTCTTTCCAGGACTGGAGTAGTGGTAGGTTTGGTTAGAGATGGGCCACCTTGTTGAGGGTGTTTAGAGCTTCTGTAGCTGCTGCGAGAGAGGGCTCTGCTTTTGCCAGATCGTCCTCACAGTCCTTTTGTTTTGCCGCTACCTGAGCCTGAATGACAGCTACCTACAGACAAACAAATACAGGAGTTATTCAAATAAAATAAATCAAGAAAAATAGCAATTTCTCACCTTCTCCGCCTCTGAATCGGCAGCTTCTTTCTTGCTGCAAACTCGTTCTGTTTGCTGACCGATTTTGGCAATGAGAGCTTCAATATTCTGGTTTTTAATTGACAACTCGGCTTCTTGAGATGCTAGTTTGGCTTTTAGATCTTCAACCTAATAAAAATATATAAAATAATCAAATAATAATAATCCATTGGTTTTATACAGCGCTTTCCGGATGCTTAAAGACACTTTCAACTGGGAATACTCAAACACTATTTTTGAGTACATTCTGACTGTCTTGATACAAGATTTGCCAATGGGCCATTTAGTCTTATTTCTAGAAATTTATTTTCTCCTTCCAAAGGAGACATTTCTTGTATCATTTTAAAACTATATAGTTCTGCTTGTCCCATTCGCGGCATGAACGTGCTCAAATTAAGATACATTTTGCCCCATTTAAGCTTTTTTTTACGGAGGCGAGGCTACTAATCTGTGCCATTGGCCCCTCCGACCACCATCATGACACAACAGTTGGCACTTTGAGAGCTGCAGCCACTGTTGCACCTGGTGTTCCCAGAGGTCTCCCATCACAGTACTAACCAGGCCCTTCCCTGCTAAGCCTCTGAGATCAGATACCTTTTTTAGGTTTACCATCTATCCTACTATAGTGTGACTTCATCCAGGTGAAAATTCAGTCGATTTATTTCAGTAATTCAATGGTTATTATACAAGTAAAAAAATCCAAATAAAACATTGTTGCAGGTCATGAGTCTATATTTTGGTTTCACAGTTTATAGGGAAGTTGAATTAAATAAATGAATTGAACTCTTAGGGTTAGGGTTAGAGCAGCATAAGTCATACAAAAATCTATTAAAAAACAAAAGAAATGCCAAACAATATAATAATAAAATATGAACAGTATACAACAACAATACAGGCCCAAACACCAACGTACAAATCCCCAACCAGATCGAGAGGGTTCAGAAGTCTAAAACTGTTTGGGGCCATTTTGAACAATATTACAATGTTCTGGTGTTTCACCAGTATATAGGATGACAAACCAAACATCCTTCCATTTGTGTCAAAATGGAAGAAAACATGTATATTTGTTTACCAAAGATAATAAAATAATTAATAAAAAAAATAAATAAGAAAAAAAAAGAAACAAAAGCTGTAGTCTCTTACCTGGGCCGTGGTGGTCTGTAGTTTCTGGAGGCCATTGTCCAGGCGTTCCATCTTGTCCTGGAGCTGGACACGGCTCCTCTCCAGCAGGTGTCTGTACAGGCTGATCTGCTGGAGAAAGCTCTTGGGGGTGGTGTAATTGTACCTCTTCTCATTGCGTTGGTATTTTTCACTAGTGTGTTTGACACTGGTGTGAACATGGGCCATGAAAAGACTGATGGATTCCTGGACAGCAGGCTGTAAAAATAAGCAGGGGGTGGGGGCAGGGAGAGCCGGATTGAGTAGACTTTAACACCCCCAATCCTGATGGAGCTGAAATATTATCTTCATAAATTTTGAATTCATCTACAAGTTTTGCCGTCTTCCTAGGCTGTCCTGACTTACTCAATCTGTTATTTAAGTGCAGCTAGCAGGAATGATTATGGTTTGAAACCGCTGTGAAAATAATGTGTTTAAGCCGCTGACACAAGGCCAGGGCTCACTGTTTACATTAGCTCGCTTCTCCAGGTCTAACTTTATCAACACAACGTACCTGCTATGGCTCTGCTACTCCGGATGCGAAGTGTTCTTATGATATGACACATAGCGGCAGAACAACGCCATTCATCATACCAATCAATTATAGACTCAAACAGATGCTTAGACAATGTGGACCACAGCTTACTATCACTCACAATGTTATTAGGGGAGAAAGGGAAAAATCATTATTCATTGAATTGAGGATTGTTCTGATGGCTCTGAGCTGCCTGGAAGGTAAACTATATCTAACTTTACTGGAGGAGAGCCCAACACCTGCTTGTTGTATAGCTTTTCTTGAAAAGTAAAAAAAATGGAATGTAACTTTTTATTTATGGAAACAACCAAAACAGGTAAATTAAATTGAATTTCATATGGGAATCCTCTCCATGGAGCTCAGCAGGAGGCAGACCTAGTGCACTTGTACAGGCAATGTAAATACTGTTAATACTCCTCCAGTATTAAGTTTTTCAGTTTTTTTCTCATTTCTCATCTCTCTCTCATAGTAGAGATATATAACTGTAAAACAGAAATGTCTGAGTTGAAAATGTGCATTATTGTTTGTTAGTTAGTAAACGTTTATGATTTATGTACGTGATCCACACGGGGGCGGTAGATATCTATGAGAAGGCAAGCGAGAAGTTACGAATGGATTTAACGCTGTTACTGGATGACCTCAAGAAAATGGACATAACAATTTTCCTTAGTGGCCCACTTCCAAATATAGATGGAAAAATGGAGAAGTTTAGCCGTCTGTATCAGCTAAATACATTCCTACTCAATGAGTGTTCACGCAGAGGACTTGGCTTCATTGAAAACTTTAACCTGTTCTGGAATAGGCACGAGCTTTTTGAAGAAAAAGGCCCACATCTGAACAACTACGGAGTAAAAGTGCTGATGGATAACTTTGCATCTGCCCTAAGACCTCAGCCTGCGCAGCGCGTGCAGCCGTCGAAAGGGAGAAAAGAAGAAGCAAAGGGCACAGACATCACGACCATCTCCACCGACTCCCGAGGTCTCTGCACCCCCACCGCCTCAAAAGAACTCCACACCTCCACGATTCAAGAAGAACTCAACACCTCCAAGGTTCCAAAAGAACTCAACACCTCCACGGCTCCGAAAGAGCTCAACGCCTCCACCACCAGCATCATCAGCAGCTGCCACATCTTCATCAGCGCCATCAGCATATACAGCACCACCAGCAGCAGTGGATACAGCCGCAGCAGTGGCTGCTCCATCATCTTCAGCAGCAGCAGTGGCTGCTCCATCATCTTCAGCAGCAGCAGTGGATACAGCAGCAGCAGTGGCTGCTCCATCATCTTCAGCAGCACCTTCCCCACCTACAGCTCCCGTGAAGCTTCCCCCACTGCTCCAGGCTACAGTCAGGCCTGTACTGGGGGTTCCTCAACCACCTCTGTCTCCACCAAAGACTCCCTCATCACCTTCCATGGACCCGGCTTGGGTCCCCCCCGCTACATCCACTCCATCTAGGGAAAATGAGGACGACCTTTCCCTTTGTTTTCTATCCCCGCCTTCACTACTGGAATTACCGGAACACTCGGCAGGCATGATAAGATCGGCGATGAAGACTATTCCTCTCACACCCACTGTAGCCAGATCAAGAGTCCTATCTAACATTCAAAACCACTCCCCATACGTACCTCCAAAGCTACCTAGGGCGTCCAACTCAAATTCTCCCACAAAATCCACCCGTCCCTCCTCTAACCCCATAAGTATTCCACCCCCCCCTCCTGCTCATTTAGCCCACCTCCCCCCTAACCCAGCACCAAGAAACCCTCCACCTCCACTCCCCCCTCGTCCACCACCCAACTCAGCCTGCCCCACCCCTAACCCATCACCAAAAACCCATCCACCTTCAACCCCCCCCCCGTCCAACTCCCAAGAACCACCTGCCCTCTCCATCCTCTTCCCCCACCTTCCCCTTCCCCTCTTCTCTCTAAGCACTAGGATGCACAGGGTCTCTGCTTCGCAGCCACTGGCAGTCTAGTTAGAGGAGAGACCCGGCTGGGGCCCTGTCATGAAGCCACCTGTGCCATTCCTTTAGTGATAACACAAAGAATACATTACAGAAAAACATCTGAAGTTAATCAGTCTAATCAGGAAAATCTAATTCTTGTTCCGTGTAAGAATCAGCCGACCACAACCGCTGATACTGAAACTTTGAAACTTGCTATGCTAAATGTCAGATCTCTTTGTAACAAGTCTTTTTTAATCAATAATTTTATTTGTTCTTATAATCTAGATCTTATGTTCATGGCTGAAACATGGCTTGACCAAAATACAGAAAATGCAGTTTTAATAGAAGCATCACCACCAAATTTCAAATTTGAATCTGAAATACGGGGAAACAAAAAAGGAGGAGGCTTAGCTGCCATTTTCAGAGACCACTTTGTCTCCCATAGAATGTCTCTTGGGAAGTTTCCGTCTTTTGAATATGTGTCTTTTAAAATACAACAAAAACAATCTAGTCCAATACTCTTCATTGTCCTATACAAGCCACCGCAGTCATGTCACAGATTTATTGATAATTTTACGGAGTTTCTTTCAGTTTTATGCACAGATTTTGATAGCTTAGTTATTACAGGGGATTTTAATATTCATGTGGATAATGTTATTGACAGAAAGGCAAAAGAGCTGAGTTCTGTTCTTGAATCTTTTGGTCTCACTCAGCATGTGAGTGGCCCCACCCACAGCAGAGGGCACACTCTAGACCTGTTAGTTACTAAGGGGGTGAATATTTCAAATGTAAACGTGGTCGATGTTGCGCTTTCGGATCATTTTTGTGTATTTTTTGACATGTGTTTCACTAACAAACCACCAGTGGACTCTGCAACTTTACGAAGAAGACACATAAATGAAAATACGGGTGAACTATTTATGGGAATGATAAACTTTGAGAATGCATCGTATTCTACTGTAGATGAACTGTTTAACTCTGTCACCTCTAGTGTTTTGAATGTTCTGGACACCATCGCTCCTGTGAAGGTTAAAACAGTGAAAAATAAGCAGAAGGCGCCGTGGGCAAAAGCAGACTCGGTCAGGGCACAAAAGAGAGAGTGCCGGAGGGCCGAGCGGAAGTGGCGCAAGTCCAACCTCCAGGTTGACTACGAGATCTTCAAAGATAAGTTGTGCGAGTTTAACCAGGTGCTACGTAGTACGAGAGAAAGGTATTTTTCTGAAATGATTGAAGGCTGCAGCAACAATCTGCGTGTTCTGTTTTCAACAGTTAATAGATTAACAAACCCCCCTGTTCAGATGCCATTAGAGCTAACTTCCAAACGTAAATGTAATGAGTTTGCACATTTTTTCAATGACAAGGTTCAAGGCATCAAAAACGCCATTGTCTCCAATCCACAGATAACCATCCAACAGCCTAAAAGGCTCTTTGAGCTAACTTACTTTGCACCTGTAAATGATCAAACTGTCCAAGAGATAATCTCCAGTCTGAGCGCCTCCACATGTAGCCTGGATGTACTACCCACTAGATTTCTAAAGTCTGTTCTGAGCAGTCTGTTACCTTCACTCACACAGATAGTAAACATGTCCCTTCATTCTGGAATATTCCCAAAGGCCCTGAAAACTGCAGTCATCAGGCCCCTGCTTAAAAAGAGCAGTCTAGATGCTACGGTACTTAACAACTACCGTCCCATCTCAAATCTGCCATTTATGGGGAAAGTCCTTGAAAAAGTTGTCTACCAACAGCTAAATAGATTTCTTATAATCAACAACTCATTTGATATGTTTCAGTCCGGCTTTAGACCCCACCACAGCACTGAGACTGCTCTCGTCAAGGTTACAAACGATATCCGGCTAAACACTGACGCAGGCAAAGTCTCAATCCTAATCCTGTTAGATCTGAGTGCTGCCTTTGACACTGTCGACCATGAGATCCTCTTACAGAGACTAGAGAACTGGGTTGGCGTCGCTGGCACCGCCCTAAGTTGGTTTAGGTCTTACCTTGAAGACAGGAAGTACTTTGTGGAGATTGGAAACTGTGTCTCAGATCATATGGCCCTGACCTGTGGAGTACCACAGGGGTCGATCCTGGGACCTCTTCTTTTCAATCTCTACATGCTGCCGTTAGGTCAGTTAATACGCAGAAACGAAGTTTCCTATCATAACTATGCAGACGACACTCAGATCTATGTCTCACTGACTGCAGGAGAACATGGACCAGTGGACTCACTCCTTCACTGTATCCAACAGATCAGTGAGTGGATGCAAAACAACTTCCTTCAGCTAAACGCAGACAAAACTGAAATGATTGTCTTTGGTCCCCAGAAACAAAGAGAGAGCGTCATCTGTCATCTACAGTCTCTCTCCCTAAAACCTTCAAACAAGGTCAGAAATCTAGGGGTAATACTGGACTCAGACTTAAATTTTAATAGCCACATCAAATCAGTAACATCAGCAGCTTTTTACCATCTAAAAAACATTTCCAGGATCAAAAACATAGTGTCTAAAGCAGACTTGGAGATTCTTATCCATGCATTTGTCTCCAGTAGGTTAGACTACTGCAATGGCCTGCTCACAGGTCTGTCCAAACAGGCTGTAAAACAGCTGCAGTACATTCAAAATGCAGCAGCTCGAGTCCTGACTAGAACCAGGAAGTACGACCATATTAGTCCGGTCCTCAGGTCTCTGCACTGGCTTCCTGTGGCTCAGAGAATAGACTTTAAAACAGCTTTGCTTGTGTACAAGTCTCTCCATGGCCTCGCACCAAAATATATTAGTGACATGTTAGTCCCATATGAACCAGCCCGGACTCTGAGGAGCACAGGGACTGGACTCCTGTTAGTGCCCAGAGTCAGAACTAAACATGGGGAGGCTGCTTTTCAGATTCATGCTGCTAAAATCTGGAACATTCTTCCTGAAGATGTGAGACAGGCCTCCTCTCTGACTATGTTTAAAACCAAGTTAAAAACTGTGCTGTTTAGCTGTGCATACAACTGAGGGATTTTATATTTTTATCTTTCTTTTTAATGTTCTGTGATTATTTATGATTTTAATGCTATCTTGTTCAGCACTTTGAGTTGCCTTGTGTATGAATTGTGCTATACAAATAAACATGCCTTGCCTTGCCTTGCCTTACGTGTTTGTGTGGATGTGAACCCCTGAGTTTCTCTAAGGGGGGGTCAATAAAGAATCAATCTATCTATCTATGTAATGGTGTGGGTTTTATGTTGGTGGTTTGGACATGTTTGTATTTTAGTTTTATTTTGACATTGTTCTCTGTGGTTTGGTTTTAGTTGTACTTCCTGTCCTATTTGCCCCCGTCTTGATTGTCTGCCCCGCCCTGATGTGTTTCACCTCTGTCAGTGTCTATATGTACCCTGTGCTTCTCTCCCCTTGTTGCTGGTCCATTGTGTTGTCTTTGTTCGTGCCTTTGTTCCTGGTCTCGTTTTTGGATGTTTTGTTTATTTCTTTATTAAATCATTTATATATTTCATTCCTGCATTTTGAGTCCTCATTCACTTCTCCACATGACAGAATAGACCAGCAATCACACAGACTCAGCGGAATGCCTTTTTTATTTTTTCACCACACCGTCTCCCCGTTTGTCACCAGGTTTTTATTTATTTTTTGCTGACATCCTTCCCTTCACTGCTATCTCTCGACCTGCTACCTTGAACCACCGCCAGGCAAGGAACTCCGTCTGGGGTGGTTATTTGTGCTGCACCACGGCCGGGCATTATCGTCCGTCCGTGGTGGTCTTCTGTTTCCTTCCCCTTGGCTTGTTGTGGGGTCAACAGTGAAGCGCTCATCTAGATGTTCCCGTCTGCCTGGATTCCCCACCTGTGTCTGCCTGCTCCCCTTTGATGACCTCTCCTTCCCTTACCTGTTTCCACCGCCAGACATTGTTCTCCGTCTGGGGTGGTTTTGTTCCCGTCTGAGTCACCGCTGGGCATTTGTCTCCGCCCGGGGTGAGCCAGTTCTGTATGGAAGGTCATCACTGGGCTTCAGCTCCGGTCCCAGATTGGTTTGGACATTGCTTCGGACCTGAGTTTTTCAGCCTCTGAACAGCCTTTGGTCCCTCCGCCGCGCCCCCCTCCGCCCTCCCTGGTTTGTGTTTGGGGTTTTGGGACATCTGGGAGCTGTCCCTTGGAGCAGGGGTACTGTCATGGTGTGGGTTTTATGTTTGTATTTTAGTTTTATTTTGACATTGTTCTCTGTGGTTTGGTTTTAGTTGTACTTCCTGTCCTGTTTGCCCCTGTCTTGATTGTCTGCCCCGCCCTGATGTGTTTCACCTGTGTCTGTGTCTATATGTACCCTGTGCTTCTCTCCCCTTGTTACTGGTCCATTGTGTTGTCTTTGTTCCTGGTCTCATTTTTGGATGTTTTGTTTCCTTGGGCTTTTGTTTTTTTCTTTATTAAATCATTTATATATTTCATTCCTGCATTTTGAGTCCTCCGTCATCTCACCTCATGACAATCTATATCTATGCACAATTGTTGGCAGACTAAATACTTTTTCTGCATGTCCCCCTTTAATAAAACATGCTACAGCGAGACCCAGATCAGGAGGCTTGCCTCTGCACATATGGCTCAGATGTGAAGACACTTGCTGGTTGTGACAGCTGTGGCTCCTTGCGGGGTCATTATGTGCTTAATCACTCTTCTCCCATTAATACAAATGATCCTACTTGAAATGGAAAACAATGATATGCCCGCTCTCACTTACAGTCTCCAGGCATGCGTTCAACCATTTGTCAGTAGTTCAGCACACGACTAATGATGAGGGATCTAGGCAAAAGTTAATCCAGCTGCACCGCAGTAATTACAAGGTGTTCATTTAAATCAATTGGAAACTAAGGTTATGTGAAAACAGATGTAACAGACAAGTGTGATGACATTTGTACAGTGTTGGGGCTCAAACCTCAATTCCCTCTATCTGTTGAATGAATCGGTGACTGACAGACTGCAGAGCCTCCGCTGTCCAGGGGTGGAACCAGTCGATGGTAGTGCACTGGAATAAGGCCGGAAACCTGCGCGCCCTGGTACGAAGTGTACTGCCCACAGGAGAAAAACACAGCACCACCTACAGGGCACACAAGCTTTTTCAGCTACCGTCGTTCCATATGTAGCACATATGTATCAAATCAAATGAGTATCTATTTATTTAATTATTTACAGAAATGTATATGATTACAAATTTATGATCCACAACGGGTGGATTAGACTGTAGACCAGAGCAAGGCTATTTCCGAAAAAGAAAAAAAAAGTGTTCTTTGGGCCTCTGGTTCTGATCTAATAGTTTTAATAATATGTGTTTTTTGGTGAATACTCAAACTTAAAAGTAGTAGACTCAACCTGAATCTAATCTATGTATTATTTTCGGTCAGTTGAAATTTATTTTAACAGGGCCATATGATTTCTTATATAAATCAAAACAAAAGTTCTGAATAGTTTTGATTTCCCAATTGCACAATATGAAGGACAATTACTTGAATTTAAGCGTTGCAAACAGACCTTTAGTTGTTGTTGTACTCTCTCAGTGAAAAACCTCCAGCAGTTTTCCCTGTTGTCCAGTTGTCCAGATGCTTGGACTTCAGCATGGACTCCGGACACAATCCCTTCAGTCTCCTCTTCAGTGAAGAGCTCAGGGACCTCACCTGTTCATATGAAAATACTTAAATAACTTAAAATATACAAACACATACTGTCTATGGAGAGAAAAATGTTAATTTCAAACCTGATGCCAAAAAGTCATTGATAATGACCAAAAACCTTTCATCTGGAATCTGGGCTTCAGTCAGGAGAAAAACAACTTTCTGGTTCTTGACACCAGATTTTATGAACAAACCCACAAGGTCCATCTATAGCAACACATATTATATAGGACATAGACCTTCAATATAGTACTCATTACATGTATATTATTAGTGTGTGACTGTGCACCTTAAGATCCTGGATACTGTATCCATTTGTCAGAGTAATTTGGAAAACCTCTGTGGAGGAAATGAAAGCAGCAAGACGTGTGAGGCTCTGCTTCCCACTGCCTCCCACTCCCACCAGTAGAGCATGAGCTCTGGGAGCCGCCAGGATCCGGCTGATGCGGCATCTGCAGACATGTTTCGACTTACAATTAGTTATGTCAAAATGATTGTTGCCAGTCATGTAATTGATACAACATTATGTGTGTGAATTCCACACAGTGATACTCACACATGTTGCATGGCATCTTCAAACAGCACCAAGTCCATGGCAGCGTTGAGCTCATTGTAGTTCTCCAGTGCGTCTGTGAGGGAGGCCCTGAGCACTGACCAGTCACTCATGTGGCTGTACGAAGACTCCCCGTCCATTTGAGCAAAGTGACAGTAAAGCAGGGGCAGCTGTGTCATCTTTGACTTATCCAAATCCTGTAGATGAAAACACACATGTCGGCAGTGTTGCTCAGTGTGTTTAAAGAATTAGACTTGTTAATACTGAAGAAAATGACAAAACATGCAGAGGTCTGGGATCGTGTCACAGCTGAAGACACGTCTTAAGGTAAACGACACAAACAGAGTTATGCATTGTGCACATTTAAACCAGACAAATCAAGGACGTTGCTCTCAGCCTCTGCCACTGCACCAATAGATATGTTAGCTACGACTTTCAGACCTGATGTTATCCCCAACAAAGCATCAGGTGGAAAAGTACTGACTTCAGCATACTGTTGTAATGATCAGCACAGTTTTAACATAGTTGCATGAAAAGTGTCATAAAATCCTTAAATCCTTACTACCTCAAAACACTCATGCACAGTCTCGGTCTGCAGCCTTTGGAAGAGGTGCAGGTCGTTGTGCTCGACCAGTCTGTCAGAATACACTCGACAGGACTCATGCAGCCAGAGTCGAGCCAGATCCGAGGAGTCTCTCACTGTGTCAGGAGCAGCTAAGAACATGCCCTGCATACATACATACATGTACATACATACATACAGTATGGGATCAGCCTCTCTAAGTGTCGACTCACAGAACACTTTGCTTCTCCTACCTGAAAGACGTTGGACAGGTCTCGGAGATTGAACATGTAGTGGAATTTAATAGCGGTGGGTAGACAGCTGTTAAGCATCTTGTGATGGAGAGTTACAGCGGCGCGGACCACAGCTGCAGCACTTATCTGAACCAGAGAACTAAACCCCTGCTGCTGCATGTGGGCCACAAGGATCTGTCTGAAGATAGACACCTGAGCATCGGACGAGGGCAAGTTTATGGCCAACACTGAGAAATGCCTCTGTGGAGAAAACGGATAAGGCATTATTAATTTCCTTTCAGTCCCGCTTGTTATATATTCTGAATTGTTTGACAGTGTGGATATACCTGTAGCCGGGGGTTAATATGGAAGTTTCCAGCAGTGGGGTTCATGCAGGCAATATACTGAGTGTTGTGTATTTCTTTAAGGCTGAGTTTGTGTCTGTCATACCTAAGTGACAAAGAAATCAGATGATAAAATACATACGGTAATATGATACTGCATTTATAAATGTAGTACATTTGGAATCTCAATGTTGATCAAAAACAATGTTATTAAAAACATGCCTAAGATGCTGAAACATGTATCCTCTGCATTAGAGATGGCTTTTCTGCAGCTTGACCCACTGATTTAAAAGTTCAGTTTTGGTTGGCCATTTAAAATATATAATAATAATCATAATAATCGTCAAAGGCTGTGTGTAAAAAAACAGGTTGGTTCTATTGTGAATGCACAAGTTACTAATGAAGACGTAATGGCTCTAGGATTTAATCCATAATGGGGAAAAGTGATGGAGGAATTTTGAACAAATTATTACTTATTGAATTCTATGGGAATGAGTGCATATTATTAATTACTTAAAGTTGTATTTTGATTTGAAACAGAAGAAACGCTGTGTACTTTAGATCGATTTACGTATATATATAATTATACATTGGACAATTTTACTACTATATTCCTTTGGCGTTCATAGTGTAGAGTGACATAAATGTGGTAAAATTTGTTGGAGGCAGTGGAGCCACTTCCATTCACTCTCATGGAGATAACGAAGACGGAGATGAAACGGACATGTTTGGACGGATCCGTCGTCCGTGGAATAAATTAAGGCTGTAAGCTTAAAGTTTTGGTATATTATATGTTGTGACGCAGATAAATGAGTCAAAGATGCATGAATCACTCTCAACACAACTTTTGGGTCTGTAGTGTTTTTCTGTCCTCTCACCAGTGACCATAGTCCAGATGCTGGCGAATCAGAGTGTGAGGCTGCACTGTGCCGTAAGCATCTACAGCCGGCATGTTTACGTCGTCTACAAAATAAATCAGCCTCTTGTTCCCGACCGGTGAGTAGGTTTTCCCAGTTCTCTTCTCCAAGTGCTGCTCAAGGTTCACTGAAAAGAAATAAATCAAATGTCACAGAACACAACCTGCTCACGGCTGGTACATCCGCTGATCACTGTGAGTCATTGTGGTTTTTACATTCTTTTTTTAAACCTGTTTTATTATCTTCACTGGTTTTGTTTATAGTCTATAGTTGGGTATGCTTTGGTTGTTTTAAATGTGTACTCAAATAAGTGTAAGAATGAATACAAGAGGTTGTTATTCAGTTATTGATATTAATGTTTGGAATGTTTTGGATGTGGATTTGTGGAACACTATGACAAATATTGTGAAAATTATTGATTGTGACTGCCACCCCCGCAACCCAGAAATGGATTAAGGGGTAGAAAATGGATGGATGAATGCTGCAATGACTTTAAATCAGTATGCTTGTTTATAAAGTAATCAACAGTCTGGCGCCCTCTGTATTTCTGATTTGCTTGTGTCTTTTGACCCTGTCGCAATCTCAGATTCTTGGACCTCAACTTTCTTAGTGTTAAATTAGGAGAAGCATCTTTGCCATGATACTGCTCTCACTTTAGACCTTCTCAAATGTCCTGATGTGATTATTGTTTTATATGAAATGTGCTATATAAATACATCTCCTTCTTTCCTTTATCCTTTTGTACAGGTGGTAGCTGTTTAAAAGCATCCTATTTCCTTTTTTAAAGAAGAAATATCATGCATTATTTTTGTTTGTTTAAAATAATAATGAAACTTACTGCATTGTCATTTTGGATTTTAGAACTTGAAATAATAATTAAGGAAAAACTGTATGGAGACAGATTCATCAAGGTTTAAAAATCTTGATTTATAAATTATTTTATGGGCAATACTTTTGTTTTATTATACTACATCATACTACGACAGTACTGAGACAGATGCTTTTAGACCTGGATATGAAAGCCAGATCCTGTCTGACCTCTGAAGCTAAGGGCCTGGTTAGTACCATGAAGGGAGACGGGCGGCTGTAGAGTACCAAACTGTTGTCTTGTCCTTAGACAAGACACTTCACCCACATTGCCTGAGGGAGTCTGGTGTGTTTGAATGGTTGGTGGTGGTCGGAGGGGCCAATGGTACATACTCATTGCCTCACTTCGGTCAGTGTGCCCCAGGGCCGCTGTGTATGGAGTGAATCAACAACAACATGTGAAGCATCTTTGAGTGCCTTAAAGGCGCTATATAAAACTAATTATTGCGATTTTCTTAATGTGTAAAAAAGTTTTGTAGTGACCCGGTGGCTGTATAGTAAATTTCTATATTAAATGTAAATTTCTCCTGTGTGAGAGCAATAAAGTTTATCTTATCTTAGATGGTCTGATTGAAAGTAAAGGCACGCCCAAAGAAAACAGACTTTTTTTAAATCAAAAGTTACATAGAGCCCATACATCTGTTGTACATAGTGGAATAAAATGTAAATCTGAACTGAACTGAAATTCTGAGCTCAATTTCCGTCTTAGTCTAATCACTGGTCGACTGTGCCAGAGTTTCCCTCTAAACTACCAAAAACAAGGACTCACTCTGCAGCGTGTGAGCGGTGGTGTAGTAGTTGAGTGGCACTTTCACAGCCACATAACTGCGCTCGAGCGAGTCCAACGCGTTCCTGACGAGAGCCGACTTCCCCACTCCCGCGCTCCCCACCAACATCAGCGGCCGTCTCCTCCTCAGCAACAAGTCCACCAAGTACCGCAGGCACTCGGTCTCCGCCGTGGGCACCAGAACAGCCTGCAATCATGGCCCCAGCGGGGAGAGCGCGCGCCGACACACACATACTTATTACGGCTTTCTTCCAGTGATTTATTGACAGACATGTGTTCAGCGAATTGTGTGCGATTTATAATTTCTTGTATTTCCCCAGTAAGACCACAACTATGCTGTCATAATAGCATCATTTGCAGAGAACAAAACGCCACTAATTATGGCCCAGCGCGAGGCTTTGGAGCATGCACAGCTGTACGCCAAAGCGCGAGGAAAAGACAATAGCGCGTGGGTGATAGCTCGGGCCTTGTTGCTTGTGGCTTCTCCCCCGCTAAGGCTGATATGGGGTTCAGGGGATGGTAATCAGACGCAGTGGCAGGCCTATCATCCGAGCGCGCACCATGCCATAACCTCTCGACGTGACTTTACCCTTGCTTATTATGCTCACCCAGGCATGCTTACATTTTTAATATGCCTGCATTGTTCATTTTTGGTTATTTTTTCTTAAATGGGGTGTATGATTGCCAAGGGGTAATTAATTGTTGAGAGCAAGTTGTTCTGATTTTCCAACTGCAAGAATGAGAGCTAGACACAGTATTTAAAACTGGTCCCTCGCCCTCACGAACTCTCTGGTATGTCTTGAGGATTAACATGTATGATTTGTGGCCTTTTTTAAAACATGAAAGTCAATGGATAATCACCTTTGCAGTGTTATATAAGTTTGAAATAGTAAACAATGTTTTTAGATGAAGACCATATCATACATTGTGAATTGTATTCTCGAGTGGCATGGCCTTTTTTGTCCACGAGCAGGTCAGGACACTGGTATAGTTGCGATGCTTGGTCTACTGCCCGCTTAATCTGTCATTTTATGTAATTGTGTCTAACTGTTGCTGCCTCTGGTCCAGGAGTCCCTTGAAAAAGAGGTTCCTTATCTCAATGGGACTTTCCTGGTTAATTTTTTTTTTTTTTAAGTCAGTTATAATATCAAATCTTACTTGTTTGTGCCAGAAGTTCTTGATATTATTGTTGATGGATCTAACTACTGTCCGTCTGTGAGTGGTAATAATGTTCTAATCTAACAACTTACAAATGTTTGCATTACATGAGCAGTTTAAGTTCATGTACCTGTAATGGCGTAGCAGGCTCCATTTCAAAAGCAGGGACGATGTCGGACCAGGGCAAAAATCTTCTGGTGTGTGGGTCAAGGTAGTAGTCAAAAACTGTCCCCTGAGCTGGGAACTTTACGGACTTAATTTCTTTAATCCACCAATGACTGAACTCCCCGCGGTAATCACACAACTACAATGAAAGGATACAGAAAAGTTGTGAGGTTTACAATGAGGTATAAGATAAGATAAGGGATGCTTTATTGGTTCCACAGTGGGGAAATTTCAATGTTGCAACGCACATACAGGACAGTAGTAAAAGCACACAAGGAAAACACAAAATAAACAATATTGTTTCTTAGCTGTAATTGCTTCAATATCAATCTTTCAAATTATCTATATACTGTACGTTTTTGATATAAAGTGCAAAGTTATATACATATAGGGCAGGGCAATGAGTAGATAAAGTGACATTCAGGGACAAGCTGCTCTAAAGAGCAGTGTCCTGTAGGGGGTGACATTCATGGTGCAGCATAGATGTTAGTTTGTCCAGGACCCTCCTGTCCCCCACCTGCTGCACTGTGTCCAGGGAACAGCCCAGGTTAGAGCTGGACTTCTTGATGATCCCTTACAGCTTCTTCTTGTCCCTCTCTGTGATGCTGCTGCTCCAGCAGACCACAGCTCAGAAGAAGTGGATGCCACCACCGAGTCATAGAAGGTCTTCAGGAGTGGCCCCTACACTCCAAAAGACCTGAGCCTCCTCAGGAGGTAGAGTCGGCTCTGGCCCTTCCTGAAGAGGGGTCTGTATTATGAGTTCAGTCCAGTTTGTGGTTCAGATGAATACCCAGGTACTTGTAAGAGTCCACTCTCTCATTGTCCCTTCACTGGGGCTGGAGCGGCAGAGTGACATCTGCGGAAATCCACCACCATCTCCTTGGTCTTCCTCACATTGATAAGGACCTGGTTCCGCTGACACCAGTCCACAAAGTCCTGTGTTAGCCCTCTGTACTCTGCGTCGTCGTCCTCTGTGATGAGTCCGATGATGGCAGAGTCATCAGAGAACTCCTGAAGGACACAACCGTCCATGTTGTGTCTGAAGTCCACAGTGTGGAGGGTGAAGAGGAACGGTGCGAGGACTGTCCCCTGGGAGCACCCACACTGCAGATCAGGACCTTAGACACGTAGTCCCTGGTTCTCACAAATTGGAGTCTGTCAGTGAGGTAGTCCAGGATCCATTAAGACAGGTTGTAGTCCACTCCAGCTGTCTCCAGCTTGTCCCTGGATGGTGTTGAAGGCATTGGAGAAATCAATCTCCAGGTGGGACAGCGAGCGGTGGAGGAGGGTGATGATGGTGTCCTACACTCCAAAACAGGCCTATATTGGGGGAGCTGAAGTTCGCTAGTTGACACTGTGAACTTGTGTTTATGATCTCAATGGTACTTTGATTTAGCAAGGCAGAGAGGCTACATAACCTGATATAGAGGGCGCAATTGCCCTGATGGCCTTAGTTTGGACATGTTGGCTCTATAAAATAATCTTACCTGATCTTGATGAAGAGCTCCACCAAAAGCCCAAATGCACGCAAAAGTGAAATATGTCTCATAAACTTCCCGTGGAGAGTCACAAGGGATGTTTTCTGGAGTTAGAAGAGAGTCAAGCAAACAGCACAGCGTCTGAAGATGAAAGGATTTTATGAATATACTGTATTTTCATTAATGGTCAAAGCAGAAAATGTCTGTGTACCTGAACCATGGAGCTCTCAGGAAGAGGAGTTATGGTCCTGAACTTGTTCCTCACTTGCTCCAGACAACGGGGCACATACTTTTCAAACAATATGGTGAGATGTGCTCTTTCGGTCTGCCGTTCCCGCTGGTCAATCCAGCTTGCAACATACCTAGGATCACAGGTTATATTAAAAATAGGTTATAAAGGTTATAAAATGGGTTTCAAACCACAACAAATTATGTTACGTAATAAAATCTGTCTGATTGTCAAAACTTTATTCACATGCGCGTCATTTTAGCCTTTTCAGACAGATAGGTGCAAAAGAGAGGACCATACTCAACCAATCAGCTCTCAGGCCAAAGCCTCAAATTGTGACTCATAGTACTCTATTTTACACCTTCATTTTTTTTTTTATATTTCTGATTTGTTCACAATGCTTTGATGGGAAAAACAAAAAGTTTGGTAACCCAGCTATAAGGACAAATAATATGTGTAATTTGTGATACATTATAAGAAAAATGGCCTTGAACTGGGCTAATGTTTTTGATGAGATAACGATGTTGTATTACGGCTAAAAATATAAAAGGAGAAAAGTAATACAGTATGTCTACCAAAAAAGATGTATTAATAATCATTATTTAAATACCTTTTAAGTAATAACCACAACATGCTTCTTTATCTTATTAGAAAATATTATAGCTTTTTAAACACAGATAGCTGATTGGCTAAGAGAGGCCTGCTACTCTTTTTTTACAAAAAAAGCTGATCTAAAGATGTGACAGAGGCCAGAATGCATGCATATAAAAGCTAGTGTGAGGTGAGTGTGTGGAACGAGTTAAATGGATTGCATTGCCTTTTGTTTTTTTGTGGTTTCAAAGTAATAATTTGAACATCACTCTCTGACAATACACCCAAGTACATGGACAGAATCAGAATCAGAATTCAGATTCTGACTTCCTACCATTGTGAGTAACAGGAAGTCCCAAACTAGAAAATTGATTTGGCTCTCAGTGTCATAAAAATTTATAAAAGTAAAAATAGAAATAGGGCATGCATAAAAAAGTCTTCATGGTGGGTGAATCATGAGGTATAATACAATTAAGTTTTAGTATTTTAATCATTTTGAAAACTCACGGGTTCCAGCCCAGGTCGTTCTGATTGACGAAGAGGATTCCTGCCCTGGAGACGGTGGCAGGAGTGGCTGATTGGAGGTGACTGATTTCAAACACCAGTCTCATTGATGAGGTGAGAGGCACGCGCTCGTTACTGGCTAAAGTCAGGACCTGAAAGGGAACATTTCACAATACAATTACATACTATTTTCTTCCAGCACTCTTCAGCCAATCATCTCAGCGTGGCATGATTTGAGACAATAGCACCACCGTTTTTCAACATGTGGGGCCTGCTCCATGTGGGTCCGTCTTTGTTTGTCACTCCAGAAGTCTAAAGTCTTGACAACAACATTTATAGAAAACAATATTATTTTGTATTACCTACAGCAAGAACTTTTTTGTTGTTGTATTATGAGGCTTTTGACTTTGGCCTATTTTTGGCCTCTTATTCTTCAGAAATGTGGAAAAAAAAAGAGTCCACCTTCATTCAGCTCTCAGCCCAAATTGCAAAAAGAGTGAATTACAGGGCTCTTTCTTAAAAGTATGTAAAAAATTGTTGTAAGCAAATTAAAGAATGTTGTGTTGTTTCTGTTGAGTAAAAAACAAAAACAAGAACAAAGAAAAAAAAAGTTGTAGTTGTAATAGTAAATAGCAATACTACATTTCAAGCCTTGATACTAGAAAATATTCTCTATACTAATTTTGATACCACAGCGATTATTTATAAATTTTACGAACAATAAACTTATTTCTTATGAGACCATAAGAAAATATCAAATCATGTCTTTTCCTGTAATTTTAGACTCAATACTTGCTCAAATTAGTATATTTTCTATACTAATCAAATTAACTTCACTTGTACTTCTACATTTGTAACTTCAAATGTAGTTGTGGAAAGCCTGACATCTGTCTCTCTCATTTATTGACCTCAAGCTAATATTGACAGATCAAGATTCAGAGGAACTCAATGAAAGTCTCCCATTCTTTCTCTGGGCCTGTGAATGTGCTCTGTGTTGTACAGCAGAGAATGTGATAAGAAAGAGGGAGGGACCTTGTTGTCATCCATTACAGTATTGAGGGATTCTATCCACATTGGATCAATGTCTCCATCCAACACGATCCACTTAGGCCCGGGGTGAGAGAGGGCGGCCTGCTCCCGCATCAGAGACGAGAACAAGCCTGGAACAGCAATCCACAGTCAAGTAAACACACACTGGGATTAACACAAGGATGTAAGGAAGGCTGCTTCTGGAATATATACAGTTGTGCTTGAAAGTCCACGCTCCCAGCCAGAGATGTCATTATTTTCAACATATTTTGTAGATTATGAACGGTCATGATTTGGGGAGGCTGCATTTCAGATTCATGCTGCTAGAATCTGGTCTTCCTGAAAATGTGAGACAAGCTTCTTCTGTTCAAATCCAGGTTAAAAACAGTTCTGTTTTGCTGTGCATTATTTATGAAAATATATATAATTTATATAAAATGCAGCTGTGGTGTGGATCAATAACCCATTTTCAATTCCAGAATCCAGTCAATCCAGCTCAAATCCAGTTTTTAAATCCAGTTCAACTAAAGTGACTAACCTAAAAAAGTATTGTGCCTAAATTAGTTCGAATCGCTGTTTGTAGCTGGTAATTTTGAAAATATGAAGAAAAACTACACAAATTCTACACCTCCCTCTGGTGGAAGCATAGGGAGTTACAGGCGCAAAGCATTGTTTACTATTGATACTTGCTTCACCATATATATTCTACTTATATTTCACATTCTAAAATATGAAATGGCAATGGTGTCATTAGAATTTTGAATGGTCAAAAATAATATGTAATATTTCTTCTTTAAAGGGGCAGTACATTGAAACTGGGGGATGGAAACTTCTAATTAGGGTCATTTGAGTAGTTTCTGTTGTCAAAATAAAAAACAAATTTATATAGCAATAAATAACATTGAGTGAAAAAAGTGTCTGCTTTATCGTTCATAATCTCCAAAATATGGCCCAAAAAGTAAAAATAGTACTGCCGGGGAATGATAACTTTTGAGCTCAACGGTTTATTCAAATATATCCTGGGTACCGTCTTTCCACTCGCGAGTCGAAGGATGAATGAAGCCGAACAACTCATCTGTGTTCACTGCCTTTGGGTTGAGGTCACTCCAGACGGGCTTTTTCTTCAAGTTTACATAGGTTTTATGAAGGACTCTAAGAATCTGTCAAATTATGATGATATCTACATTTAATAAACACATGAAATACCAAGTCAAATTCTTAATATAGGCACCTGGCTTTTCCCAGTTCCAGCATTTCCAACAACAAACACAGAATGTCGTATTGCCAAAAGCTCGTGTAACTGCACCACCTGGAAATAGATGTTTAGTGTAAAAAAGTTGAGAGTTTTTACAAGTTTTACTGGTTTGAATGAAAGAAAAGTGATTATCAAGTAACCTTTAGGACAAATGTCTCCTCAGGCTGAAGGCGAAGCTCAAGGATGCTGCTGCGAATGCTTTTCTCAAACTCCAAATCTCTCTCCCTCTCTACATCCAGACGTGGGAAAAGGTCACTGAGCAGGCCCAGGAAGATGGATATGTCCTCAGTCACAATTTTAGGCATGTTGAAGTCCCTCAAAGCACGCATCAATACCTGAATCATAAGGAAAAGACACAAGCGGGGTCCAATCAATTTCCCTTCACATTCCAAGGCTCCATTAGTCTCTACCCCTTTTGTCATTCTAGTTGGGGGTGTTAAAAAAAAATATTGATTTGGCTATACATTTACAGTATATATAAAAGACATTACAAATAATTGCAATTAAAAAAAATAAATAAAAAAAAAACGCTGGTAAAAACATCTATTAGAAAAAACAAGTAACAAGCACTGGGGCGACAGTGGCTCAGTTGGTAGAGCATTGGCCTTAGAGCCTGAAGGTCCTGGGTTCGAGCACACCGTAAGACCTACTTCACGACTCCCACTGACGACTGCTGTCGTTGTGTCCTTCGGCAAGACACTTAACCCCATTTTGCCTGAAGCCCCTGCTGAAAGATCAAGGGTCCTGTGGACTCACCACCTGCAGGAGGATCAGTGAGGGGCTGGTGCTATGTGTACTGGGTGCAGCTCTGACTGTCACCCCCCGACCCAGGAATGGATTAAGGGGAAGAAAATGGATGAATGGAAGTAACAAGCAAAGGAATAAATGTCCTGTTGCATCTTCTATCCTCAGACTTTGGCGGAAAACACTACTGAACTTTTGGAGTTTTGCCTGTGTCTTTGGACTTAAGAATACCAAGTGAGGTAGGCAAAAGTATCTCTCTCTCTTTAAATGATATACTGTATATTTGAAAACAATTTTTTCCATGTCAAACTAAGTTTTGCATAGACACAGTTCCCCATCTCAAGACATTCTCAAAACAATCAATGTTCAGTGAATGTTAATAAAATACAAATGACCCACGTCCACTAAAATATCAGCAGTTATTATAATATGCAGAATAAATGGAAGCATTACATCTCAAATCCACTCAAGGCCCAAAATTGCCAACTTTACCTGATCCTCTGGTCGTGTGTAATCTCTCCTTTTCAATGTTCCTGCCACCACTAAGACTGACTTCACTGCTCGCAAACCCCAGTCATAATGGTCCTGAAATAGATGCAGAAAATAATGTGGACAAACAATTTAAATTATCGTTTCTAACTGTACGGACTGTAGAGGTTCACCTGTTTGGAGAGCAGCTCCTTGCATAAAGAGTACAACGTGATGAACTTTCTGGCCAAAATCTTTGCACTACGGAAGCCCTCAGTGACCAGCATAATCTCACAAATGAGCTCTGTATCAGGCACCACCATAGCACAAGGTCTAGGCATACAGAGAAGAACATATTTTAGACAAGGAACGTAGAGATTATTGACACAAAATGTAATATTGTTCTCAACTGTATTATTATTTACGTATTTTATTGGATGTCAATAGAACTTGTTTTTTTATTATTTTAAGTATGTTTGTTCCATATGCACATTTTAAGTTTAGCATAAAAAAATAAAATAAAATGTAAATTCATTAATTATACCTTTACCTTTATATATCTTCAAACCCTCTGGAGGAAATATTCGGCAAACAATTTTCAACATTTATCTCAATTTTTCTTTTGTCAATAATCCTGTATATTTGTTAAATCTAGGTGATTTCTAGGTGAAATTTGAAGGAGGATACTTCATATGCACTCAATATGGACTCAGAGAATGAAAACAAAATTCGTATTTGACAATCTATGACGGCCATGACTCATAATAGGGCACTGTCCGGTTTCCGAAATGTGCTAAAAATAGTTCCAATGACTGCGCATGCGCGCATGTTTCGGACAAACTCTGTCCGACTCCGTTGAGTACTACTGTGTTCTCCACATAAGCGTGTGTATTTATTTGGGCTAAATCATTGAATCATGGTGACAACAAAACACTGCAGTTATGGTGCTTGTGGGAGCGATTTCAGATACTCTGAAAAGGACTATATGAAAGCAGTAACATTCAACCTGTTCGTTAAACCACACCATCGAACCAGACCAGGACCAGACCAGGACCAGACCAGGACAAGTGCAAGAGGTGGGTGCTTGTGGTCAGCAGAATTTCTCTCATGAAAATGTTAAAAAGGACATGTTTTTTCAAAACACTTCGCTGGACCAACTGTGGAGCCTCCAGATCCAGTCCTAGCTACGTTTAGCTGGGACTGGACCTGGACCGCTGTATCAGGTCCGTCTGAGCTCTTCTGAATGTAGTTAGCCCCATCAATCCATATTAGTATTGTTTGTCCTAATCCAGAATGTATACAATTCTCACACCTGAAGAAAGATGAGAGGGATTTTTTCAACTTCGTGACTATCGGAAAATAAGCACAGACGAAGCGCGTTGGGGTCCGCTTATTATACGGCTTTGTACCAACTGAACACACAAAATAAACTTCTGTCACTATTCATGCCAAAAGGTTTATTTAATGAGTGCAAAGAAAATAGTTCCCAAAGGTTTTAGTTCACCTACTTTAAAAAAGCGATCGCTTTAGTCGCATTAAAAAAGTATTTTTGTCATGAAAACCTTAACAGATAATTCTGAAAACCTCTGTGCACGTGTGTTGTATGAATATTATATTCTAGCATTAACATTTAAATATGTTGATTGATTGTCGTTTGCGTTTACTGAGTGTGGCTAGCTCCGATAGTTTCTCTCTCAGAGACAGTAGTGGTGTAGCCCGTTGTGACCCCATGGATCTGAAATCGGCTGACTGTAGTTAACTAAATAATCAAACTAATTACGAAATGGACAGTACAAAAAACAACTTGATAAATGGAAGTTAATCAGAGCAAAATAAACAAAGAAGGCGCTAACATTGCAATTTAAATGACTAGATAATGTTAGCATAATCCTCACCATTACCTTTTTATCAAATCAAACTTTCTACCAGTCACTGGAAGACCACGACATTCAAGCCAACGTTTTAATTGGTCTACACTATGATCCCTGATGGTTTGATGGTGGAATTTTGCCCCTGGTTTATCATTTTCGTCTAAAGTGACAAGAGGTATTTGATTCATTTTGGCAGTGTTTGTCCGAAACATGTGGGCGGGAGTTGACAGGCGGCGGGGGCGTGTCTTAGTGACGTCATTCAGATAGTTCGCTATAATATCATGCTCTATACAAGCTAATTTTGTCATGTTAACTCCCCTTTCATGACGCCTACCTGAACAAAGTCTTGAGATTCTGGGGCAGCTCTGTTCTCCCAGCATATCCAGGGTTCATTGTAATAAAAATTCCCACTGATGGATTCAGGGCAATTTCTGTGTCCAAGAACAGGAACCTGCAATGTTCACCAGATGTCACTTACAAATACCACTCTAATCCATTACAGAACCCTGGTGTGAATGAAAACCTTTTCTTTTTGGTGCGAATGGCGTCCTGAATGGTTTTGACTTGCACGGCCACCACTGACAGAACGTCCACAGCTATTCGATTGAACTCGTCGAAGCAGCCCCACGCTCCCGTCTGCGCCAGGCCTTTGTAGATGTTTCCTATTGACTGGAAGAAAAACAAGGCAATTAGTGATTATACACAATATGACACAAACCATTGTCAAGGTCATTTTTAGTTAACTATTGCTGTGCTATCTACAATTGGTCCTAAACTGTTCACTAATTATGGGATGAGACACCAGCTAATCCAGGTTAAATTATGTTCTGTTTAAGATAAGATAAGATAAGAAAAACTTTATTGCCCCAAAAGAAATTTGCTGTGGGATACTGTGCTACACAGATTAAATTTAATTAAAGTAAAAAAGAACATAAGACCCCTTCTGAAGAAGAGCAATTTAGATTTTAATGATCTTAACAACTACAGACCGGTGTCCAACTTACCATTTTTAAGCAAAATTTTAGAAAAACTTGTTTTTACCCAGCTCAATGCCTTTTTAGATCAACAGCAAATTTTAGAGACATTTCAATCAGGTTTTAGGGTGAACCACAGCACAGAGACGGCTCTTTTAAAGATTTTAAATGATTTTAGATTAAATTATGATTCTAAAAAGGTGACTGTGTTGGTTCTACTGGATCTTAGCGCTGCCTTCGACACAGTAGACCACACCATTCTTTTATCCCGCCTGAAACACCTCGGCCTCTCTGGTGCTGTCCACAAATGGTTCACTTCTTATTTAACAGACAGATCCTTCATGGTAAGTTTGGATACCTGCTCCTCTCAGGTCCATAAAATCACATGTGGTGTGCCCCAGGGTTCCATTTTAGGTCCAGTCCTTTTTAACGTGTACATGCTCCCTCTTGGCGGTGTCATCAGGAGACATGGAATTAACTTCCACAGTTATGCAGATGATACTCAGCTGTACATCTCCATGTCTCCTGATGACACCAGGCCAATGGATGCTCTTTTTAACTGCATTTTAGACCTGAAATCCTGGATGGCAGAAAACTTTCTCCAGCTTAACCAGGACAAAACTGAGGTTTTAGTCATCGGTCCTGAGGCCCAGAGAGAGAAACTTTTACCAAAACTCCAATCACACTCTTTTAATCCATCACCACATGTGAAAAACCTGGGCGTAATTTTTGACTCTGAGCTGACTTTTATTCCTCACATTAAGAATATAACAAAAATAGGTTTTTATCATTTGAAGAACATCGCCAGAGTCCGCCCCATTCTCTCTCGGGCCAACACGGAGACGCTGATGCATGCTTTTATAACCAGTCGCATTGACTACTGTAATGCCCTGCTCTCTGGTCTTCCCAAAAAGAACATTTCAGGTTTACAATTACTCCAAAACTCGGCCGCACGTGTCCTGACTAAGACCAGGGGGCGGGACCACATTACACCGGTTTTAAAATCGCTGCATTGGCTCCCCGTGTGTTTCAGGATTGATTTTAAGGTTCTCCTAATGGTTTTCAAATGTCTTAATGGTCTTGGGCCTTCTTATCTTTCAGAACTGCTTTTATCCTATGAACCCTCCCGGCCCCTGCGCTCCTCCGGCAGCAGACTCCTAACCATTCCAAAAGTCAGGACACACACTCACGGTGAGGCGTCTTTCCAACACTATGGCCCCCGTCTCTGGAACAGTCTGCCGGAGGAGCTCAGGGCCGCAGAGAACGTTCATATTTTTAAAGCCAGGCTCAAGACACACCTTTTTAGATTAGCTTTTGATTAGTATTTATTAGTCCATTTTTATATATTCTATTTATCCTTTATTATTTATTATATTGCTATTGCTTTTATTCATGTTTTGTGTGATAGTTCCTTTCAGGCTCACATTTTAGTGTTTTACTTATTGTATTGTTTTTAAGTATCCCCAGTGTTTCCTCTGGAGGAGCCCTCTGCGCTGGGAGCGGTGGTTGGCTGTGGCTGTGGGGGTCGGACTCTTGGACCTGGTGGGGGCCCGGGGCCTCGGTTTTGGGTCCCCTCTGGGTCCTGTGTCGTCCCCTTTGGCTATGGGCGGGGGGGGGGGTTTTTGCTTGTAGTCTGGGGAGGGTCTGTTGGGCGGTCGGGGGGAGGGCATGGGCAGGATTGTTTTTTAGCCAAACTGTAAAGCACTTTGTGTTGCATCTGTTGTATGAAAAAGCGCTTTATAAATAAACTTTGATTGATTGATTGATTGATAAAAACAGGCATTGCAAGAGAGAAATGTATAACACCCACTCCTGCTCCGATTCCCTCAGACATAAGGAACACCTTCGTCATTATAAGGACCAACAGGGTCCTTATAATGACGAAGGTGTCGTAATTATAATCTATCAAAAACACAGTCCTAAATTCAACCGTGCCATAAAACGGACTCTTATAGTTTTACCCAAATTTCAAAGAACCATTTGTAAAACATTCAAACCACCCCTACTCTTTAAAGTAAGTAAGTTAAGTAATTCTCTGCCATAATACCATACAATTATTTTAAATGAAGGCATGTTTGGCATTTTATATGCTTTCACTTGTTTTATGATTTTAATGCTTGAGTTGTTTTGTGTGTGAATGGTACTAAATGGATAAACTCCTTCTCCTTCTTCCTTCTCTCACAGGAACCAAGAACTAGGAAGTACATTGGCCAAATAGTAGTTAATGAAACAGTAAACGCAGTAAATAAAAAAGTGAAGATGAACGTCGACCAAGCCATAATTCTGTGTTTGATGAATTTAAAGCCAGAGCAAAGAGGACGTTTGGACAGTTTCCATGAGGTAGGTGTGCCCTCTCTTAGCTTATGTAGCTGTAATTGAAACGCTTGCTTTGTTTTACCTTATAATCCATTTGTTCAGAGCAGTTAAAGATGTACACCATGACGCCCAAAGCTCGGCCTAGATCTTTAGTGGTCTCCGTTTTCCCTGTCCCGGCCGGACCCGCCGGAGCCCCACTCATGGTCAAGTGAAGCGACTGTGTTAGAGTGATGTAGCACCTGCAATGATCAACAATGCACTCAGTAGAAGCCATCATTAATAATATTACCTCCAGAATCTGCCCTTTTCAATGATAATAATACATTCTTCTATATTGTTTCTGTATTTGTTTGAAAATTGTGTTACACTTTATATATTGCTACCACATACTGTACAGTAACTTTGTATTGCACCAAATACCAGTAATTTGCACATTCCCCATTTGGTCCTAAATATTAATTATAGGGTATCCTGCACATTGTGACTTGGAACTGTTACTATGTTGGTAACTTTTTATTGAACTGCATTTTAATATGCATATTAGATTCAGTGGAAGGTAAGGAATAAAGATGGAAAGCAGCATGGTGCTTAAGCTGGTGCAGCTATCTTTGTAATGTAACTGCACATTATCCTTAATGAATTAAGATAAGATTTTAAAAAATTTAATCGTCACACAGTGGTGAAATTTTAGTGCCATAGTTGCGCACATTACAGTAGAATGAAAATTGGGAAATAAGAGCACTCAAATTGCACACCTCATACAGAATCTATCTATGTAAGATAATAGAAAATAAATATAATACAAAAAAGATAAGTAATAAGATCATATAATAGAATAAAATAAAATTCTGGAGCTTTAATGGCAAGTGAGTTATTATCAGAACAGGTGAGTGGCACGTGTATAGACTCAGCAGTTCTCGTTGTACAGTCTGACAGCAGCAGGGGGGAAGGACCTGCAAAACCTCTCCTTCACACAGCGAGGGTAAATAAGTCTGTCACTGAAGCTAAAATATACTTAATATAAAGAAGGTCCTGAAGCAGTTACCGGTCCGTGAGTGGAGTAACAACCAGACGTGGGGTATTTCCAAGATATTCATAAGAATACTGGAACTGGGCATCGCATATGTTGACAAAGCAGTGCCCTACTTGGTCCTTCCAACAGTGTCGGAGTTGGGAAAGCCATTGGAAGGCTTGTGAGGAGGTGGCCTGAAGACAAGATGAAAACATTACTAAACATCCTATTAATGAAAAGTAAAATTGGGTTGCTAATCTCTTTAGAACTAACCTTTTGAGCAATGAGGTTAGCCACAACATCTCTCGCATGGACGTCAATGGTGCATACGGTCATGATCTTCTGTCTATTCCCAGGACTCAACTCTCCCAGGAGCATGCTAATCAAGGAGTTCAGCTGGGAAACCTACAGAAATTAACAGAATAAACAGAATTATCATCGTGGGCCTTATTTTGAAGGTTATGAATGATAACCTTCAAAAATGGGGCCACAGTAGCTAAGTTGGTAGAGCATTGGCCTTTGGGCTGGAAGGTTGTGAGTTCAAGAGCGCATCATGGGATCTAATCCAACTGCTCCCACAAATGTCTGCTGTTGTTACACTTAACCCCACATTGTCTGAAGCTCCCGCTAAAACACCAAGGCTGTGGCATCACTGATGTAGCAGCCATCTTCCTGCAGAGGATCAGTGAGGGACCAGTGCTTTGAGCATTGGGTGGCAGCTCTCATTGCCACCCCCTCCGACCCAGAAATTGACTAATAAAGGGGTTGAAAATGAATGAATGAATGAATGATAAGACAAACACTTTCTCTACTCCTTTTAAGTATTGGTGTAGAGCAGTTTTTCCCAAGCTAGGTATGCGTACCCCTAGGTATGAGTACTTTAAATTATTATCAAAACCTGCAAACATCTATAGCAAGAGTATATCATGGGCACACTTGACCTGATCACTGTTCAGAAGCTTAACATGTGTGTACTGTATATGTCATGGTGTAGATTTTGTGTTATTGTGTCCTTTGTTTTTGTTTTTACTTCCGTTCTATGTGGAATGTTTAGTTTTAATTTTCAGATTCAGATACAGACTACTTTATTTATCCCACCAAGGGCAATTCGTTTGAGCAGTACATACAAAAATAAAATTAAAATTAAAAAATAACATAAAAACACAGAAAATAAGTGATATGACATGAAGTGGAGCCCCATACAAATATCTGAACATAATAAATACTTCCTGTTCTGTTGCTCTGTGTTGTTGCTACCCCGCCCAATGTACCCTGTGATCTTCCCCATTTGTTACTAGTCAATTGTCTTTGTCTGTCTATGTCTGACCTGTTCCTGGTTATTTTGGGATTTTCTAGTTTGTTTTTACCTTAAACTTTTATTTTATTGTCACAGTTTTTGTTTTGTTGCAATCCTGCATTTTGTGTCCTTCTTTGTTTCACCTCATGACAGTATATCCTATGAAGTTTAGGCATAGTGGAATGTGATAAATAAAAAATGAATGTATTATTGCAAGCCATGTATTATGAATGATAACTTATTGTGAGGAACTTTGAGCTCACATTTGGCAACAGCCGTATGAGCTGCCAATTCCATCAGTGCAGTCCGGAGACACAAAAGGTGAAAAAGATTATTCAACGGCCGCCAAGGACAAGCTCACCTCAAAAGCTGCTAATGAAACTGACAAGAGCAATAATACAAGTGTGAGGAAGGTGCATACGCAGCATGTACAAATACATCAGGTCATTGATTTATGACCTAATTATTAACTTTAAACTAAACGCGTCAATCACAGCAAGTGCACGTTTAACAGCTAATCCGATACTGTCTGATTGGATGGCACATTAACATATTAGCATGCACACACATTTCTCTTGTGTGCGTGATTCTTGACTAGAACCAGGAAGTACGATCACATCAGTCCAGCTCTCAGGTCTCTGTGCTGACTTCCTGTGGCTCAGAGAATGGACTACTCTGCTTATGTACAAGTCTCTATGGCCTCGCACCAAATTACATCTGTGACATGTTGGTGCCATATGAACCAACTCAAGACTCTGAGGAGCACAGGGACTGGACTTCTGCTGATGCCCAGAGTCAGGACTAAACATGGGGAGACAGCGTAGGAGTCTTCCTGAAGATGTGGGACAGGCTTCTACTGCCAACATGTTCAAATCCAGATAAGCGGTGCATACAACTAAAGGATTGATACTGATTATTTTTTATTTTAATGCCTTTTTGTTTTGTTAAGCACTTTGAGTTTCCTTGTGTTAACTGTGCTATATGAATAAACTTGACTTGTCAATTAGTCAATACTCTGTATGAGGGGGGTTGTTCTGACTTGTTGGTCTGGTTCACTTTAACTAGACCAGGTCTGGTTCACTTGTAAAAAAAAATGCTTCACAGATCTGTTTCAAAAGAACTGACTTAAAGTGGACATCAGTTACTTTTAAAATTGTGTTATTTATTAAACAAAAAATTTAGATAGGTACCAAAGGTGTAGAGGTTGAAAAAATCTCATGTCCCAATAGAAAGGGTCAAATAAAATGCTGTCTTTGTCTTCCTCATGTTATATTTTGCATACTTAAAAAAGGGCCCTGTGAGTTGTTGGGCTGAGTTGTTGGGCTGAGAGCTGATTGGCTGAGTGAGGGGGGTCCTCTCTTTTTATTCACAATTCTGTCTAAAAAAGCTGATGCAAATATGTGACAAAGGCAGGAAATACATGTAAAAACTAATGATTTTTTTCATTCACAAAATTCTCAAACAAAAAATAGCACCACACGTTTGTTTGAATAAAAGCTGATATACAAAATAAGTAGTACATGACACACAGAGTTTGCACCGTTTCTAGACAACTCCAGGAGGTGGATTGCATCAGTAATTAGTAATGTCTTAGGCATTGCCACATCTTGACGTGGTTTTGATTTGGATTGCAGAGTTAGGCAGAAATAAGTGAGCAGAATAGTAACATTGTGGATATAAAAGTTTTTGGTATGGCTTGTTTTTTGCCGTGTAATGGCTGACAGCCTTCACCTGTTTCTTGTTGTAGTCTTTGAGCGAGGATTCGAAGCCTTCCTCCAGGCGTTTGAAGACCAGCTGCATGTCGTTGCTCCACCAGACCTGGGAGCCGGTGAGAGCCACTTGTGCCGGGAGATCCAGGACCCACTGCTCCCGGGCCTTGTCCTCATATGTGGCCACGGCCTCAGACAGCTGCGCTCTCACACTGCCCCTCATGGACCTCTCCACAGAACTGAGCCACACCTCCACCTGAAGCACACAAATACTGACGTGACTGATTTGGGTTATATTTATTTATTCAGACATATGTGAATTTTGCCAATGCACATATAAAAAGAACACAAGTATAAAAGTACATATCCAAAAATAATAGCTAAAATAATGTCCTTATATCTCTTTTTAAACTGGTATAGTTACACCAGTGGGGGCGAGTCCCGGTTCCAAAAGGTCCATGAGCATGGGCACTCACATGCTTGCAATGTCACTTCTAGCCGGTGGGGCTGGACCCGGAAAGAGAATCACCCATTGCATTTGTATTGCGTCTTCTTTCCTCTCAAAAACGGCCTTACAAGATGGTCCAAAAATAGACTCTTGGCCCAATGCTACGTTCCAGATGTGTGTCAATGCTGAGTGGAGTATTTTATTTTTGGACCAGTCTAGTTTAGCCGCTGTGGACTTCAGAAATGCGTTAAATGAATGGGGCTTCTGCTTGCTAACGCATGTGCAATTGCATTTTTTCACATTTTCCTGCCCCGCAGGCATTTAGAAAAAGCCAGCAGAAGGCAAAAGTGGTGGCACATTATTTTCAACAGTGGAGACTATGTCCGTTAATATTTACAGTCTATGAGTTGGAAATAGTTCAGTGAGAGTTTATCGTTTTGTTTTAATCAATTCAAGATGAATCATCAAGGGGTCCAAAAAATATTTTGGAAATAAATATAATTTTCTCATATTAGTAAATTTCATGTTTGAGAATGGGAAATTGTAAAGATTAGAAATATATGGAGAAACATGTATAATAGGGAAATATGTGGATGACAAATGCGGGTAGCTCCTCCAAAAATCACCATCATCATCATCACCAGGACACCCACCATTCACCACATCACCCGATTCTCCAACAGTTACGCTGGCTCCCCATTAAACAACGGATCAAAGTTAAAATCCTCACGATATTCAAAGCTCTCAATAACCTCCTCCATACTACCTGTCTGACCTCTTCCACATCAACACACCCTCTCGTACCCTCTGCTCCTCCTTCTCTCTCCAGCTCTCTGTCCCCTTTTTCCGACTCGTCACCATGGAGGGTAGAGCATTCAGCTGCTCTCTTCCCTTGTTCAATTCCAGACTCAAAACTCACCTTTTCAGACTGTCTTTCCCCACATGACCAGTCACTCCAATACCTTTGTCCAGTTCTGTTGTTTTCTATTTTTAATAATGCTAATGTTTTTAACCATGTTTGTACAGTGTCCTTGGGGTTTTGAAGGGCACTTTTAAATAAAATAAAAAAAACCTGGGGCACATGAACAGAGCTGGTTTGGCCTTCACAGTCCTGAGATTTATAGGGATGGATTTAAATAATGATGAGCTAAAATCATCAACAACAAAATCAAGCATTCATTAGTTCGTAATTGATGATTATTGGTTGTCATGTTTATATATAATGTAGAACTCTTACTGGTCCACAGCAGACGCACTCGGTGGGAAAAGGCACAAACTCCCTCTCTTTGCTGTACATGCCCAGGGCCAGTTTAGGATTATCCAAATGCTCGTTTTTCACAAACTCCAGATCAGCCACGTTGTCAAACAGTTTGGAAAGATGAACACAAGTCTGCAAAGAAGTTTACATGAAAGTTTACATGAAGACTGCAAATGGATGCACAATGCTAACCCAACTAGTTCAATGAAGCACAACAGGAAAGTGCTGTGGTTCTGATGTTGTCCATGATCATTTTATTTATAAATTACCGAGAATGGGACACAACGAGGGACTATAAGCATTTGAAATAATTTGTAGTTGGAGGTGGTGAGAATGGGCTTGGAGTTCGGAAAGTAACTGACATTCACTTAAAAAAATAATAGATGCAATAGATCAAAAGGAACTGTACCTCTTTGGGACGGCTGCCTTTGGAAAGTATGTCCAACAAATCTGCAGTCGAAATAAAGTAAAATCGTGGAAATAGAAGCCGCTTGCTCTCCAAGTATTCCGCCAGGGCCTTTTCACACAAAGCCAACCTGTTCCAAATGAATTACAATACAATTATTTATTTTGATGGCTCATGCAGGATTCTGAATACTTTAAAAAGAATCACCGCTTTTGTAGATTCTCCAACTTCTCGTACAAACCCGCTTTATTGGTGGCCTCGATTACATTTTTCCTCTTGGCACTATCTTGCATCAACTCCTGCAAAGTAGTGAAAGTATTGAAGTCATTTTTTTTACTTAAGTAAAAGTAAACAAATAGTATTCGTACTAAAAGTCTAAAGTTTTGTTTTTGTTTGATAATGCGCAATTAATAACATAATGGTTACATACTGACAAAGCTGCTATCTGAGCTTAGAAGCATGGCTAACCACAATTCATTATTAAAATCAGAAGCATGGCTAACCACAATTAATACATTAACTTACACGCATGAGTAACCACAATAAAGTAATTAACTTAAAAGCATGGCTAACCAAAATGAACGAATGAACTTAGAAGCATGGCTAAACCAAACAAATTAATACACTTAGAAGCATGGCTAACCACAGAAAAAGATTGAATAGCCATATTTAAGGGACTGGGATTTAGATTTAAAAGTCAAAGCAAAATGTTGAGTAGTCAGGTAAAGTATAGACCCCAGGACAAAAACAGATAAGTGCAGTGACTTATTTTAATGACTTTTAATGTGTCTTATAAAACAACTTTCTAATCTGCGAAGTTTAAGCACCTGAAACTCTGCATCTATGATCTGAAACCGGAGAGCGTCCTGTGGCAGCTGTTGGCGAATGTCCTCACAGTCCTTGAAGATGCTCTGGAGGTACGCCCAGATCCTCTGCACCTCCATCCACACCATGAGCACCGAGTCGGCCACGCTCAGCTGCTTCTGGAGGGTCACCACTTGGACCAGGAAGTGCTCTACGTGCTTACTCTGAAAAACGTTCTGCAGCTGGACCTGTCGTAACGAGGCACACGCTAAATCTGTGAGACAATAATATGGAAGATTGCCTAACAGGAGAATGAGATGGAGTTCCTTTATTTCACCTTTCTGTGCAGAAGAAAGGAGAAAACAGGCTCCTAGGATCCTTTTGCTCACAAACACAAACTTACCGTAATTTCTGGACTTTAAAGCCTCTACTTTTTTCTAGTTCTTTGGATCCTGTGGTTTGTATAGCGATGCGGCTAATATGTGTATTTTTAATGTGGTAGAGTTGTAAGAGCAGAGTTTATGAACTTATTATTTTGACTCCATCAAGTTTTGGTTGCTTCAGGTCAGGACACTTATTTATTGTTCAAATAGACTGGTGAACGAGTACAGGCACGGAAGCTAACGGTTAAGCTGTTAAACATCTCATCATGAAATCATACTGTGACTTGTTAAAACAGTCGTTAAAACAATCTGCTACATTACAACAAGAAAACAAAACAGATTTTTTTTTTCAAATTTAGGTGGTGTGGCTCATGTATAGCTGCGCCTTATAGTCCAGAAAGTAAAGGTAATACTGTATGTTCTATTATGTGTCCTATTGTATCTATTCTTTGTCGTGGAGTAGAAGTTCCTGGCTCTCAAAATATTTTGGTTCTAGAGTTTTCAAGTGCATGTATTTTTGGCCTTTGTCGCACCAGCTTTCAGATCCGCATTTTTTAGATCAGCTTTATCAGACAGAAAAGGAAAAAAGAGAGGAACACCCCCACTCTGTCAATCAACTCTCAGCCCAAAGCATCAATTAGTGTCTCATTCTTACAAGGACACTTAAGTTTATTTCAATGATTTCTAATTCATTCACAACATTGTACTTTTGCCAGTAAATGTGTCATGGGCAACAACATGTATTTACAAAACAGAAATGTGAGTTACCCCAGATGGACATGCATTAGTTCAAAAGTTCACAATGCAGACAGATTTTGGTTTACGATACAGACTTGACGAATGAAGTTAGATACCTCAGCTTTAGTTCTCATTAAGCTAACCACCCACAAACAAAGGAAATCAGATAACACTAATATGCACATAGGGGACAGAGCAGCTAATTGGTGGCTATATCCCCCTATACATCTGCTGTACATGTTAAAGATGGCCAAGATGCCACAAAGCACACAGGCAATATATCTGCTGCCTCAATGGGGTCCTTTTGACTCCACAGAGCAGTCAGACTGGGCGGATCTTTTGTGCGCACTATTCAGCCGTTCACCCAGACAGTTTTAAGGGCTCCTGCTGTTCACACACTTTATAGCAACGGCGTTAAAATAATCATTACATAACAAAGGCTTTACCTGGTGATCCTCCAGCGTTTCAATCAGTTGCTCGTCACATTTCAGAAGCAGCATGGGGGTCTGGTAATGCTCCACGTAGGAGAGCTCCATCGCAGCCCATGTTTGACTTATTTCAGCCACGATCTGTAAAGAAAATAGGTCATATTACATTGAATTTCCCAAGTTTACATTACTTGCTTTTGGCTAAAAATTGGCGCTATATATAATGACCTTTTCTATGGTCATCTCTTTGACTGCCTTGTCCACTGTGCTGCGGACTTCATCTTCGAACAAATGGAGCTTCAAGGCCAGGAGGTTTTCCAGTGTGGTGTCGTCGGTCACGCTGAAGACCGTCTGTGGAATAGAAGTGATGAAGTGTTGACATAAGACTGAATAAGCACCAAGACTTCTGCTGTTCAACTGCCATTAGGAGGAGATCCAAACCTGGACCTTTCATTTTTTGTGGTGGCAGATTCATTGCGAAGGCCATGGCTTCTAGGATGGATAAGATATTATAAAGTCTCATATTTTTGAAAATAAATAAAAAACTCATGTAGGCCTGGACTGGAGTCTCACAACTCGCAATTTTTAAAAGTGATGTAGTTTTCCCAGATAATTATTTACTAGTGATAAGGTTCATAAGCCAACCATATTATTGTTAATGTCTAAATTGTATTTCTACTGGCCAACATCCAACATATGTTTTTTTATTTATATTGTCACCACTTATAGACATCCTCACGAGATATGTTTTTTTTTTTTACATAGTTGACAGAAATATTTACAGAAATAGATGTGAAACTTTTGTTTCAAGGGGAGAGGCCCAGGAATCAGCAGGAAAACAGCTCTAAACTAAGACTAGAAGTCTGACTCCACAATTTTTAACTATAATAACTATATATAACTATTTAAGGGAATGTTGTGATGTCACTTGAACGCAATAGGGTTAGAGTCAGCCGAGGCCTTGATACATATACAGTGGACAATCCAATACTTTTATTGAAGACGAATTGTTATTAAAGTCAAATTCAATAAGGGCAACACGGTGGCAGAGCACAGAAAGAAGTCTAGTTTGATTCCACCTCCAGTCTTTCCTGTGTGGAGTTTGCATGTTCTCCCTGTGTCTGCGTAATTTTCCTCTAACACTAAAAACATTTACAATAGTCCCCCGTGACACTCCCCTGACCACACTCCCGCCCCTCTCTCTGGGGCCAGGACTCGCTTGGAAAAGAGATTCTGAAATCCCAGTGGGACTTACCTGGTTAAAGAAGGGTTTATAGTTAACAGAGAAACACATGAATAAAGGAAATAGAAAACAAATATAAAAAAATATATAGAAATATCTATAATGTTCTAAATATCACACTTCCTCAGCACACCCCTAAACACAACCTAAACACTCACTCTGGTGATCCTGACCAGCTGTACCCAGTGGCGCTCCCTGATGGCCGGGCTCTGCAGCTGACTGACCGCCCTGGTGGACGTCAGCAGGTTCTTTACATAGAGGTCTAACCCAGAGTACACGTCCCAAACGCGGGCCTCTTTGTCCAGCCGCCGCATGTCCTGCTCAAACAGAAGGCAGGTAGACATCATTAGGGAGAAGCAGGCATCTGTTAGAGGCCGCGGCGGAGCGTGACGGGCCGACAGCAGGAGAGATGTTGGGGTGTGATGGAGCACTGCTGGAGATGAACCCCACCTTGGCAAACCTCCGCAATTCTACATCCATCTGCTCCACGTTGATCTGTCTCCATTTGGTCAGTGTCCATTTCTCCACGCTGCTCTGTGGGCAAATAAAACACATTGTGTATATTTGTCAGGACAGTAAGTCATTTTTTCATTTGAATTTAAAACTACATATTCTATACGTGTCCCCAGAAACTAGGCAAAATATACTAATCATGATAATCATTTGACCTTTTTTTGAACAAAAATGTATAGTGGAGTTATTCTTAATTCAAATATGCTGCCCATAATAATTCATGTTTTTAAGCAGATTTTCCAATGAGAGCAGAATGAGTCTCTTAGTTTATTAGGTGAAAGTTATGGTAATTTTGACAAGAGTTTGGATATGTTCTGGTAGGTTTGGATTCAACCACCACTAGGCCAAATATCAAGAAGAGAAGTAATTGAGGACTGATAGTTAACGATGAAAAATATATCTTAGGCCTACCTTAACTTCTAATTAGTTAATATGTCAGTTAAAATAAAACAGATTAAATTACAAGTTACTGAGATAAAGATAATTAAACATTTCAGGGGCCACTAAAAATGGTCTTACGGGCCAGATTTTGATATGCCCAAAAGTTGAGTGAGTGAAGTGAAACTCACCCGCACAAAAACGACGATGTCCCACAGCTCCTTGAGGACTTGGATTTCGTGACGACACTGTTTGATTTCTCTGTATTCGGGGATGGTGACGTCGAACAGGTTTGTGGATTCCTGCAGACGAGCTAAAGCTTTCTCCATGTCACAGATCTCTCTCTCCGACTGGAAATGAAATATACAATAGTTCAGCTTTGGTTAACCCACAAAAACAAGGCGGTTTCTTACCTTCCATAAGCTCGTATAAGGATCCACTGCATTGTAACCAAAAGGTGCAGTATGTTTGAAATTCTCTCTGAATTTTCTTTGTTTCACCTGAAATATAAATTGACAGGATTAAAATGGGCAGTGATAGTTTGAAGATCAATCAACTTTTATTTGTAGAGCGCCTTTCCTACACATGGCAAAGCGCCTCATAACCCATATCACATCAGGCATAAACATTTACATTTACATAATCATAAATATAATCATAAAGATCACAAGAAGTAATTAAACATTAATATTGACTATTATATACTAATATACTATTTGGATCTCTCCTACAGAGTACAATTTTGCTCTGTGGACTGAAGTCAATGCTTTGTGCCTTTTTAGGTTGTATAGTTTATCATGGTCTATTTATTCTTGGTGAATTCAAAAAGAGGCGACATCACCCACCAAAAAAGTTCTTGATGAGGTGCAGATGTGAGAGGAACAAGAAAGCATTGCAATTTCAACAATAGATTTCATGGCATTATAGAATTATAGCCTTCATCAGATCATTCTTTTCCCATTCTTTGAACCAAAATCATATGTTTGTGTGTTTTAGCTCTAGGCACTTTGAGCATGCTCTGGCACAGAGAGCATCTTGTGTTCACTATCTTTTATTCTGCATCCGTCCTACTCAAACAAACCAAATAAATACAAAAGTAAGTGTGGTTTTCTACTATATGTTTTGCTTGCTCAAACGTGTGGACAATATGTCAGTTTGTCATAATCACCTCAAATTCCACACACTGTTTCCTCAAAACCAACACTTCGATGTTTTGAAGAGGAGCCACTTCATGTCTCACTTTTAGGGCCAGTTTTTTAGCCTCGTTCCATTTCTCTGGCAGATCCTAAAAAGAACACAAAAGTGAAGTTTTGAGCGTTTTATTTCAACATAAATAATACACGGTTGTTATGTTTTCTCTGTATGCTGAATGATGTGAAAAATAGAGGGGGGGAAATAAAATAAAGTAAAAACAATAAATAAAATAACAATCAAAATAAAATAAAAATTATCTAAATAAAAATTAAATAATTAAAAAAGAATATATAAAAAATTTAAAAAATACATGTACTGACCTCGAGCTGGGAGTAAACGTGTTCTGGTATTTTGACTCCGGATCTCTCCAGAAGAGTGACCGTTTGTTGGAGCGGTTCAAACATTTTGTCAGTGCTTTTCTGTCGCTCTCTCACAGCTACGAGTTGACTCATGACATTGACCAAACCAGAGCTGTCTCCTTTCAGCACAGGAAAGCCAAGTCCTTCCATAGTGCTCCGGATAAATTCTTCCAACTCATTCAGGCTGAGGTAAGAACAGACAAATCATGTTTGGTTGCCACTGACAGCAATAGCACCTTTTACGCGGACCTCATGCCGATAACACCCACACAGATCTGGAAATACTGCAGCAACGAAAGTGAACAGGATTGTAATTGTTTGAATGACCTATTACTTTCACTAGCATGAGCAACATCATTTTAAAATGTGGAGGAAATGGAGCACTACTATTTATGGCTGTGTAATTTAGATTGATCATGGCCAGCTGCATCACAAACGAAAAACAGTAAACAACAACAGCTACACCCAACCATCCACACCAGGAAGGATCCAAGCTGATTTATCTTATTTATTTGTTTATTTGAATGGGATAGTATTAAGGAACAGCTACAAATGAAAATATACAGGAATACAACTTTCCTAGTGGGTCGGCTTCCACAGTTTGGCATTTCATTGAATTATACCAGCAGAGAGGTAAACATCTCCACACTAAGAGAACCTGGGTAACCTAACGTTAGGGTTATGTTGTTTGTCACTCTTTGATGCTTCCAGGTTGAGAGGTGCATTGGCTGAGTTAAGGTGGTTCTCAGTTTTTTCCATGAAAAAGCTGATCTAAAGATGAGACAGAGACCAAAGATACTTGCATGTGAAAACTAATGATATAACCAAACCAAACAAAAGAGCCGGGACCAAGTTAGATGGATTTTGTGACAAAGTTAGGTGCCCAAACTTCAAATCCAATCATATATGTATTGTGATTATTCGTCTAAACCACGGTGTCGAACTAATTTTGGTCGAGGGCATGTTGGGGACAAAAAAAGATAATTTTTTTTAAACAAAAAGTTAACTAATTTAACTGTATTTAACACATGTTTGGATGTTATTTTCTAGTAGGTTTGGCATCTACCACAACTGGTCAAATATCAAGAAGACTGATATTATTATTGTTATGTTTTTTTTAAATTCATATTTAACTAACTATAACTTCTAATTACATTTCAGTTAACCTTTTAGAAAAGATTCAATTATATGGTAGTTTTCTTCAAATATAGGCTTTAATTATCAGGCAAATTAAGTACAACCTTCCATAGTCACCCACTACTATCAATGCTGCAAGTTACTGTGATAAAGATAATGGAAAATCATTTCCATTATCTTTATCACATGGTCTTGCGGGCCGGATTTGTTCCACGGGCCTGAGTTTGACAAGCCTGAATTCTAAACTATCTAAGAGTTGGTAGTTACATAGACTTTATTCCATAGTTAATTTTTTGTGCATTGAAAGGTCAGTGTCCTGACATTGGTTTTGCCAATTGTTTACATTGCGTCCCCTTTTTCAATAATCTGTAAAATATGTCTATGTGTCTTCAGTGTATATTTCACCTGTTTATGACGTATCTCAGAAGGTGCTCTTTGAATAACCAGCTCCACTTCTTGATAATGTTGAGGACTGTCGCCTTGAACAGCTTGATGTCAACTCGAAACCATCCGTCGTACACTTTGAAGTCCTCATACTTGGACATTTCCACGTGTAGATCTTCATAGTAATTTATCTGAATAAAAAAAGATTATTAATTTAACTACAAGCTACATACGGGAAGAGAAGGCAAATGTGTGTATATGAAACAATACACTTACTGTATGTATAACTGTTATCAAAAACGTTGAATTATAACAAGGTTTTGATGCATTCAAGTAATCTAAACTAAGATTAAAGTTAGATAGTTTAAAACTTTAAAATCTTTTTTAAAGTCAGCATTTGCAGATTCTTGGCAACATTCTGCTATAAGCTTATAGGAGTTCATTGTTATTGCTTGTTACAAAACAAATCTCAATCAGTATTTTGCTGAGATCATCTCAAAATATCTGTTTGTTATCTATTGATTACCTTTACACTTTCAGTCACAGCACAGTGCACCCAGGGAATCAAATTATAATGGACAAGTTTAACAAGTGTGACTTGTGTGTGGGTTTTTTGTGTACATTCTTAACCTGACCCACATGTAAGCAATGAGCAATGAAAAGTTTTGCTTTTTCTACTGTCTACTGTATATTTGGTCAAACTGTTTGTATTGTTTATTTATTTCAAATATGCACAAGATATACAAGCAATTATTCACACAAAAAAGCAAACAAGAACATGTGCATGGTTTTAAAAGTGTTCAAACTGAAAACATCTTGGCAAAAAGACTAGATCGCAAGGCGGGTTAAATGGCGAGTTATTTCAACACACAAGACACAATATGTAAGGAAAGGTAAGACATTCTGGGGTTGTTGGTCTAGAAACCTGTGTTGTTGCTCAGTGGGAATGAGCTCACTATCACTGCAGGGGGGAAAAATCCATCACTTTGTTGGGTTAATCATTGGAAAACACTTGTCACCTGCTCCTCAAATGTATCAATGGTCGGGGAGGATTGTGGCAGTAAATCAGCGTGGAAAGCCTCCATCTCCTCTGCGGTGAGCACACGTCCAAACAGCAGGAACTGGTTGAGGAATTCGGCCCTGTCTTCCTGCCACAGGTGGGAGTAGCAATCAAAGTTCTTCTGGAAATGGATGGCTGTCTTCAGTACGTTTCCCGTGCGCTCCATTATCTCCTGTCTGAGCTCCGACAGATCCACCATCTTATCCATCACCTCCTGAGAAGTAATACCACAACAGCTGGATTTGAGAAGTTACTTTACGCTTCTGTCCATTTTGAAGATACAGGAAAAAAAATATGAAGCAATATTTCATGTTTTTAGTCTATGAACATAACATTGTGCAGTGCTGTGTGTGTGTGTTTATGTGTACCTGTGTGTGTTTGTGTGTGTGTGTGTGTATGTGTGTACGTGTATGTGTGTCTGTATGTGTATGTGCATGTGCATGTATGTGTGTAAGTGTGTATGTATATGTGTGTGTATTTCTATGTGTGTATGTGTATTATGTATGTGTGTAAGTGTGTGTGTATTTGTGTTTATGTGTGTGTGTGTGTCTATGTGTGTTGTATTGGATGAGTGAGAGGGGCTGGAGCCAAATAAGCATTTGCTTTGTCAAACTTTTTTTTCAAAAGGGTTTTTTTAATTATTATTTTGTAACTTGTTTTATTGTTTATATTTTTATTTTGCATATGTTTGAAAAAAAATATTACTACTACTGCTACTACTAAAACCTAAAAGAAAATTAAAAGATCTTAGGTCTAGTTTGAAGTATTTGCCATCAGAGCTGAAACGATTCTAAGTCAACTGATCTAAATCGATTGTTATTTAATTGAAAATGGCGTGAAACTGCATCGTATCTCAACTTGCGTCATTTGGGAATTGAAAAAGAACAGATCTTGAACCCATCAAACAAAACAAGATGAATAATGAATGCAACACTGGACAGAATTCCTGTGGTATTGCAGAAGCTTTTTCCCACTGTGCGTTTGTGCTATAATTAAAGCTAACAGCACTCCAACCAAATATTAGCGAATGTGGTGATTATTTTTTTGAGTTTGGCAGTGTATAATCAAATAGAACAAATGCCAGCCATCACCAGAAGGCAAACACTTATTTTTTTAAACCTATATTACAGTGTGAAATGACTTTAAAGAGAGGGTATCGAACAATTTCATTTGTGTGACAGGACTACAATTATTTGAAATGTACTGTAATTGTAATATGTGATGTATTGTCATGTCCACAATTGAAATAAATAAATAAATAATATATGTTTTGAACAAATCAGTCCCTAACAAAAAATGTATGCATGTGAAGATTGTTTGAGAACCTAAAAAGAGTCAATGCTGTCTTGAGATGTATTATTGTTGATGTTTACTGTTGTCATGGATGCACATGCGTCACAAGTTACACTACTATGTGTAAGACCAACAACTAGAAAATGAACTGAAGTGTACAAACTGAAACTGTGGATGTGTGAATTGGTTTAGGAATGTATAAATGTATAATATGACATTTGTTTACATGTATTGTTTTGGGGCCTTGCCTTTAAGCTAATCTTTATTTACATACTGTAGCGTCTTTCACAGTTCAGAGTCACAAAGCGCAGTACAATTGTTGAGGGCATTTGTCCTCTCACTCCACACAGAGATGGGAGCGGGATTATCATACAAGAGGTTCATGCCAGACCTATTGTACATGCTTATAGCGATAGGGGAAACCGTAGCACCTGGAGGAAACCTACGGAGATACAGAGAGAACATGCAAACTCCACACAGAAAGCCCAGAATGCAGCTTTCTGGGAGTTCCCTTTTACAAAGCACTAACAAACTTTAGAAAGGAGTATGTGTATGGCTTGTTGAAGTTTTGTAAATAAAGATAATTTATTGGGTGGATATTGTTACATAGTTTTTTGGGGTTTTGTGAGTGGAAAAAATAAACTAGACTATGTTCTCATCCCTTGATACGCACTGAACTGGGTTCTGGGTTCAAATCCCTTATGGGTTATTTATGAATATTTTGCTCGTGTTTATCTATTTTCAAGGTAAAAAGGCACTGCTGGGATTCGAATCCAGGATCCCCTGTTTCCGAGACAAGCGCTTTGACCAACAAAGCCACAGCTCCACTTAAGTACCGACCCAGCCACATGTTTGAGTACATTTAAAAAGAATCCAAGTATATATCTATTTTCGGTAAATTTTCGAGCACTGCCCAGGAGCTGCCCCCAAAATCTCCTGTTAATAATGGACCCCAGCCTTCTCTATGAATTTGGTTTGTTTTTTGTGTACCTGGTAACTCTCAAAGTTCAAATGTCCTGCCACTCTGCTGATGTTTGCTGAAATCTTGAATACGTCTGCGATCATGCTCTCGACCATCTCGTACAGGCCGTCCCCAGCCTCTGGATCCAGCGACGGGACGAACGTGAGCTCGGAGCTGCGGAGGAGCAGCTGGGCCTCGAACAGCGGCGTGTGGAAAGGCCTGGACTCCATGTTGTCCAGGAGAAACTGCAGCGAGAGGCGGATGTAGCTGAAGAAGCCCTCGATCACCATCTCGTCCATGTACTCCAGATATAGCTCACATTCTCTGGAGGCTGCATCAGCACTCAGCAACGCTACATTCTCCTGGAGAACGAGATCAAAGCAGTGGGAGAAACTGAGATCATATTCAAGACTTGAATTCAATTTGCTTCCTTATTATGCTAAAGATAGAGATGATATACTTGATTCTTTATTATTATACTGGAGTTAGAGTTTATATTTTATTTTAGCACAACGTTATTGTTCATTTATCTTGTGCTGTGTGCTTCTCATTCGTACTGTTCTGTAACTGGTGATGCAAAACAGAAATTTCACCACCCTGAGATGAATAAAGGATCTCTTCATCTCAATATTAAATAATCAATTCTGGAATACGGTGTGATGGTAATGATGATTGAGTCTCCAAACTGTATTTCATATTCGTCTTTTTGTCTTAAGTCCTTTCAACTAACAGCAAGGTATCGTTAACTTCGGATGTATAACATAAATACGAAATTGGTGACAAAATGATATAACTTTTATGAAGGTATATGCAACAAATCTGCAATGAACAGTGAATTGAACAGTGAATTCTGAAATAGATTACAACTTCCTCAATTTTGTAGGCCTCATAGAATGTAATGTTTTAAATCAATCATCTGTGTTTTATTAATTTATAACAAGTTTAAAATCCTGAAGCTGGTCAAGTAATATTGGCTTACAACTTGCACATGTTGTTGTGTTTGCGACCACAAAGAAAGATATTTGTTTAGAATTATTATTCAAGTAAAGTCTTGTTGGTATTATCTTGTTTTATTTTACTTTTTACATATTCAGCTACCGTCACAAAGGTCTTTACGATTGAGGTGGGTGTTTTTCTTCTCACTTACACTGATGGGAGCACGTTCTGTAGCTTAGGTCCTGGATCTATAGCCCGTCCGTCCGTGGGAGCGGATCCCTTTCTCAAACCATGGGTCTCCCCGAGGTTTCTCACTTTTTCCCACTGGGTTTTCTTATGAGTTTTTCCTTGCCGATGCAGGAGGGTCTGTTGGGCACTTAGTGTCCAACTAGAAGGACTGTGGTTATGACCCAGGACACTTTAACATTCTACAACATGTATGGACATTTATCAACATGTGTTCTATATTCTTTATGAGTTTTAACTGTTGATTCTCTGATATGTGTTGGTGATTTCAATGGTTTTGTTAAGTCCTCTGAGATGACTACTGTTGTGATTTAGGGCTATACAAGAATAAATTGTCTTGTATTGTATTGTATTGTACATGTTTTTAGTGGTAGGAGAAACCAGATCACTGTGCAGCTTATGCAGACATAAGGAGAACATTCAAACTCCACACAGAAAGGCCCTGTCTGGAGGTAGAATCGAACCCAGGACCTTCTTGCTATGAACCATAAGCGCTAACTGTACCAAAAGTACTAATACAACTTTTTGTCATGAAAACCAAGATTTGAATCATATGTCATATTGTTTCATCTCAGAGTACTATTATTGTGTCATCTTTATTATGCATGTGTGTGTGTGTGTGTGTGTGTGTGTGTGTCTGACCTGAACCAGCTGATGGATGAGCTCCATGTCCTTCTTCACGCTGCTGTTGGTTCTCCTCACATACTCGGCTCGCTCCTCGATGTGGATCAGAGAGTTTTTCCTGTTGTCTTTTCTGAAGCACATGGCCTGTTTGCCCCACACCTTCATCATGCTCTGGATCATCTGGCAGTTTTCTTTGCTTTTACTGACTCTCTGCTCCAGATCATGGACCAGATCCTTGGTGGCACTGATGAAGCTCCAGCAGCCGGAGTCCTGCCACGTCAGGTCCATCTCTGCCCTCCCCAGCTCTGAGTCCACAGCTTCTATTCTGGCTCTGATCAGAGGAAACTCCACGTCCAAAACTGTCTGCTTCAACTTATTATAGTCCTGGACCATCAGCTGAAGACTGCTGATGTACTGTAACATTGTTAAACATGCTTTAGTCTTTCATCTATTACCGGTAGTGAGGTTTTTTTTTCTCTTTACCTTTGTGAACATGTCACTCTTTTCATAAACCGTCAAGACCTCTGCTGGGATGCTGATGTTACCCAGGGACTGTATGTACTTCACATCTTTGAGAATTTCCATCATCTACAGAGAAAGTCAAAACAGAAACATAGACAAGGAAAAATTACTCTTACTACTAATGGACGGGCGTCATGGCAGTAAGGCGCAATTACCATTTAATTTTATTTGCATAGCAGCTAAGCAACTTTTGTAAAAAAAAAAACAAAAAAAAGTTGCTGTTATAATTACCTCGCAACTAATGATCAAATCTATTCTAAATATAAGTAATTAATCCGACAAGGCTTCGGCCCAAACATTTAGCATGTAGCCTGGCTCTCCCCAGACCCTTGTAGTTCCGCCACGCTCCACCAGAGGCGTTTCGCTTCACACAGAAGCGATCTAAGCTATTTAGCATGTGCCCTGTAAATAAAAGAAAGTTGGGAGAAAATAGCAGTGCGGATTTTTATCTTTTTTTTATTAGTTCTCTTTAACATTTTTACGATATAGATGTATTTTGAGCAAATAAGTTTTGCTTGTATTGAACCAAAACTGGTAAAGAAGGTTGGCTACTCTAGATTTACATAAATGAAGTCAACATTGATACATGTTGCTCAAGGCTTCTCTTTACGCGTCATAACCATAGACTGTATATATTAACCGACAGAGTCACGCCTATCTCCGCCGTTCTAACTAATGGGCCAAAAAATGTGCTCTACTGGAGCAATCCAAAATGGCCGCGAGTGGTCCCGCCCACAAGAAAATGTGGGCGGGACACTTTATTTTAGCACCCACTAACTAATAGCTAATTAAGTGCTAATTAGTGTATTAATGTATGGTTTATTAGTTTTTGCATGTTTATATGAATTATGACTAATTATGCTTTTAATGTTTTACTTTGGCTAATGACTCTCAGTCAGAGTACAGAAGAGAAGAGACGATTAGGACTGTTGGAGTTTCTGAATCGAGCGGTTTGTTTTTCTCGTATCAAGGGAGACCGTGCAGGGAGCTAGAAAAGGACATCTGGAATCCTACAGATGTCTTAGCCAGGTAGCCAGGGGAAAAGGGGGAGACGTTTCATCATCCAGAGAAGAGAAATTAAAGTCATTTCTGCTGTATGTGAGTTCTTACAGTCCAACTAGACAGCTATCACATAGAAAAAAATACCATCGACAAGAAAAAAAAAGAGATCTGAGTTTTGTTTGTCATGAAGTTACAGCCAGGCTGGATTGGGATCAAAAAACGGCCTATAATCTAGCTCTGTTTCTTGCAGAGGCGTATTTATAGCGAGCACAGGTTACGGAAAGACACGCATACAAAAACAGAGAATGGTCCTGTGTGCATCTATGGTCTGGAAACATTATGACCACGTTACGGCTGTGCGCGCAATACAAAGCGGCTGCAGCTGCCCTGGGTCAGAACGCTGCAGCCACGGAGGATGCAGCATCCTGGGCATATATGAATATGGGCATTACACGATACGCCCAATGGCCAGTCCAGCTCTGGTTAAAGCTGATAAAAGTAATAATGGTATTGTAACTGGTACAGAAGTGGGACAAAGTTACCCTTGGGCTGAAGTTGACGGTGATGAGTCCGGATGACAGGTCTCTGATGAGCAGCGGCTGCTTCAGGTTGGTTAGACATGTTTGCTCGAGACCATCACACCATTCAGAGTGATGTTTATCCACAAACTGGTCCAGGACAAGAGACATCTGCGTGTACATGTGGTGCTCCTCCATCACATCCACACCAGCTGCACACCTGAAGACAAAAATTATTTTGAAACTTTTAAACTGTGAAAGATTGTTCTATTTGACCACATGTACATTCTGACGCCAACCCCAGCCCTTGGCACAAACCAATAGTGAGTGAATTAAAATTGAGAGATAATCTAATAAACAGCATATAAGCGTGAGCGTTTTCCCTCTGCTGCCCATGTTGAGAGGTATTCGTGTTGTTTGGAACCATGTCAGCTTTTCACCATGAGAGAGACAGGAACGTGTCAAAATAAAGTTCCAACTTTCAAAATAAATCTTCTGGAGTCACAACGCAGTGCTGCAGGACCAGAGGAAACAGCATTATTTAGAATAGACGAGAAATAAACTATTGAATAATAAATCAAATAAACCATTAAATAAACATAATTGGAAAAAGTATACTAAATAATTAAAGGTACAGTGAACTATTTTTAGAATGAATTAGATAATTAATTGCAATAATAATTAAACAAATAAATAATACAATACGTCTCTCGAGTAATGTATTGTGTGTAGTTTTTTAAACATTCTTCACGTAAACAGCGGCCTCACTGGTTTTGGTTGTATTTCTGTTTAAATTATCCCTATGTTTGGTGTAAATACAGAGCACGCATCAGCAAAAAGACAAGATCACAAGTCGGGTTACATTTCCAGTGTTTTTGAGCAGTGGGAATAGGCTGATGATACTCACATGTCAAAAAGTAGTTGTATTTTATCCCAGGGGGCTTGCAGGCGCTCACGAAGCATTTTTGCCCACTTAAATGCTCCAGATGTGCGAGTCATGTACTTCATTTGACTCCTCTTGCTCTACAAACAAGGAGTGGAAAATGTTTGTGTACGTGCGTGCGTGTGTGTGTGTGTGAGTGTGTGTATGCATGCGTGCTTGTCTGTGTCCAGCCAATAGTAATACCTGATTGATCTGCTGCTTCAGTAGCTGTTTACATTTATCCAGTTCTTCTCTCAGAAGTGTTTTCAGAGCAAGGAAGTTGTGGCTAAAAGTCTCTCGGATTAGTTTTCTTTGCAAGAAGGGTTCGACAATAGTTAAAATCTGAAAGGCAGACAATATGGTTAGTCTTGTATTAAGGTAATTCACAATTCCATACATTTGAAAGTGCTCTGCAATCTCTTTCTGCTGTGGGATCCACCACCAGCTTGAGGCTACGCATTAGATTTGCTTGGTGTGGTATAGGCACAGAATTAAAGTTGTCCCAGATTTATTCAAACACAGAAGTTTTTATTAGTCAAAAACATATCTATTTTTGTGTGAGCATGGATCTTGAACTGTAACTTGGCCTTTTTCTCAAATAAATGTATAAATGTTATAACTATATGCAACTGTGTAACTAGGTGAGAAGGTAAATCTACTTTTACATGGGATCTACTGAGCAGATCCCATGTATTTTATTATTATTGTCTCATGTTGTATATTTTGTGACTGTTTTACTCTTCATTTGTATTTACTCTTCAATTGTATTTTATAATGTTTGTTGTACAGCACTTTGGGCGGTTGTGGCTGTTTTAAGTGTGCTATATAAATAAAATGGACATTGACATTGACATACTTACATTAACAACACTAAACACTAAAACTACTTAAATCATAAGAAACTGTTGTATTACCAAGTTAGAGCTAAAAGGCACGCAGTGGTAGTAGTAATTGAATCTTCACTATTAATGGGGTTAATAGCCATTTAAATAAACTGACCTTTTTGACAATTTAATTTGATTTAAAATACTTCGCATTTTCCTTTAATTTTGCAGTCATAATAAAAAGATCTGCGTCATGAAACTTTAAGTCTATGTACGGTTCAGAATACAATTACTTAGTTGCTGATAAATAATTCATTTGTTACAGTCCTATTCTAAAGGGATTGCATTTCTCTGTCAATTTTCAAAAAGACAATACAAACTTTTAAGGCAGATTCCAGGCCAGAGCAATCCTCAAAAGCCGAGGAGAAGAGACTGCCCAGGCGACACTCAAAGTCCACAATTTTCTCTTTGAAAGCGCTATAATCTTTCTCAAAACCCTGAACACAAAAACCCAAATATAATGCAATACAATATATCGAAAACTGCTCTTAATCCATCATCCATCTCACCTTTGAGTCGCAGTCCATGGGGTTGTTTGTGGTGTGTTTAATTGTCTGGCAATGGTTACAAAACTCTGCATGCAGCTGTTTGGATTTGTCATTGTAAAGTTTGCCTTTCACGCCGCCAAATTCTAGCTTCTCCATTCTCGCAAAGTCCAGCATGATTCCCAGTACATCCTGAAAGAGTAAACACATGGAGTGGTAGTGTTAGAAAGGAAAGTAGTAGTAGCAGAAGTAGATACAAAAAGGCCTGTAAATGTAGTAGTAAGAGGAGGAGTAGTAGTTGTATCTGCAATAGTGGTAGTTTCACACCTACAGTATACATTTCATACAAAAAAACATGTAATAAGACACAAAACAAAACATCAGTACACAGTTTGACAAAGGGCCTGGGAAAAGAAAATGCTTATTAGGCTCAAAAACACGCATGCGCACAGACAAGACACAGGCCAAACGCTCCCATTACTCACTCACCTTTTTCTCCACAACCTTGCTCAGTATTTTGATTTAAATGTTTTGAACTGAACCTTATTTGAACATGTTTATAATTCATTTTTTCCAAATCTTAACTCCATGCACATGTAATTAGCGCATGAAATCCTACTCAACAATTCAATGTCGACCCACCTCAATTTGTTGCAAGCGGTTGATGAACTTGTTGAAACGAGCGAAAACTAGAGCAGAAGGGAAATCCCAGGGAACAGGACTCCTGCTGTCAGCCAGGTGCAGTCTCTGAGCGTGATAATATTCTTTAAAACTGTGGAAAACGTTGATGGCTTTCTGCACCATGTGAAAACTTTCCTCTGTATCCTCCCTGAGGAGCACGTCTTCAGAGAGGTACACTGCAGACTATTACAGAACACAAGAAAGTGATGTCACACAAAATATTTTAACATCTAACAAAGCAACATTACAGAACCCCATATATACATATTTATAAATTTATAAATCAGTTTTATGCAGCTAAAATCTTAATAAGTAGAACTTTGCATCATCACATCAATTGCATGGAGTCCTGGTGCACGTGAATGCAGCTAAAATCTGTAACTGTGTTTCAGATGTGAGAAAATGATTAGGCATTTATTAATGCCTTGTTGTTTCTATCTTTTTTTGTTCAGCATTTTGAGTTGTCTTGTGTATTAACTGTGCTATACAAAAAAACTTGCCTTGCATTACCTAATGCCTATATTAACATACTTGAAATTGGCTGTTTTTCATAATGAATTCAAACAAGCATAGAAAAATGTATATATATATTTTTTTTAATCAAAAGAGTGCAGTTTCTATGGCCATGGAACATGGTCTTACCTGATGAATGAGCAGGTTGCAGAGCTGCTGCAGGAGCACTACGAGCCGCGCTGGTCTTTGATAAGATCGACAGTTGTTCCAGATCAGTAAAATAGTGTGAAAAAGAGACGGGAACCTTTGTTTGATTTGGGCAATGCCACACTTCTCCAAATGCAATAGTTGAGCGTGGAGAGGCTGCAGGTGTAGATCTATGTCCTCCGCTTCTTTTAAGCCTTTTGGGGAAAAAACATGTTGTTTACTTTAATCTAAGATATAAGAGAACCATTGACGAATTATTATCATTATCTCATGAATACAGGAGGCTGATATTAACCAAAATCTCAACATCTTCAACCAGGCATGAGATACTGGATCACTTTCAAAATAAAGTTCATTTGAGTTAATTATGGACCTGTTGAATAGAAAATAAAGGATCTAAAGTTGTAAAAGCTATTATAGTAAATCTCAAAAATGTTATAAGTCTTAAGTTCCCACTCCCTATGGTCTAGACTCTAAAGGCTTCTATGTGTATGTGATTATTGCATTTCCTGTGTTCTAATTATTTGATTCTCTGATCTGTTGTTGGCGAATCAACTTTGTAAACTCCTCCAAGACGAACCAACCTGGTTAAACATGTAAAAATACAATCTTTTGCATAATGGGTGACTTTGAAAGCTTTGTTCTAATAAATATAATAATGACAAATGATGAATGAGGAATGAGGGTGTATGTTTTGCTGAATTTCCTGTATGCTCTTTAATAGGTTTTAGATGTTTTTGTTTTGTTAGTTTTGCTTTTGTTTTTTGTCATGTTTGTTCTGTTTGGGATTGTACTTTTGTGTTGTATTTGTTCTTGTTGAATGTTGTTGCTTGTGCTTGTCTGTTTTGTTGTCTTTCATTAAAAAATATACACAGATATAAAAAATGACGTACTTATTTTTACAGATCTCTATTCTTCAAAAAACACATCATCTTACCCTCAACTACTTTTTTCATCATTATCTGAATTGTTGGATAATAACTGCTCTCCAAAATGTCTAATGTCTTTTCCATTTTTTGAACCACAGGACTTTGAAGCTGGGGAAGAAAGCAGAAAGTTAACAAAATGGTGGTCAGCTAACGTTAGCATTAAAAAGTGCATCATTTACCTGTTGATAAATGCCTGTTATATTGTTCTTTCTTGAAGCCCAAAACTTCAGCTCTGCCCAGGGCCCTGCTTTACTGTCCGTCTTCAGAATGTCTGCTGAATCCTCCATCAGAGTTTTGTGGATTTGATTGGACCAGTTGATAACGTGCGTCTCGATGGTGTGGGTGAGTGACCTGTTGCAGCTCTCGGCCCTATAATCAGCCATTTCTGTTAGATTATGAAGGAGAGGGTGGTCGATAATGACAAAAATCCCCAAAAATTTGGATGATACTGCTTACGAGGTGTGCCAAGACGTTTTGTAATGGCGTTTTGTAATGCCATGTTTGCATTTCAAGAGTTGCATGGGAAACATAATCTAACCACAAATGCAGGTGAGTTAAAGAATACAGTAGAAAGTAAAAAAAGTTATAGGCTCTTCCCCCTGTTGGGGCTAGGGCCTAATTAGAATATTGTTAAAGTCCATTTGCTTTGTTATCCAACTTTCAATGTGAAACTAATATGATAGACTTTAATGTAATAAGTCTATATCCTATTGATTTCACATTTTAATTACAGAAATAAATACACTTTTGAACAATATTTTAATTTTCTGAGTATCATCTGTATATCCTGTTATAGAAATATTCTAGTAAAGGAATCTGAATTAACACCAAATAGTTATGAGTGTAAGTGATTAACTAATAGTCAACTCTGGATTCAGATACAAGCCATAATGCTCTGTTGGCAGCAGGTCAGCTGATAGATGGAGACATGCTGCATCATGTCGTTGACCTCATCTGGGTCATAGGAAAATATGTTCAGTTCAAAAGCAGATTGTTACATATATCAGAGTTGTATCAGCGTTAGGACCAGTGGGGGCGGGTCCCAGCTCAAAAGTGGCCAAAATGACGTGCGCTGACATGCTTGCAATACCACCCCGGGCCGATGGGGGTGGACCCAGAAGAAGAATTAGCCAATGCTAACATATAGCATTGGCAGACCTCTGGAAAACGTCTTTACAGGATGGTCCAAAAGTTGGCTCTTGGCCCAAAGCTCCGTTCCACATGTGTGTCAATGCTGAGGGGGGTGGATTTTTTTGATCCACTCTAGTTTACTGGCTGTGAATTGTTGAAGTCTCTCGTTCAAATGAATGGAGTTGCGCCGGCTGACGCATGCGCAGATGCGTTTTTTCACAATTCTCTTGTGGGCGGGACCACTCACGGCCATTTTGGATAGCTCCAGTAGAGCACATTTTTTGGCCCATTAGTTAGAACGGCGGAGATAGGCGTGACTCTGTCCGTTAATATATACAGTCTATGGTTAGGACTCGTAAAGAGAAGCCTTGAGCAACATGTATCAATGTTGACTTCATTTATGTAAATCTAGAGTAGATATGTGTATGTTTACTCTGGTCTATTTAATGTACAGTCATTTCCTCAATCGTGGCAGACAATTTCAGACGGCTGCCCGGTGGTATTGTTATCGGTTCTGTTATTCATTGTAATTGTGCACAGTTGCTAATGAATAAACTCACACTTTGATTGTAATCACAGCTCTGGGTTGTTTACATTATTTCACTCTCGGTATGTGCAGAATTTCCACAACAATCCCTTATGGTAAAGTAACTTATGGTCCATGTAGGGAAATTCCTCCTCTGGAGCACCTGGAGGAAACCTACCCAGACACAGGGAGGAACATGAAAACTCCACACAATAGGCACGCAGGCTACCGGCGAGCGGACAGGATGTCAGCCGTGTGGCAGTTTTTTAAAGTAAACAAGAGAGAGAAGTAAAGCGGACTGTAATTGTGTAAGGCAAAACTTTCACAAGGTGGTTCCAAAACAAACCCGGACAACACCAGCAACTTGATCAAACATCCAAAAACTTACCACCACACAGAGTATAGTTAGCACCTTTGCCAGTACTGGAGCTATTTCTTTGTACCATTTGTATGAGTGGATTATGACAGTGGCTCTTATTGTTGACTGTTAAAACAATTGCTAAAATGCTTAATTGTTAAAGCATTTTCTTATTGTTGCAATGAGAAATAAAACAAAAAAATTCAGTAGTATTAGTTTTATGAATTCCCAGGGATTACACGATGCAGTACTCGTATCGGTATTCATATCGGCAAGTGCTCAAATTAAGGCACTCATACTCGTATCGGTTTTGAAAAAAGTGGTACACTCCTAATAGTAATATATAGATTTTCTCACATTTGCATATGGCTGAGGGGCTTCTCCAGCCACTGAGTTGCCATGGGGATTGGGAGGATAGTCTTCCCTTGAATCTGACCCTGCACCACCGCCGTCTTACTGCAGATCCTCTCCACGTGTCGGAGCACGTCCTGGGACAGTAGACGGGGCCACATCTGATGATTATTTGTATTGGCCAATAGCGGGGCACATATCTAGAGCAAAGTAAGAAAAGAAAATTAAAAGTCAAAGCCCATAGGAACAGATCTAATACAAAACTATAAGAGGCCCACCTGTTCAATGGTGCAGGACAACTGCAGAAGTGGTGATGGCGACAGGAGCCCATACGTCAAGTTTTCCATGTCGTTTTCGGTGGTCATCGGAATAGACTTTTTCTTCAAGATATACATCTGATTGTTTTGTGATGGACAGTTCTGTAAAATAATATTTGGTTTAGGTTGAATTTCTCTTTGTTAACAAACAATCAATTATCCATTGCCAGGTGCAGAAGTCTTAGCCCAGATTCCCTCTCCCCGCTCATTTCTTTCAGCTCATTCAGGGGAGGAGGCCTCCAAAACAGATGCACAAGCCACCTCAAATGGCTGCTTTCGAATAAACTGTATTCCCTTACAGATACTACTTTAATGTCTAGCATTTAGAATAGTTACTTTCTGAGAATCACGGGAATACATATGTTTTCACATTAAGTTTTTAAGGTTAAAAAAGAAAACATTGTGTATTCTAAAAGTGAAGATTCTATTTTTTCTAGTTGTTGAATGGCAGCTGTTGAAGCACTTGAACTTGTCTCACATGAACTTGTTTATGAGACAAAAAAAACTTGTCTCATAAACAACAAGAACATAAAACATAAACATTTATTTACAATAAATATAAATAATAATAATAATATTTAAAAGTATAAATAAAACTATTCTAAGACATATTCAGGAATACCTCTTTTTCCAAAGTGACGCAATAATAAACAAAATATATTTTAGGTAATGTGCCGTATTCTCGAACAGAATATATTTTCAAAGTATTCTACCCAACAGTGTGCACTGATTAACACATTTCAGAGAAGTGTGCTTTTTAGCTACAAACAATCACACTGAGAGAAGTTTGGGGGCCACTGCCACAATTTAGCATAGGGCCACCCAATGTCTACAAACGGCCTTGCATATTCCACAAAATGCATTGCAAAGATTGATGTCAAACAGAGAAGTAGAGCGCCATACCTCCGTGGAAGCCTCCAATACGCCCTTTTTGTTCAGAAAAATATAAATGATTTTTTCTTTATCGAAAAAGTGTTGGAGTGAAGTCTGGAAGTCTTGGCTGGCTGCAGACTTGTCCCATGTCTGTGGCTGTAGTTTTAGCAGCGCGCACACGATCCTCTGGACAAACAACACTCTGGCGTCTTCGAGAAAACACGGCTCACTTTCCTCGTCCGACATTATTATTATTTAGTTTTTTCCGCTATACCATTTTAGCTCAAATTTGATAACAACTTCCAAAAAATCCCCCAAAATAGACCGATGAGTTCTCCTTCGGGGGCGGGCCAGCGTTCCGTTGCCATTGGCGACTGCACTGTATTCAAATCACTGCTCTGTAAACACGGTTCCAGCCACGTCCTCCGTGAGAAACTACACATACATGACACACAGACAATCATAGTATTCAGATAATGTTGCGTATTTTAAAGTTTACTTGAGTTAGCATAGCGCGTGTCAACGTCAATGAATTTAGCCTCGCTTCCGGTCACATATAACATTTTGAGAACTTTCCCCCCCAAATGTGTCAATGCAAACAGCTAGAGTGCACTGCGTGGTTCTGTTGTGGTTGCAATTTTGGCGGCCATCTTGCGTGTTCATAAAGAAATCTCGTAGAAAACATGTGTCAAAAATCGATTTGTTTAAACAAACAATAATGTTCAGTAATATGTTGCTGATTTTGCAGATTAAAATAAAATAAGGCCTTTTGAAGAGGTTACAGGTTGTTTGTTTGGTTGGATGGTTGACTGATGTAGTAAAAAGCAGAGAACTCTAGTGTCTAATTTCATTTATGCAGCACATTTCAATATTTTATAATTATAGTTGGACAAAGCTACTGTTCCTCACTTGCATCTCAAATTAAAAAGCACATTGAGTAGCAAGTGTTTGTATAAAATGTTCTACAAATATATAAATACATGTTTTACAATATTTTGCTATGCCCCTTCAGGGTCTCCGTACATTCATATTTGTTAAAAGGGGAAATTATAAAACTATTTGTAGTGTTATAATTATTTGTATATCCCAGTTCAATAGGCAACTCAAAGTGCTTAACAAAACAATAAAACACATTTAATTACATCTTATTTGAAATGATAAATTATCTAATAAACAAACACCGCTTAAACACCACTGTTTTTAACCTGAATTTGAACATTGGCAGTGTCGAATCCTATCTCACACTTTCAGGAAGATGTTAGGGTTTTACCTGCATAAATCTAAGGTGAATTATTCCTGCACACCATCTTGCATAATGCAAAATTTTATGACAGTGCAACGTTTCGGCCTTGTTGCTTTATCAAGCAAATATTATTTGGCTTAGCTGGATAAATCTGAAATGCTGCCTCCCCATGTTTAGTCCTGACTCTGGGCACCAGCAGGAGGCTAAGTACCTGTACTCCTCATATGTACTTTGGTGCGGGTTCCATGAAGAGACTGGTACACAAGCAGAGCTACTTTGAAGTCTATTCTCTGAGTGCAGAGACCTGAGACCTGGACCATAATATTAACATACTTCCTAGTTCTATGGACTTAAGCTGTAGCGTTTAATGTAGCGCTGTTTTTCATTCTAGTAATGTTTATCACTTGGTAAAAATCTTCTTATGTGACTGATTTGATGTGGCTTTAAAGCATTTGGTCTGAACCCATTGTCTCCCTGGAGAGCTGTTAAGGGCATGTCCCGCCAAAAGAAGGCCCAGGGGAAGTCCTACCCCTGATGAGCTGGAGAAAGTGTGCATAGAGCGGGAAGTCTGGGAGTCTCTGCTCAGACTGATGCCTCCACGACCTGGCAATGGATGAAGCGGAACAAATTAGATCTTAATTGCAGCTGGGGAAAAACTTGCAACAACCAAACGTTTTTTTCTGCACTCTTTGATTAATACATAGTCCTGTTTTACGGATTGTGTATGTTTGCTTCTTTTTTTGTACAGTTACTTCAAATAGCTTTAGATTAAAATATGTTTTTACTTGGTGTAATATAAGGTCACATTCTCTAGTTCACAGCTTTGACATTGCTCGGGCACATTTAATATTTAACAGTTTGGCTATACAGGTGAGATGGTTCAGTGAGCATTTGGCAGGATTTACAGATGAACATTCCAGCTTTTTACACATGTTCAAATAAGAGCCCTCTAGTGCCCCTTTACTAGAAGCAAAGAGGCCTGTATGCACAATGAGACAGTAGTGTAGTAAAAGTGATAGATGCTTCAGAGTGGGTGACTGCTTCTCTTGTTGCCTTGACAGCACTGCACTGGCTTGACTTGGCAAAAATGTCATTCCCAATTCCTTTTACTTCACAAATATCTTTACTATAGGAGTTAGAAATAAAGGAGATCAGTTTTAATCTCTTATTGTTGGGACTTTTACAACACCAGTCTTGGTTCATATTCAAAGTGAAGCTGCTTGTGAACTGTTTGGATCAAATGGCCTGGTTCTTTGTGACGCTGTAATTACAATCTCTGAACAGTAGAAAGTCACGTCTCAAACCTTTAGATATTCTTATATAAATACTTTGTGAGTAGGAGTAAAGCTGCTGTTTGGAGGATGGTTTCAAAGGTGTTTTCATGAGAGGGCACGAGTGGACTGTGGCCTGCAGAGTGAATGCTGGACTTACAAAAAGACCACAGTTTCTGAGAGTCAGGGATGTGGGGGCTCCCCAGGGGACTGTTCTTGCACCGTTCCTCTTCACCCTCCACATTTCAAACAACAATGAACGTCTGTGTCCTACAGAAATTCAGACTCATCCAAGGGGACTAACTCAGGAGTTTCAGGATTGCGTTGACTCTAGCTCCAGTTAGGGCTGGGCGATTAATCGATTTTAATCATTAATTCGAGTTTTACGTTTAGGGCGATTTCTTTTTTTAAAAATTCGATTTTTATTTTCTCTAGCGCAGAACTACAGCGCTAACGCGCTAACCGCGGGTCTATGGTGTTGAGCAGTCATTTTGAAGCTAACCTAATGCTAACAGTCTCCCTCTGGCCTGATGCTCGCTCTCACAGTTGGTGCTGTTGCAATAACACTTCAAACGTTCAAGAATCAGACTTTATTTAAATCGCCAGAACACACACACACACGCACGCAGGCTCCGGTTGTTATGTCCGTACGCCATGTTCGTACGCCACATCTTTCACGCTCTCTCACGCTCGTTATTCCAAAGCGCACTCCCGTGTCCGTGGCGCGCACACACTCGTGTCCCACTGAGCCGCTGCACTTTGGGGAAAGACACGTCTCACACATTGTTCTCATTGCTCTGATACAAACAACGTGTTCCCCGCTGTCTGTTAGCTACAGTAGCTGTTAGCTACAGTAGCTGTTAGCTACAGTAGCTGCTACAGTAGCTGCTAGCTACAGTAGCTGCTACAGTAGCTGTTAGCTACAGTAGCTGTTAGCTACAGTAGCTGCTACAGTAGCTGTTAGCTACAGTAGCTGCTACAGTAGCTGCTAGCTACAGTAGCTGTTAGCTACAGTAGCTGCTACAGTAGCTGCTACAGTAGATGCTAGAGTCGCTGTTAGCTACAGCATCAGAATGTAAACAGGAAGCTCGCACAATGCGGGAGCAGTGTTGCCAACTCCTCAGTAAGGAAAGTAGCTATTGGCTGTCCCAAAAGTCGCTAGAAGTCGCTAAATGACGTCATCGCCTAATTTGCATAATTTGCCATTTGCAAATAACTGTAACGGACGCTGTAGGAGAGAGGAATAAGGTCGTGGGAGAGACAAAAGTGAGTAAAAAACACGCTAAATATGTTTAGAACTACAAATGTACAAAAATAATTTCAACATTAACAACATTTAATGATTTTAATGCTTTGTCTAGATCCACATTACACACATCAGTTTTGTCCTGTATTGTTAAATGTTATAACAGCAAATGTAATCAAAAGATTGTTATGTAGGGTGAAATTGCTAGCTCTACAACCAACCCTCCTCCTTTATCCGGGCTTGGGACCGGCAAAGTGACCCAAAAGACACACTCTGGCAGAGTTACTTAGGTTTATTTTTGTAAGTTTTTTTTTTTTTTCATAGTTTGGCATAACAAATGATTTAATGTGACCCACTACTGAGAGAAAACAGAGTCACGGACAGAGCTGCCGCGGATGGAGTGGGGGGTAGTGGG